TATGCAAAGGCATTCAACTGTGTAGATCATAACAAATTATGGATAACATTGCAAAGAATGGGAATTCCAGAACACTTAATTGTGCTCATGAGGAACCTGCACATAGACGAATAGGTAGTCTTTCAGACAGAACAAGGAGATACTGTGTGGTTTAAAGTCAGGAAAGGTGTGCATCAGGGTTGTATCTTTTCAGTTTATTCAGTCTGTATGCTGAGCAAATAATCCTAGTAGCAGACTATATGAAGAAGGATGTGGCATCAGGATTGGAGGAAGACTCTTTAACAACCTGCAGTGTGCAGATGACACAACCTTGCTTGCTGAAAGTGAAGAGGACGTGAAGCACTTACTGATGAAGAACAAAGACCACAGACTTAAGTATGGATTACACCTCAACATAAAGAAAACAAAAATCCTCACAGCTGGACAAATAAGCAAGATCATGATAAACGGAGAAAAGATTGAAGTTGTCAAGGATTTCATTTTATTTTGTATTCACAATCAACACCCATGGAAGCAGCAGTCAAGAAATCAAACAACGCATTGCATTGGGCAAATCTACTGTAAAAGACCTCTTTAAAGTGTTGAAAAGCAAAGCTGTCACCTTGAAGACTAAGGTGTGCCTGACTCAAGCCATGGTGTTTTCAATCACCTCATATGCATGTGAAAGCTGGACAACGAATAAGGAAGACTGAAGAAGAGTTGGTGCCTTTGAATTGTGGTGTTGGCAAAGAATATTGAATATACCATGGACTGCCAAAAGAATGAACAAATCTGTCTTGGAAGAAGTACCACCAGAATGCTGCTTAGAAGCAAGGATGGCGAGACTTTGTCTCACATACTTTGGACATGTTATCTGGAGGAATCAGTCCCTGGAGAAGGACATCATGCTTGGTAAAGTAGAGGATCATTGAAAAAGAAAGATCCTCAACAAGATGGATTGACACAGTGGCTGCAACAATGGGGTGAAGCATAACAATTGTGAGGATGGTGCAGGACTGTGCAGTGTTCTGTTATACATAAGGTCGCTATGAGTTGGAGCTGACTCGAAGGCACCTAACAACAGCTCATAGAATTGTAAGCATTAAATGATTTAGTACGCAAAATGCCTGGTACTCTTGTGCTCAATACATGGTAGCTAACCTTATTTTTGTTACTCTTTTTACATGGTAAGGAAACTGAAGTTCGATCTCAGTTTTGTAAAGCTGTATATTTCAGTATGTGTGTATATATATATATATATATATATATATATATATATATGTATACATGTTTAAAAAAAAGGCTTGGAAGAATTATGCCTAAATGCTCACAGGGCAGTGGGATTATGGATGATTTTTATTTCTTTCAGCTTTCCTAAATCCCTCTACCCCTTTTGTTTTAAACAACCAACATGTATAGCTTTTGAACTTCCCTTTGAAAAAGTTGGAAAAGAAGGTAATTTTAGGACATAATTATATTTTTTAATAGAACTTTTATAAATTGACTTAGCTCCTCCAAATATCAATTTTAAGCCATGCCTATATTTGGATTGAATGTTTTCCAGACTGTTTCAAGTAAGAGGAAGACAGCCACACCTAACTATGCACTGGGGAGGATGCTTTTAGTGGAAAGCAAAATGTGTGTTCAGACTGAACAATAGGTGGTATTTTAGCCTAATTGCAGAATCCTCCTTTGTAGTTGAAATTTTAAATGTAAATAAAAGATTTAATAAACACAAGCTGTTTTTCACTCCTGAGTGTCTTCTAAGGTGGCAGCTTGAAATAGTCAGGCCTTCCTGATTCTAAACTATTAATACTGTACTATATAAAGTGGTTGGTACATAGTAGTTGCTCAATAAACAGTGATTTCTTTCCTCTTAATTCTCTTTTCTGGTCTTTGTTCATATATCTATACAAGTTATTTCAAAATTATACTCAATGGACATGTACTATTTGGAATCTGTATTTTTCATGTAATATTCTTTAATAAATATTTTTATATGTTACCATAGTCCACACACTAATTTTCTAAGACCTTTTGAAGATTTATATTTGTTTCAAAGGACTGAAATTGTCACCTTTTGTGTTTTATTTCAGGGCCTGGAACCAAGTGTTAAAACTCTTGGTATTTCATTTACTTTGAATCTGATGCGACAAAATTTAGAGAAGTATAAAGTTGGCGGTTCAAATCCACCAGCCAGTCCGCAGAAGAAAGATGTGGCAATCTGCTTCTGTAAAGATTTACAGCCTTGGAAACCCAGGGGGCAGTTCTACTCTGTCCTGTAGGGTTGCTGTGAGTTGGAATCAACTCAACGGCAATGGGTTTGAGTTTTATAAAACATAGATTCAATAGTTATTCTAAAGTGTCTAGTTAATTCAGTAAACATGTTTGGCACACATACTACATTGTATAACCCATGCATCATGCTAGGCAGTGGAGTGGAATGCCAAGGAGAAGAAGATGCTCTCTCTACTCTCACAGCAGCTCATAGTCATAGTAGAGGAAGCTAGAGCTGAAGTACTTTGGTTTTCTGTGGGTTCTGCAAACGTAACAATCCATCTTCTCTTACTTCTCTCCTATGTTTAAGATTTTTTGAAATATCTGGGGGGCTTATGGAATTGTATTGCCCCAGATCACTGCTCTCAGGTGAATTTGGAATTTTAACTAATGGAGAAATTGTCATAAGGAGTGATGCTGGATACTCCGCTGTCGTCTTTGGGTTGACCATCAATTTAGTCTAAGGCTAGTCCAGGATGCTGTACTTAATTTTCTTGGTCTTTGTGATACAGTTTTTTTTTTTTTTTTAAACACATTGGATAAAAATTTAAGCAAGCTGCTTTTATTTTTTATTTTTAGATTACCACACTTATTAATCATAAAGATAATACCAAAAAGTCTGATAAAACTCTGCAAGCAATTCAGCGTGTAGGACAAGCCGTCAACTTGGCAGTTGGAAGATTTGTTAAAGTCGGGGAAGCTATAGCCAATGAAAACTGGGATTTGAAAGAAGAAATAAACATTGCCTGTATTGAAGCTAAGCAAGCAGGTATGTGGATATTGATTTTGAAGGCTTTTCATACCAATTTGTTGTTATGGATATGATGACAAATTATTGTTTTACCTTGAGTAAAGATGTGTACTGTGCTTTAGCCCTCTGATTACAGATGACTAGGACAGGAAAGGAGTCCTGGTGGCACAATGGTTAAGCGCTTAGTTGCTAACCCAAAGATTGGTAGTTTGAACCCACCAGCCACAGAGGGATAAAAGACCTGGCTAACCCAAAGGTTGGTGGTTCGAACCCACCGTAGAGGGAGAAAAGACCTAATGATCTGCTCCCGCAAAGATTACAGCATAGGAAACCCTATGGGACAGTTCTACTCTGTCATATAGGGTCAGTATGAGTCGAAATCAACTCAGCGGCTCACAACAACAGAGCAAGAAAGGCCCGGAGTAGCTTCCAGGAGTATTGAACTTATCTTAGGACTTCTTAAGTCCTAAATCTGAACCATAGGACTCTTACAATGATCAGGGTAATGGTCTGCCATCCTCACTATCAGCCACTGAAATGTGAGAGATACAGGGAAGTGTGAGGCATAGACTCTGCCCTTGAGGAGCATATTAACCTACTCACTACCATGTAGGAAGTGGAAATAAACATCACTACATATCAGTCACTCTGCAGCAGACAAATCATTGTGACTTCAAGTTTCACAAGTGCCCACAATTCTCCAGAGCTCGTGGCACAGAAGCATAAGAGAACTGGGGTCTTTTAAGGGATACAAATGGTTCAGCTTTATTGATGTATCATTTATCCATTTATTCTTTTAATAAATATTTACTGAGTGCTGGTTGTATGCATACATTCTTCTAGGCTATAGAGATACAGCCCTGTACAAATCATCAGAAGTCTGCCCTGATGGAGCTTGTATTCCAGTGAGGGCAAAAGGCTATAAACAAATGAATAAATGTATAATGTCAAATATTAGTAGTTATCTTGAAGAAAAAAATAAAGCAAAGTAAGGGTTAGGAGAGCAATGGAGGTACTGTTTTAGAGAGGGCAGTGCTTCTCAACTTTGATGCTGTTGGCGTTTTGGGCTGGATAATTCTTTGTTGTAGAAGGCTGTCCTGTGATTTGTAGAATGTTTAGCAGCATGCCTGGCCTCTCCCTACTAAATGTCAGTAGACAACCCCCCACCCTCGCTGTGACAACTAAAAATGTCTTCAGACATTGCCGAATGTCCCTTGGGGTCAGTATCATCCCCAGTTGAGAACTAATAAGATAGGGGTTCAGGAAAACCCTCTAAGGAGGTGACACTGGAGCAGAGACTGCAATGAAATGCAAACACCAGCTATGTGAATATCTAGCAGAAGGGTATTCCTGGCAAGAGAATGTCAAGAACAGGTATGGCCTTTTAGGCAATGATAGGAACTATAATGGCTCCTCTATGGTGAATAGACTTAGTGGGGGTGAGGGGGGAATCAGAGAGACCAGGTAGGAGGCTGTTGTAGTGCTTTAGTTGATAAATGATGGTTACTTAGACTAGGTGATAGCATTTGAGGTAGTGAGAAGCAGTTACATTTAGATATATTGTGAAGGTTGAGCTGATGGGATTTTTCGATAGTTTGAATGTGGGATATGACAGAAAGAGGAGTCATGGATAACTCCATGGTTTGGAGTGTGAGCAGCTAGGTAATTGGTGGTGCCTTTTACTGAGATGGGTAACCTAGAGGGAGGAGCAGGTGTTTTTGGAGGGTCATCATGAGGACAAGGGAGAGAATGAGATAAGGCTGAGTAAATGTGGAGGGACCAACTAGATCTTACATGGTCCCATAAACCTATTGCTGTCAGGTCGATTCTGACCCATAGCAACCCTATAGGACAGAGTAGAACTGCCTCATACGGTTTCCAAGGAGCAGCTGGTAGATTTGAACTGCTGACCTTTTTGGTTAGCCGCCAAACTCTTAACCAATGACTTCAGGTATTATTCTATAGGTGAAAGGGAGACACTGAGGAATTTTGAGCCAGATGAAAGACACATAGTTTTGTGTTAGAAATCTTTCTGGTGGTGTGGAGGAAATGAACAAGTAAGATTTGGTTGGGAGATGATTGAGGCTAGAGGCAGGGAGATTAATATGGAAGCTTTTCCAATAAACCAGGCTAAACCAAGGCAGTGTTAATAGGGGCATACAGAACAGGAAGAGTACACAAAATACTCAACATAATAGATAGGCCTTGGTTATTGATTAAAAGGAAGGGGGGACTCTGGGTTGATTTTTAGGCTTCTGGTCATTTACTGGGATACAAAAACCTGAAAACCTTTTGGCCTTCAGTTGATTCCAACTCACAGTGACCCTATAGGACAGAGTAGAACTGTCCCATAGAATTTCCAAGGCTGTAAATCTTTACAGAAGCAGACTGCCACATCTTTCTCCCCCAGAGCAGCTGGTGGGTTCAAACTGCTGACCTTCTGGTTAGCAACCAAGCACTTGACCACTGCACAACCAGGGCTCACTGGGATAGACGATAGGTTATCTGGGGCGGGCGTGGGCAGGAAGATGTTCTTATTTCATTTATAATTTATAATTTGATTGATTTTAAAATTTGAAATTGCCTGCAATAAATAATACACGTACATTAAAACCATTAAAATAGGAGATGAGAGTAAATACGCCAGAAATTTTAGCCACCATTGTTACTCTAATTAAACATGAAGTTTATCTTTGCACTTCCTAGAAGCCGAGACAAAAATGTGGGAAACAAAAGGTTATATAATTCTCATTGTTGGAAGGAAGCAAGCCAGCTAAGCAGGAGAAGAAAGACTTTTTTCCTAGCACTAAATTATTGTGTGGGTGTTTACACAACAGTCATTGTGTAATGCAATGGACAATTCAACTGAAAATGCAGAGATGTTCTTCATATTGCTATTTCTTATAACAACCCTTGATTAAAGCTAAGAGTCGAGGTTTTTTTAATGAAAGGGCAACTTGAGTCCTCCTCACCTTACTGGCTTTCTATAGTGAGTCACTGTTTGCAGTATGGAGGGAAAGTACATGATATACTGACAAAGGCTCCAGCAGACTACAGTACTCTGCAAGTACTGTAAGCCTAGGCAGCTCCATAGGTGAAATATTATGGAAGCCATTTGATTTCATGGCTTCTACATGTCACCTATCCTCCTCATTTGAAGTGCCCTTTCCTTTCTGGAGAACCGCCTCCTGTGGTCACTCAGATAAGAGAACGAGAATGGTGCCTCCGGAGTTTCATAATACGGAAGCCATTTTTCTTTTAACATGTTTCTAGTCCACTCAGCCCATAGTGCTCCTTTCCTCTTCTGGACAGTTTAACATTCATTTGAGTGAAATAATCTAAAGTAGTGATAAAGAACTAGGGCTTTGGAGTCAAAATTCCTGGATTTCAGTCTCAGCTATTCTACATGCTAGCAGTATGATATTTGGCAAACTGTTAAACTTTTTAAACCTCATATTTTCTTATCTATAAAATAATACTGCAATATTAATATTTATAGAGGTGTTTGAATATAATGCGTGGAGCTGCATTATATTGGCACATAGTACATGCTCAATAATCATTAGCCGTCATCATTATTTTTATTAGTTTTACTTTTCTTTCCTTTGTTGAACTATTGCATTTTGTTTTTACCTTGTGCTTGGCTACCTAATCAGTTTTACATATTATATGGGAGGACAATAGATATTTGTGTTTGACTTTGAGTTTTCACATTAAGACACAATGCTAGCTAGTTAGATATAACAAATTAAAAATGACAACCATGAAGCCCTAAGACAGCTTTGTGACTTTTTCAGGGAACTAATTTCTAAACAGTCTATACCTTGAATAATGCAATAGACATTGTTTTTTGTCTGTTTGTTTATAATGTTTGTCCATTTGTTTATAATTTTAAGGGAGCATTTGACCTTGTTGGTGGAGCTGACCAAATGTTACCACCCAGTGAACTTATGAGTTAAATGCCTAGAAAAGTCAGAAAAGGGAAAGGTTAAATAATGCCATATGTACAGGCTCGTATGTAATATCTTTGGCAATTGAGAGCTACAAAAAAAGTAACATTTCCAGAGGTCCAGAGGAAACATTTAATCCTTTCAGCTATTGGTGGTACAATTCGTGCTGGTACTTTTCCTAAGCTCTGTTTTTCTCCCTGTATTTTACCATAAAGACTTTGTATTAGTTGTCTATTGCTGTGTAACAACTTAACCCAAACTTAGCAACTTAAAACCACAAACGTTACCTTGCAGTTTCTGAGGGTCAGGAATCAGTGGCTTAGCTGGGCAGTTCTGATTTAGGGCCTTTCATGAGGTTGCAGTCAAGCTGTGGGCTGGGTCTGCAGTCATCTGAAGGCTTAACTGGGCCAAAGGAGCTTTTTCCAAGCTCCTGCCATGGTTTTTTAGCTGGCTATAGGCCAAAGGCCTTAGTTCCTCATCTTATATATAGGCCTTTCTGTTCTAGGTGCTGCTTATGACATGGCAGCTGATGTCCTCAGAGAGAGAGGAGCAAGAGGGCTACCTCAGTGTCTTTTATAACCTAATCTTGAAAGTGACATACCATCGCTTCTGCTGTACCAACCCTGGTGCATTGTGGGGACAACACAGTGATGTGAATACCAGTAGGCTGGGACCATTGAGAGCTATCTTGGAGACTGGTGACTATAAAACTAAAAAATACCAAACCCATTGCCATCAAGTCAATTCCAACTCATAGCAACCCTGTAGGACAGAGTAGAAGTATCCCATAGGGTTTCCAAAGCTATAACCCTTTTACAGAAGCAGACTGCCACATCTTTCTCCCACGGTGCGGGTGGTGGGTTTGAACCACCAGCCTTTTGGTTAGCGGTCGAGTGTTTAACCACTGCGCCACCAGGGCTCCTTCTGGTTACTATAGACTTCCTTTATTAGTAGAGGGGGAGAAAGATGTGGTAGTCTCCTTCCTTAAAGATTTACAGCATTGGGAACCTTATAGGGAAGTTCTACTCTGTCCTATAGGGTTGCTATGAGAATCGAGTTATGAGCTGGTAGGACTTCAGCTATTGCTCTTATACAGATGATGTCCAAGTCTGTATTACCGAGTGATATCTAGTGTTTTATCTTCTGGATACTCCTGTGCTATTTTAACTCCTGTTGTCTGAAACTAAATTTATCAACTCCTTTCCCATGCCCTTCTGATAAGCGACATAGGTTCACAACTTGAAGCTTTCTTTTCCCCAAACTCTTCCTTTTCTTCTTATCACTGGTCAGGTAATTTAATATTTTCTTTCCTCAGTATTTCCCAAATCATCATCATCTTTATATTCCTATGGCTACCATCTAGTAAAGAACCCTGGTGGTACAGTGGTTAGGTGCTTGGCTGCTAACCAAAAAGTTGGTGGTTTGAACTCACCCAGCGGCTCCACAGGAGAAAAAACCTGATGATCTGCTCCCGTAAAGATTACAGCCTAGGAAACTCTGTGGGGCAATTCTACTCTCAAGGGCACACGACAACAACCATTTAATAAGGTCCTTAGTACCTCACACCCGTAATTGAAATAACTGTCTGATTAGTAGCCTGACTTGAAGTCTCTCCTTTCCAGTCCATTTTATCTGCTCCTACAAGATTAATCTTCCTGAAGCTTGACTTTCATCATGTCACATCCTGTGGTTCATTAAAATTCAAATACTTTTACATAAGATCCTTAGCCTGTGGGCTGGTACATTACTAGGGGTATGTGATAGTATTGACAAGAGGGCTTTCATGAGAAAATAAATCCATCACACACACAGGTTTATTTAAGACTTAAAAATTATCTTGACCACTATAAGAAGATTAAAAGTTTTTTTATCTTAAGTTAAACAGGAAGGAGTTTTGGAAAAAGTTATAGCCTGGTTTCATGTTTGCGGAGAAAAGACTATATTTTTTTTTTTTTTTTTTTTTGAGAGATAATGCTATAATAGAAATCAGAAGGTTTTGGTAGAAAAAGTGAAGAAGAGAATTTTTCTAGAGGGTTAGGAGTTTACTTGGTAGATTGGTTTATCATAAGCGTTATAAGAAGTACAGATTCAAACCCAAACTTGAGTGAGGGTCGGCCTGTGGTTTGAATTCTCAGGAGGAAGGCTTTTGTTTTGTTTTGTTTCCCCACCCAGAGCCCGGACTGACTGACAGACAAGTTTCCTTATTGCCCCTTTTTGTCTATGGACAGATTCTTTCCAGGCCCTCTTTTCACTGAAGATGTAGCCCCTTGGAGCCCAAAGCCTCATCTTCTCTCCCTGAGTGTCCATAAAAACACAAGCCTCTTTGGATTGTAAAGATTAACAATACCGCCCCCCTCCCCCACCCAGAGAAAAGATCCCCAGTCAAAGCCTTGGCACCTGCCTACTGCTCTGGTTTTTCAGTTCTTTTGTTTTGGGCTCCAAGGAGTTCTCCTACTAATTGTAGAAAAGGAGATTTTTTAAGATTGTGTCACTTCCCATATGACTGGAAACAAAAGTTGTATTTTTCAAAGTGAGTGAAGACAAAAATTTGTCCCAGTTCTTTAGAGTATACTATTATTTTGTCATTTGAAAGCCTTGTATGATAATCCCTCTGCTCATCAAGGATGAGCTGTTCATGTTAGTGATGTAAGACTCCAAAGCCAAAGTTCTGACTGTGGAGAAACCTACCTTCAAAGTTAAGGGATAGTCTGAATTTTAATGTAAGCGTGTCTTATTTTCAGCTTAACTTTTCCCACTTGCCTTTCTTGGTAGGAGAAACAATTGCAGCACTTACAGATGTAACCAACTTGAATCATCCAGAATCTGATGGCCAGATCACAATTTTTACAGACAAAACAGGAGTTATAAAGGCTGCAAGATTACTTCTTTCTTCAGTGACAAAAGTGCTGTTGCTGGCAGACTGTGTAGTCGTTAAGCAGATAATAACATCAAGAAATAAGGTATTTTTCTTCCTGATATTTCTGTATTTGTGTCTTCCAGGCTTGTTCAAAAGTGTTTTTTCAGGTTAATTACCAGTAATTTGGCAATTCTTGTCGATTATAATTGTTTATAACTGTAAATATCTATAATTTAAAAGTGATATTTCTTCTATACCTGTAATTCCTGAACTATGTGCATACTGTACCTAAACTTTTGAATGCAAAAAGTCTTCTCAGAAAATCATCATTCTTTTGTTGCTTCTCGATAAAAACTGTTCATGTGTACAAAATCCAGGAAGAAAAGCTGAACCATGACAATGTATGTAGTAGAAACCTAGTTGATAAAAATTCTGAACCTATCGGTACCTTTTTTTCCAAGTCAGAGAGTTAACAGTTTAAGAGCTTAAGAAAAAATTCAGTCACTGCAACTATATACTCAATTATCTGCAGCTATAAAATTTCTGTATGCAGAGTCTCTAAATATTACTGAATAATCACAAAACTTAGAGAATGGATTTAAACTCTTTCAGTCCAGAACTCTTCCAATCTCTCAGATTATAGTGGTGTTCCTAGAGCAGGAGAATCCAGGGCATCTACAATCACTTCTTTCCTTGGATAATTCCCTAGGCAAGGGGGGTGGGGGGCAATCAACCCAGGAATGGCTTGTCCTGGGAGAGTTTGAGGAGAAAACCTCAAGACACTTGATGAGTATTGAGTAAATCAAAAAGTGTAAGTTTAAAGAAAAAAAAAATGAAGAGGTGGATTAGGCAGTGTTAGAGGAATAGAAAAAATTTCCCCTCTTTGAAAGGTGGAGTTCCCGCTCAGTGTGTTAGTTCTTATCTGTGCTAGTTGCCTGGACTTCCTGAGCTGCCAGGGCAGATTAACATGCCAAATATCATATCCTCATTAAAGCTACATAAACACAGGATATCTGTGTTTTCTTTACCTATCTTGGTCTGAGTAAAACTAATCCAGTGCTATTATTTTAGAGAAAGTTATTTGAAAATATGTTCCACATCCATTTCTTTCTCATGTCAAGAAAACATATAACAATGTCTGTTGGCTCTACTACAGATTCAGGTTCTTTGTTCACCCTTGACTGTCTAAAGCTTCTTGACAATTAATTTTTTTGACATAGGCAATTCCTGACTGACCCAAACTGTTTTCCTGCTCTGTAAGTCTAAAACCTGCCTTACAACCCCTCACTCTGCAGATGGCCTTCTTCTACTTTCCTGAGGATAATGAGGTTCCTCCAATTTTGTTTCACTGAACCTTAAACCTTCTGTTTGTTGTCACTTATCCCACTCCATTCCTAGTTCTCTGAAGATTTTATTACTGTAGTCCTGCCCCTTCCACATTTTCCAGATGTTGTTAACTTCTCTTGTATACTTAGTCATTACTTTTATTCTTTTCTTTTTACTCTCAAATCAGCCCAGGTCTCTCCATCCTAAGAAACAAATCATTCCCTAGATGATTCTGCCTTTGAATCTGTTTCTGCTTGTCTGAGCCCCTCCTTCACTGTCCTCTTTTCAGACTCCTTCTCACCTTTCCCCTAGAATTTAGAATTTTCTTTCTTTCTTTTTTTCTCTACTCAACCTTGAAGTCTCAGTCTCAGATCTGTCACCCTGCTAATAAAATACTATTAATTCTCTATTTTGCAGGTTCTTGCAACTATGGAAAGACTAGAGAAAGTGAGTAGTTTTCAAGAGTTTGTCCAAATATTCAGTCAATTTGGAAATGAAATGGTGGAGTTTGCACATCTAACTGGAGATAGACAAAATGTATGTATTTGCCACATTTTAAAATCTTCAGATAAATGCATGCTTTTCAGTTTGGATGTGGGTGTAGTCTTCTGGATCATTTGGATTGCTTTCTTTGCTTATGAAATCTATAACCTTGGCCTTGAAAGCCTTTCATAAATAAGTCAGAATAAGGTAAGTAGATCTGTATGTCTTTTTTGCATACATATAACAGTTAAATATGTTCCTACCTCACATACTGGGAAACGTCATACTCACCCTACAAGGCCCAATTTGAGTATTTCTTATGCGTTTTTATGGAGCTTTCCATTTGATTCTTCTACTAGGGCTGAGGCAAATAAATTGAGTCATCATATATATTCTTACAGTGTTTTGTTAAAAGAAAAATATTTTGTAACAGATGAAAATTTTATGCAATTCAAATTTTAGTGTCCATAAATAAAGCTTTATTGGAACACACCCTTACTCATTCATTTATGTACTGTCTATGGCAACTTTCATGCTACAATGGCAGAACTGAGTGTTGGAACAGAGGCCGTGTGGCCCAGAAAGCCTAAAACATTTACTTTCTGGTCTTTTTTTTTTTTTTGTTGTTGTTGTGCTTTAAGTGAAAGTTTACAATTCAAGTTAGTCTCTCATACAAAGATTTATACATACATTGTTATGTGACCCTAGCTGCTCTCCCTATATTATGACAGCACACTCCTCCTTTCCTCCCCAGATTTCCTGTGTCCATTCAACCGGCTCCTGACCCTCTCTGCCTTCTCATCTTGCCTCTGGACAGGAGCTGCCTATTTAGTCTCATGTATCTACTTGAGCTAAGAAGCACACTCTTCACGAGTATCATGTTATGTCCCATAGTCCAGTCTAATCTTTGTTCTGAAGAGTTGGCCTTGGGAATGGTTTTAGTTTTGGGCTAACAGAGAGTCTGGGGGCCATGTCTGGTCTTTTTACTAAATTTGAGTTCTGCACCCCACTTTTCTCCTGCTCTGTCAGGGACTCTCCCTTATGTTCCCTGTCAGGGCAGTCACTGATGGTAGCCGGGCAACATCTAGTTCTTCTGGTCTCAGGCTGATGAAGTCTTGGGTTTATGTGGCCCTTTCTGTCTCCTGGGGTAATATTTTCCTTGTGTCTTTGGTGTTATTCATTCTCCTTTGCTCCAGGTGGGTTGGGACCAATTGATGCTTCTTAAATGGTCACTTGCTAGCTTTTAAGTCTGGTCTTTTATTGAACACGTTTGTCAATCTCTGATTTAGATGGTAATAACCAAGTTATAGGAGTCCCTGGGTGGCGCCAACAAACATTCAACTACTAACCAAAATGTTGGCAGTTCAAACCCACCCAGAGGCATCTTGGGAGAAAGGCCTGGTGATCTGCTTCTGAAAGGTCATAGCCATGAAAACCTCGTGGAATGCAGTTCTACTCTGCAACAGATAGGGTCACCATGAGTCAGATTCAACTTGATGGCAGCTGTTTTGGTTTTTTAACCAAGTTATTATTAGAGTATTTGGCTCTAGACTGGATCAGCAATATTTGGGTACCTTCTGTGATAGCACTCTATTGAAGACTCTATGAAGAGAAACCTCCCCCACTACCCTCACCCCCCAAAAAAAAAATCAAAGAACAGTGCTTGCTTCAGGGTTCATAATCTAGTTGGGGAAAATTGTCAACCCAAGAAACATCTTAAGAACATTTCAGACTAGCATACTGATTAAGTTCAGGACAAACGAACTTCATGGTGAGATGAATAAACAGGTAGATGGGATTAATTGTACATGATCCTTGAACGAACTGGCTTCTAAACTTGTGTCTTGAAGGAAATAAAAATCAATAGATGCTCAATAAATAAGTCATTTTTAACTAATGAAGATGTAGGATGTTATTTCTGGCTAGGAGTAACATGTGCCACATGGACACAAGAATGTCAGGTGTAGTGAGTGACCAGAATGTGAGCCATGTGGTAGCCTCCCCCTATGTCTCAGTTTCTCACTCTTTCACCCTTTATAAAGGCAGCTGTTTCTTTTCACTCGTATCATGTTGATACATTTAGACTGAAGAGATGGCATTTTATAAAAGTTTACTCTGTAATGTTAGATTAGTATTTTCACATTTCTATTGTCATAAATGGAGCCCTGGTGATACAGTGGTTAAGAGCTCAGCTGCTAACCAAAAGGTCAGCAGTGCGAATCCACCAGCCACTCCTTGGAAATCCTGAGAGGCAGTTCTACTCTGTCCTATAGGGTCACTGTGAGTCAGAATCGATTCAGTGGCAATGGATTTGGGTTTGTTTTTTTTTTGGTATTGTCATAAGCATTTTAAATTTCCACAAGATACTCTATTAAGCAGATTTAGTACCACATTTTACTTAATCATTTATTATTTAACATTTAAGTTTCTGATTTTTCAGGATTATAATATGCTATGAATGAATGCGTTTTTAGATATATAAATTGATTTCTAAATTTATTCTTATTCTCATGGGATAGATTTCCAGAGCTAGAATTACTGAGCTGTAGAGTGAACATATTTGGAAACGCTTCGTCAGTATTTCCAATTTGATTTCCAAAAGGAATATACCAATTTGTAGTCCTACCAACAAGCTGTAGTATCATCTTAAAGTAGATTCTATTATTGCTGAGTAAATGAATTTTTCAAGAAATTGAATTGTTGACATGATCCTAGAATCCTTAGTGATTTTATTTCATTTTTAGGATTTGAAAGATGAAAAGAAAAAGGCAAAAATGGCAGCAGCTAGGGCGGTTCTTGAAAAATGTACAATGATGCTTCTCACAGCTTCAAAGGTATGAAGATCTTTTTACTGTGTTGTAAATTAAGAATTAGAAAACCTGATGGAAGTGCATCTAATTTATTTATTTCATATTTTAAAAAGATTAAGATGATAACTTAGAATATAGGCCATAATAGTCAAATCTCAGTTATTCTTTAGGAAGAATGCTAATGTACTTTTCCAGCTCCAAACAGCAATTAATCTACAGGTCACTGTGACTGAGCAACTAAACTGACGGTGGTCGGTTAGGTGCTGTGGAATTGAGGCCTACCAGACATAGCCACTGCCTGCAAGGTTTTGCCAGTCTTGTTGGGGAGCCAGCATACATGCTGTAGAGAAAGCTGGGCAAGTTAGGACCTGTTAAATAACCGTGGGGTATTATGTCAGCCCTTAGTTTGTTTATGCTATAAATTCATACCTCTAATTCCCTATTCTACTTTTAACAAAATTATCATGAGTTTCCAGTTCCAAACAGCAGTTAGCCAGCAAAGTGGTACAATTCAAGAATCAACCAGCAAACCTCTTATTAGCAGTTTGTTTAGAGTTACTTGGGCCTTTTCTGCTCAGAGTATGTACTCTATGCTAGCACCAGAGAAGCCACAAAAAGAGAGATTTATCAGTGGAGCCCACGGGGAAGGCTGTGCTCATATCTAGGTCTCTGAGTTTTTTATTTACATCATTTTTTTAAAGTCAAAAATGCATCCACAGTCACATATCATCTCTTAATTTTTCCTCATTCTTTTTCAGTTCTTGCACATATAAGACAATATTTTAAAATAGTTTTAATCATGATGAAGATACAGGTTTTTTTTTTTCCTTCAAAAATTTTAAGTAAACTTATTATTGGAATATGAGGATAAAGTTTTGCACTTTGAGTTTTTCACTTAACCTTGCTATCGCTTTTTACTCATCCTGCTTCCACTTTAGTGAGGAGAAGGAGCTGGGTGAGCCAGGGACCCAGGAGATTTTGGTAAAGAACCATTTTTATTAGCATGACCTGTTCTGTGTAATATTTTGTGTATTAGGATAAGGGTCAAATATTAAAATGAAAATATTCAATTTTTTTGAAGACGTGCCTTAGGCATCCTAACTGCGAATCAGCTCATAAAAACAAAGAAGGAGTATTTGACCGGATGAAAGTGGCCTTGGATAAGGTCATTGAAATTGTGACTGACTGTAAACCAAATGGAGAGACTGACATTTCATCTATCAGTATTTTCACTGGAATTAAAGAATTCAAGGTAAGAATAAATAGAAGAGTATATTTTGATTTTTTTTTCTTTCCACCTAAAAGGAGCATTCTTTTACGTAGTACCCATATTTTTGTGTAATCTTTTAGAATAGATGCTTCATAAAAGCAGGTGTATCTGTTAAAACAATGCCTCTACAGACAAACATAATCTTCAGTACCATTGGCCTTAGTGTTGTGTATATAGAAGAACACTGGTCTTGGGTTATAGTAGCTACCTTGGCCCTGTTTATCCACAATAATAGGAATTGAGCAGTGCCGTATCATCCATGGATGATGACAGGCAGCTAATCATTTCTGCTGGAATTCTTACTCTTCCTTATGCTATAGAGCTAGTACTTTGAAACTGTGGTAATAATAAGTAGTATTAATGATAACTAAACAAACAAACAAGCATTAACATTTATTGAGCACTTACTATGTGCCAGGCCCTATTCTGAGTGCTTTAAATGTATGGACTCATATGATCCTTAGAAGAATCTATGCAGTAAGTATTATTGTTATTATCCCCATTTTACCATTGAGTAGACTGAGAAACAGGGATTAAGTAACTTGCAAATTAGTAAGTGTCAGAGTTGGGATTTGAAACCAGGTAGTCTGACTCCAGAATCCCCACTATTTTAGAGAAGAACTACTCATCAGAAGTCAGAGAGATGGTAAAAATGCCCCTGGGAAACCTTTGGGAAAGAGCAGTCTGAATCAGAAGGATCCTAGGAAATCATCTAGTACAACCCCTGATTTCACAGTTGGAGAAAGGAAGGCCTGCGAAGGTACCTAATATGCTAAGGGTAACCCACTTCTATAATGGACAAGGCTGAGGCAGGATGGCCTTCCTTCCATCTTACTACACTTTGACTTTTAGTAGTATGAAGGTCTAAGTAGGAACATGGGGTGAGAGGAAGAAAGTGATAGAAAGAACATCTATTTTGAAGATACAGGGACTTAATAAATATTATCTTAATAAATAGTAACCCCTAACTGTCCTTTCAGGTGGATATTATTATACCTGTTTTTTTGAGGAGGAGAGCTAATAAGTGGTGGAACCATTTTTAGAACAAGGACTGTCTGATTCCAAAGTGCATGACCTTTCAGTTTACACCTCCGGGTTTGTTTATATGATGCTTGAAGAGAAAGAGGCAGCAGGGATCAGTCATTTTCTTAGAATTTTTATTACTGAAAAGGATCTTAGAGATTGTTTTTCTAATTCCTTCTTTTTATAAAGGCTGAGAGAGGAGATGTCTTGTCAAAGGCCAAAGGATAATTAGGGAAACAGGTAGGATTAGCACTAGATCTTTTGCCTCTTGACACTGCTAGGCCCTTTCTGGTTCCAGGTTATCTAGGAGCAGTTCTATCCAGGTGGCTGCTGCTGCTGCTTCTTGCTGCTGACTCTTTCAGGATCAGGCATTCTGGAGATTGAATAGGCTCAGTCTCATGGGACAGTGGTTATCTTTTTGGCATTTTAGTTTTTTCTTATGGAGAATATAATCTGTAGAAAGTGAATACTGTACTCATTACTGTGAATACATGAACAAATCTTATGAAACCATATAAATCAATGGCTTAAAAAAAAATGAAAAACTCTACTAAATATTGCTGTCTAAAAATATGTATATAGTCTACTTAAAGGGAAATAAAAAACTTTAACATAAGTGGTATTTGTTCAACATGACTGATTTTTATGTTTTAATTCTGTTTAAATTCTCAAGTTCTCAGACCCTCATTGTCAATCCCATGCTCACTTTTATCTGTGTTCATTCCTAGCTTAAAAAAAAAAAATCCTTCTGCCTACCTAGGTGGGAGCAATTACTCTAGTGATGGCCAAGAGGAGAAGGGGAAGCAAGCACCCCCCTACGGCCTCTTGACCTTTCTGAACCTTGGTATTTTCATGGGTCATGTAAAAGTGGGTCATGTGTTAAGAATTAACTTGAAATAATATTTGTGAAAGGACTTCAAAATGCTAAACAATGTATCATCATGTTCATCATGACCACAGTTATAACCATTACTGCTTATTGCTTCTTGGCCCAAGTGATCTCTGACATATTTCATGAGATAAAGGTTAAGTAAGGGTAAGTGCATAACATAGCTTACAAAGCTAAGTGAGAGAAAGATTGCACAAGTGAACACGTGTCCATCACACATTGAAGGAACTCTAGTGTAGTATGGCTGAAGCGGAAGGTTGTTTTGGGGTGTAGAGAGTGAGGTAGACTGTTATCTCAGAGGTATGTGAGAATAAGACCATGGAAGTTTTTGTGCTATACCATGGAAGTTTGGGCTTGATTCTGTAGGTGGTGCAGAGCCAATTAGAGGGAAGTGGAAATATCAGAAGATTTACATTTTAGAAAGATTATAGCAGCCACCAACTGTAGGAGGCTTTAGTCAGGGAAGTGCTGTTGGGGACATAAGACAAAATACAAGGTGACTAGTTAGGTGACTAGGAGAGTGTTGCTGAATTAATGAAGGAAAATTTATTCCTTTCCCAGTCCCTCCCACACTCCACACCTTCCATACCCTTCCCCTTGGGCTCAGCACATATTCATATTTGGATGTAACATATCTTCCAGAACTTTGCCTAGGCATTTCTCAGCTGAATATCCTTTACCTAGAGACTAGCTCATTTTTCCTGCTGGTTGGTACATGTTGATGTTCTTTCTGCCTTGGTACTCACTGGTCTCATAGGAAAAAATGTGGTTAACAACTATGGAATGAAACTCTACATGGCTATTAGTGGCTCTTGAGCAATGCGTCCTCCTGTTCAATGGAGAATATAGTTATCACTGGACACTGTATTTCCCTCAGCCCTCAGACACGGAAAGAAATTGCTGGTGTCTTCCCAGGCAGTATTAGAAATTACAGCCCATTGTGGTTGGGTGGGAGCATTGACTCACATGAACGTATATCCTTTTTGTTCTCAGATGAATATTGAAGCCCTTCGGGAGAATCTTTATTTTCAGTCCAAAGAGAATCTTTCTGTGGCGTTGGAAGTCATCTTGGAGCGTACAGAGGACTTTACTGATTCTGCCTATACCAGCCATAAGCACAGGGAACGCATCTTAGAACTGTCAACTCAGGCGAGAATGAAACTGCAGCAGTTAATTTCTGTGTGGATTCAAGCTGTAAGAATTTTTTTCATGAAAGTAAATCTTATATAGCTTTTCCCTAATGCTCTGAGAAATGTGAAAGCTAACATAATCACCAGGAGTGTGAATTTGGTCCAGAGTTCAATAAAGGAGTCTCATCCTTCTTTCCCTCCTAGTTGGCCAAAATATCCTTCCCATCCAGCACTCACAGTGTTTGTTCCTCACCCTGGCCAGTCTGGGTTCTGTGCCACTGTCACCATCACTAGTTCACCCTGTTGTCCCTATTCTTCCATCAAACTCACTTGTGGAAAATTCCTCCCCAAAATGCTTCTTCAGAGTGAAGAGCAGAGGAGTAGACCCCTACCTAGAGGTTCTTGGGACCTGAGTCTTACTGCCGGAGCCATTCAGATGTGCACAGTTCTTAACTCTGAGGACAGCTGATTTACAGACACAACGCTTTAGAAAACTTATTGAGGTCTAGATGAAATGAAGACAAGGGTAGATCCAGCTGGCAGGTAAAAGATTTTTCACCCTTGCACAGATTCCTGGTCTTAAATAGGCTCTGGTATGCTTAAAACATGGGAGGTTACTTGGGCAGTGTGGTAAAGACTGACAGAAGTGAGATGATATAGGAAAAGTGTACCTAATTTCATATAAAGGGTAGATTACAAAATTGTAGTTGAGAGAGGACAGAGGCCTGAGATATATCTTTGGCACCATTTATTTATTTCTTAGACCCAGGCTATTTCAAAATAGTGTTTAACATGGTTTATAACATAAAGCATAGATAGAACTAATCTGGAAGTCATGAACAAAAGCTTTGGCAGTAAGGCTAAAGAAGGATGAATATGGATAAGTGTGAAGAAAGAAGCAGCAGTTTACTTCCTTGCAAATAGATTGATTTATGAATGAAGAAAAGATTTGAATCAGATTTCTCTGATGTTTTCTTGGCATCATAATAGAGCAAATGTTTACATTAACTGGGAAACTTGCCCTAGAGTAGAGTGGTGTCAGGGATATGAGCAACATTTGTGTTTAATTTGAATTATCTATGTGGTATCTAGTCTGAGCAGAAGATTGCTTCTGTGTTAAATATTTTCACCTAACATTCAGTATAAAGTGTTTCTTGTGATGAAATGCTCTCTGAATTAGGAATCCAATTCTATCAATACTTTGATTTGCAATTAGCACCTTTCGTGTATTTTACAAGCACTCGGGTCTCTGATTCTACATGTCAGATGTATTGCTCATTCATTCATTTTTTTCAGCAAGTGCTGAGTGCCTTGTGTATGCCAGCCACTGGAAATCTAAAGATGAGTAAGATAAAACCTTTACCTGCAAGAATTTTACAATCTAGCAAAATGTGAGAAGGGGTAAAATAAGTACACAAAGCTTCATAAGACAGGGCGTAGACCATGTGTTGAGGGGCTTTGCAGGAAGGTGAATTTACATTTAGGGAGAAGAATCAAGAAGGCTTCATGAGGTACTGACATTTAACTTTGGTTTATTCATTCAAAGAATTAAACACCTACTACCTGCCCTGTGCTGTGCCAGGTACTGTGATGTCAGTGGTAAACAAAATAGGTGGGATCCTGGACTTGATGGAGCTTATATAGGTCTAGTGGGGAAGACAGAGTTTAAACAAAAAATCAAACAAATAAACTTGTAATTGCAAACTAGGATGACTACTTAAAGAACAAGATTAGAGAGGGCAAGAAGAAGGTCTAATTTAGATTGGGTAATCTAAGAAGACCTTCTTGACTAAGACATTTATGTAAGATGAAGAGGAATAGGACTTTATTTTTAACTAGATTAAGAGTGAAAGGAAGAGCATTCCGGGCAGAAGATAAAACAGATTTAGTTTTAGACATGATTAATTTATTAAAGAAAAGTAGACTCCACCTGTTAAAGTGGGAAAATATAAGTAATAGCTAAAATAATATTTTCTACTGTTATAAGCAAGTGAATTTTTAAAATCTACTTTTCTTGTAGTTCACATAATGATATTAAAATTTATTATAATTTGTAGTTCAAGTAAAATTGGAATTACCAATTTAAAATTTAAAAAATGAGATAACACCACATATATACTTTTCAAATTTTTTAGCAAAGCAAGAAAACAGAAAGTATCGCTGAAGAGCTAGAACTCAGTATATTGACAATCACTCACAGCCTGGATGAACTTAAGAAAGAAGTAAGTATAGTTTGTTATCTAACTTGGTTTAATTCATTACTAATTTTCATGTTGTATGGTATGTATGAAATGCATTAGTATTATGTCCCTGTGCCCAGAAAATGGTCTTAAAACTTCTCGTTTGATCTAGTTATTTTGAAGCCACCACTTTGTTAGTGTCATCTTTCTCAAAGCCTCAATCAGATGTTCTGTCATGAAACATCAATGTTACCACTAATTATGATGTCTTTTGCAAATACTTTTTTAAGTAACTTGTTGAATTATTGAAGTCTTGCAATTATTTACTTTAAAAATTAGACACGGTTCAAAAATTTACCTGGGATCCATCAGTTCTCTCACTTGCATTTCTATATGCTTTCTTGGGTTGGAGACAAAAAGTGGCATTAAAAGCTGAAGAATAATGCACAACCTGATCTCTGCCCATAAAAGTGTACTGGCATTTGGATGTCATAGGAAAACGTGGTGAGAATGGCTGTCTGAGAAAACACAGGTTTCTGCCTAGCGCCCATACCCTTTGGCTTTTTCCTCATTTATACATGGGATGTCATGAAACAAATAAAACGGTATTAGAAGAAAAATACGTTTATATTTAGGGTTTATTATCTTATTTCCATTGAACTTACCAAAAAGTTAATTTACTACAGACCCAGTAGGGTTTCTTTCAGAAGCTGAATAATTATTTGCTCTCTTGCTGCTGTGTTAGGTAAATCTTACACATTGATCCCAAATTAGGGTTGTTGATGCCATCCTGGGAGATAAATATGTGCAAGTGATTGTTTATTGGCCCTTTAAAAGGGGGCTGTTAAATCAGGAGATAGTAGTATATTGAACAAGCATAACTCAGGTTGTGAAAAATATATAACTTTATTTCTGTTTTTCCCTGTCCCTTTAAAGTCTACTCATAAAAATGATATTTGATGGTGAAAATCTAAATGCTTTCCTTCTAAGACTGGGAACAGGCAAAAATATCCACTCTCATCACTTTTATTTAACATTTTTACTGGATAGTCAGTGCAATAAATCAAGAGAAAGAATAAATGGCACACATATTGGAAAAACCAAAAACCAAACCCGTTGCCATTGAGTCGATTCTGACCATAGCAACCCCATAGAACAGAACATATTGGAAAGGAAGAAGTAAAAGTATATTTGCAGATGACATGGTTGTGTACATAGAAAATCATATTTTTAATGTACCCTTAAAATGGTATATTTTGTTGTATATAAGTTATACCTCAATAGAGTTGATTTTTTAAAATAGTCTTTTGGTTGAGAAGATTTTCCAGTTCCCTGAATGAAAACTTGGTCATCTCATGACTTATTTGGTCACTCTCAAGTAACAGGAAATCCTATGGTCACTTAAATCAGGGGGTAGCCAACTATAGCTAGGCCACCTGTTTTTGTAAATAAAGTTTTCTTGGACACAGCCATGACCATTTGTTTACATATTGTCTATGGTCACTTTAGTGCAGGACTGGGTAATTGTAACTGAGACCCTGTGGTCTGAAAACCCTAAAATATTTATTATTTGGCCCATTACAGAAAAAGTTTATCAATCCCTCCTTTAAGTCATAAAACAATTTCAGTTCAAAAATTAGAATGTTCATTCCAATATATTAATCAGTATTTCCATCGTCATTCAATTGTAGGACTTCTCCTCTTTCCCCACTCCCCTACCTCAAGTAGGACTTTTGGGGAAGGTGTGATTGTCTTCTCCCTTTTTTACTTCCCTTATCCTCCATTATCTAGCTGTTGTTATTGATCTTTGCAAGGCTGTGGCACAGGATGAGAAGAGAGGAAGGGGGGAAACCTCATGTTCTTAGTGACTGGTGCCCTTATAAGATAGATGGCTTTGGGCCCAGTAGATGTTTAAAGCTTTCTGTCTCATGGATACTTTAGTTGGGTGCCCCTACTACAACTCCCATATCATGTTGCTTCTTCTACTCGTCCACCTTGAGGTGTGCCTGGAGGTAGGACTCACGGTAAGTACTCTATTAGCTCTTCAAATAGATCCGCTTCACAAAAACATCTCCTCTCTCTTATCTCTAATTTTTAACTCTTTTATATTTTTTAAGAGGGTCAAGAATCAAGAGCATGAAGTTGGTTTTTGGATGTTTCTATTATAAATTATATACATGATGATGTGTTTCACATCTTACTTGGTACTGATTGTTGTTGTTAGTTGCTGAGTCGATTTGAAACTTCTATTTTAACGTTCTGCTACACATAGAAGGACGTGGTTTTCTATGGTTTAAATATAGCTAACCCATTTTTTTTTAACCTATTCAATTTTAACTATTGTTAAAATTGTGACTCTCATTGGAGCATAAAATCATTATTTTTATCATGGACTTTGGTGATAGACTCAGTGGCTTCCCACAAGCTTCATTTTCCTCACCTCTTAAATGGGTATAACACTATCAACCTATAAGAATTTTTATAAGGATTAGGGGAGATAATGTATATAAAGCTGCTGTCAGTACGTTGCACAGAGCAGGAACTTACTAAATGTTTTTTCTCCCTTCCTTTGTTAGAGTTGTTAGTGTATTGTCTCCAGAACTTTCTTGTAAATTTTATGTGATCTTGGGCAAGTGACTCAATTTCTGTGGACTTGTTTCATAGTCTGTAAAATAAAGGTCTGGCAGTAGATATTCTCTAAGGCCTTGATGGTTTAAAAAAAAAATTTTTTTTTTTAAATTCTTATGTGGCATTTAGTTTCCAAAGGAAGGTGTATTTTAATATGTTTTTGTTCCTGACTGTAATTATCACTTGACTGCATGAAAGCAGACTAGTCTATTGTTAATTTTGTAGAAAGTCCTGCCAGTTTTTAATTTGAATTGACACTGGACTACTTCCAGGAAAAAAAAAAAATTATTCAAATAGGCATAATTCAAAGTCATATTTTTTTAGGGCAATGTTATTAAAAATTATTTATTTCTGGAGTACTCTAAAATAACCTGTCACATCATTTAAAAAAGAAAAGAAAAAGACAGGATAAGGAGAAGAAAAGAATGTGTTAATAGTGCCCAACGATGTCCAGTGTGGGTGAGCCGTGCTTAAAAACCATTCCACCCAAGTCAAATAAACTTCGGGGTTTTTGTTATTCTTCTATCTATTGTTTCTACTGGGACCCAATTTGTTCATAATATTAATTTTTTTTCCTTCAGAGAGTAAAGTTCTGGGTAGCAACTATAAATAGACTGTAACACCCCTGAGGGAAGGCACTGTGTTCTCTTTGCCATGCATGTCCGGCATGTAGCACAGTGCCTGCCATGATGTAGGTATTTAATAAAATTTTGTTACATAGCTAACTGACTGAATCTCATATTAATACTTTTTCAAAAGTCTGTTAGAAAACTTGAGAGAATGGAGAACCCAAGGTCGAGAATGGGAGAGTGTTGACATGTAGTGGGGTTGGCAACCAATGTCACAAAACAAACTGTGTATTAATCATTTAATGAGAAACTAATCTGCTCTGTAAACCTTCATCTGAAGCACAATAAAAAAAAAAAGAAAACTTTAAAGAAGAGAGGAAGTGGGGAAGCAGAACATTCTTACTGACTGTTGCCCTTATAAGATGGCTTTGGGCCCAACAGATGTTTAAAGCTTCCTGTCTCATGGATGTTTTAGTGGGTTCTTCAGAGTCTCTTTTGCTGGATGCCCCCTACTACAATTCCCATATCTCTTTGCCTCTTCCACCCCGATGATGAGCTGCCATTTCATTTTTCTCCCACTACTCTGAATACCATACTCTAACATTGTTCCATTCTTCACCAACTGTAAGAGCAGCAGAAGCATTCTTTTTTTTTTTTTTTAACTGAGAGAGAAGCTACGTGGCAAAGAACTGGTTGATCGGAGGATGAAAAGGGGACAAGGCTACTACTCTGCCCCTGGATGTCCAGTTCATTTTCTACGAACAGCAGTACTGCCAGCACCAGGGGATTCAAAGATGAATCTGTTATCACTCCTGCCCTTGGGAGAACTTACAGGCTCCCCAGTGCTACACAACTACTAGTATTACCACAGGCACCTTTATACTTTCTGCTCCACAGATCAAGTGGGACTGCTTCGAAGTTTCTGCTCTTTAGTTTCTAAAATGCTTATGAAGCGCTTGATCAAAAAAACCTTGTTTGTTTTCTTTCCTTCAATACCCTTTACCTCACATCTGCAGCTTCATAGAACAGCAGCACAACTGGCAGCAGATCTCTTGAAGCACAATGCTGATCATGTGGTTTTAAAAGCATTAAAACTTACTGGAGTAGAAGGGAATTTAGAAGCTTTGGCTGAATATGCCGGTAAACTCTCTGAGCAGAAAGAACAGCTCATTGAGGTGAGTAATAGGTTTGCTGGATAAAAAGTTATTATTTCATGACAACTATACTATCATAAAGAAATATTAACTTGAATATAACTTTTGGTTCTGATATGAGCATTTTTTCTTTCTCTTTTGGAACCTTAAAGGTATACATTATGTCTGTTCTGTTCTTACAGCTTTTGGCCTCTGAAACAAAACAGAACAAACAACTCTAGGACCCTCGAATGCACTTCTTAATCTTCGTTTTCTTATCCTCCCAAAGAGATTAGACCTTGGAGTTAGAGCAGTGGGGTACATTGCATGACTTGTTTCTGTTTGCATCAGAGTCTCAGCAGGAAAGAGATGGCACACTTAAATTAGGATGGCTTAAGGACTCAATAAAGCAGCTTTTTGCAAATGCACGGGCAGGGTGTGGGGGAACCATAGTGAGAGTACAGGAGTTGGGGCTAGTGATAGCAGAGCTGATGCCACCCTAGGCCCAAATTAACAGGATGAGTGAGTGGTTACTGAAACATGGAAGGGAGAGGTTCTTTCTGAGAGGACTGCCTTGAGAGGCAATGATTTTTGAACTAGACAGGGCACATAGGCACATAGACAGCCCAAGGTGATCCTGCAGAGAAGGAGCATAGGAATACTGTCCTTATCCCCACTGTTCTATTGCTGGAACTTCCCCTTGGCCAAATGCAGGTCAGCCTTCCAGCGCCAAAAGCAGGTTTGAGAAGTGTCTTAGTTATCTAGTGCCACCTGAACAGAAACACTACAGTTGGATGTCTCCAACAAAGAGAAATTTATTCTCTCACAGTCTAGTAAGCCAGAAGTCCAAATTTAGGGCATAAGCTCCAGGGGAAGGCTTTCTATCTCTGTCGACTCCGGAGAAAGGTCCTTGTCATCAATCTTCCCCTGGACTAGGAGCTTCTCAGTGCAGGGACCCTGAGTCCAAAGGACACACTCTGCTCCTGTCACTACTTTCTTGGTGGTATGAGGTTCCCCCATGCCTCTTAAGATTAGGTTTAAGAAAACCTAATCTTATAGATTGAGTCCTGCCTCATTAATATAACTGCTGTTAGTCCTACTTTATCAACATCATAGAGAAGGGAGTTATAACACACAGAAAAATCACATCAGATGACAAAATGGTGTACAGTCACACAATACTAGGAATCATGGACTACCCAAGTTGACACATATTTTTGGGGGGCACAGTGCAATCCATAACAAGAAGAGAGAGTGGATATAGAAGGTCAAAGAGAAGACATCCAGCACACTACTCCAACAAACCTCTCCTGTTTTGCTCAAATCTTTATTATGTGTTAATGGTGCTTCCCTAATTCAGGCATGCCACTTTCATAATAATTCCAATATGCCTTATTAATTAATATTCTAAGCCTTTTACCTATTGAAAATGTCAAACATCTGGCCCCCTCCCCCAAAATTGACTTAACCCCTGTATACCTTGTATGTATGAGGTGTGTCCTAGTCAACATGTATATAAATGCACAGATATGAATCATCTAGCTAACTTCATATTATCTGATATACTTTGCTAATGGAATCTCAAAGACTCATGGTTAGAAGGAACCTTGCAGACCAACTGGACTAGCTTTACTTCTTTACATAGCAGCCTGAAAACTGCTAGGGAGTATTCTTAAAATGACTGTAGCTGAACCTCCTTTATTTAATAGATTTGATGTTGCTGTGTTTGTAAGCCAAATATGACTATAGGATAACTCTGACATAGTTTAACTGTGAGACCCTGGGCAAGTCACTTCTCTCGGCCAAATTTCTTCATATATAAAATGTGTGGGTACTACTAGATCTTTTCAAACATTTCTTCTCATTCTAATATTCTGTGACCACCTTGCCATGATTGAGAAGTAGAAACAGTATGTTATACCCTATTTGTTCCTAGAGAATTTGTTGGTAGCCAGTATTGTCTATAATAATCTTCTCATAGTGTACAAATGTATTTTAAAGGGTTTTATAAATTATGTTTATAATTTTTAAATTTTCTTTATTAATAATAAAATGATGCTGTGTGTTGGGAAGAATGAGAATGTAAAAGTTGAACTATCCAAATGTTTTCTTGTAGACCTGCCGATTGTTGCGACATGTATCTGGGACAGAACCTCTTGAAATAACCTGTATACATGCAGAGGAGACGTTTCAGGTGACTGGCCAACAGGTAGGATCAACAGCAGATTGTACCTTCTATGTTATGTCTTGTCTGAGTGCCATGACAAATTGTGTGGAAGGAGAGTGTAAATGGTTCTGTATAACCAGAGGTCAAATCTACTGAGAGAAACAAAGATAACAGAATTTTCATTGGTTGTTTGCCAGAACATAGCTAACATTCCAGTGGATTATTGAATCATCTGCCAAAATGGAAATTGGCCCATTTAATTGATGCCCTAGTTTCTGTCTATTTTAAATGAAGCCCTTTATAATGAGAGTTGTTACAACACTTTTGGAAAGTAATTTATCATTATATAACAAGCCATAAAAATATTCACACATTTTGACCCAGTAATTCCTAAGGATGTAAAGAGATAATAATAATTATAAAAAGGGTGTTTATTGTAACATTTTATAATAAGATTCAGTGGAAGCAAAATAACTCCTAATTTAGGCAAATAATACATTAGGACTTTAAAATAATAATTATGATAACCAGAATTGGCAACGTGGAGTTCTTTGAGTTGATTTGAACAATGGCTCTACAGTACAATGCAGTCTCCAGTGTGATTCTGAGAGCTGTGATTTTGAAATTCACACTTGTGTACACTGTTTCTTTAGATAATTTCTGCTGCCGAAACACTGACATTACATCCATCTAGTAAAATTGCTAAAGAAAACCTCGATGTATTTTGTGAAGCTTGGGAATCTCAAATTAGTGACATGTCAACACTGCTAAGAGAAATCAGTGATGTGTTTGAAGGAAGACGAGGTGAGAAATTGTCCACATATTAAAATATAATTTTAATGTAACTCTGTTGATTTCTTAATGTCAAACCTCAGATGCAAAATGAATTATTTTGGGTTATTTTTACAGTAAAATATGTTTCACAGAAAAATGATGAAAATATTTCTCCTTTATTTTAGCATCTAAGCAGTAAAATTTGTTGTACAACAGTGTAGTAGATTTCTTTAAATTAATATTAACATTCTAGCTTTCCTATGGAAATGAAGCCTTTTTACATTTCTTTTAAATTGCTTTTTAGTTTTAGTACAAAAGCTGTTCTAAGATACAGTAATTCTCTGTTAACTTTAATTCTATTAACTTCATAATGAAATGAATGTAGCTATTTGATTTTTGAATTGCTTTCCTTCCACTTGGATGAAATCTCTTCCGTTGCTTACTACATAATCTTGGAATATTTCATGTGGTGGGTAAGTTCACTGGTATTTTACTCTTTATTTTAATATCAACTTGGAATTTGGTTTATTCTCCATTGTACAGCGTGTCCTGGTATTTATGTTTATGTGTTATATATTTTTCCCCTTGGAATGGCTTCTGTTAGTGTCAAAGCATGCTTGTTTGTTTTTGTTTTTAAATAAAGTGTCATATGAAGTCACAGTAACATCAAATTACATATTTATTTTTACTGAATATAAACTTTCATATTTAAAAAAATACCCATTTAGGATAAATATTGATATGCTTAAAAATCAGGGAATTATAGACTTTGTAGGTATAACATCATTTGTAAAGTATAATAAATATTTGCCATGCTTCCACATTTAAAGATTTCTGTAATAGCTGGCTGAATGGTATACCATGTTGATACTTTGATAAAATATTTGTAGTTATATGTATTTTTATATGGGGCAAGCTTCACATATTAAAGGGTAAAGTGATATAATTGATCCACATTTAAAGAAGAATGATCAGTTAGCTGTAGGAATTGTTTAGGAAATGAAGAGAAGTACCATGGTGTGATAAAAGGACACCTGGCTGGGGCCAGGCAGAGCATTGTTATCAAGACACAGCTCTTTCTCTAGCTTGTCTTGGACAAGCACATCCTCTCCCTGGGCCTGAGTGTTCTCATCTCAGTGATGAAAGAATTGGGCTGTGTGATCTCAGAAGCCGTTGCCAGCTCTGAAAGTCTTTAGCGAACACTACCTGAAGTCAGTATACCTTTGAGCTCTAGGCACGGGGAGACCCCTAAGCGTGTCTCGGTGCTGCCCGTCTCTCTTCAAAGGCCAGAAGAAAATTGTCTCCTAGCTTTGTTATTAGGTGTCATCAGCCCATCAAAGTATGAGGCTGGGGAGAGTGCCAGAGAATGGCCCTCTAATTTTCCAGGGTGAAATCTGACTTTGGGCACTTGCAAAAGTATTCCATGTACACAGTGGAAAGCCCTACTAAATAGCTACAGCTGTTTCAACAACAGTGTGGCCCGAACCTGGCCAGCCAGGTCTCGCCTTTACCAGAGCAGCATTCAATTCAGTACAGGTTTCTCTCATATTCTTTTCCAGTGCTGGTTAAGCCTTTGTTTTCGTTCATGAAAACTTGGGGGATGGCCAAGTTATCATCACTTATATTCTTTCTGTGTCCTTGAGCTAGCGAGTTCACCATCATGTGCAACTGGAATGGAACCTGAATTCCTGTTTGTTCTAGTTTGTCTCTGACCAAGGGCCTGAGTCTTTGTCTTTGTATCTGGGATTCTTGTGGTTTCTAAACCAAGCTGTTGTACCAGAATTTTGAGCTAACTTTTTGCCTTTCTTTTATTTCTACAAAAAAGAGGACTTACAAGAGTTTTATTTATTTTTTCCCCCCTCAAGGAAGGTAACAGTCATTTAACAGTTATTCCTGGGCCAAGAACTGAATAGGAGATAGCATTAAGAAGTTGATAAGCTTAAGAAGATTGTTTTTGTTCTGAAAAAAAAAACAAAAAACAAAAACCAAACCCCTTGCTGTCGAGTCGACTCCAACTCATGGCAACTCCTTGTGTTACAGAGTAGAACTGCTCCACAGGGTTTCAGTGACTGTAATCTTTACAGAAGCAGATCACCAGGCCTTTCTTCCTTGGCACTGCTCAGTGGGTTCAAATGGCCAACTTCTAGATTAGTAGCCAATCACAAACCACGTGTGCCACTCAAGACCCTTTTTGTTCTATAAATACAAGTAAATTTCTTTCTAAAAACAAGGGGGGAAGGTTCCACTTTCCACACAAATGTTAGCTGCCGTCATCATCACCATTATTCCCACCACTACCATACAGTAAAGCTAAACAGACTGTGAGAAAACATTAAGTCCAGTTTTCTCCCCTTAATCTCAGTGTCTCTCATATCTCCTAATGCCTCTCTCACTGTCTCCTTTCCTCAGTGAAGGTATTGGGACTGGCCCTTCTGGCCCCACAGTGGAAGATCTGACCTGTGACCAGTAGAAGAGAGTCTGCCCCTGCTTCTCTGTATAAATGAAACTCTTCCCTTCTCCAGTGGGGAAATGACCCCGTATGAAAGACTTCTCCCACTGAACAGCTAATGCAACGTTAAGTCAGTACTCCCTTTTTTCTGCCTTTCTCCCAACAAAGGAGGCCTCTTTAAAAAACATCTAAGGAGATTCAGGGAAAAACAAAAATCACAGACTACTAGGGTCTGTATGGGTAATATTGTAAAAATGATTGTTTAATGCATATGGCTGTAATAATACAACCATAAAAATAGCTACCATCAATTGAGAATTTACTGTGTACCAGGTACTAAGTGCTGAATGTGCATTCTCACTTAATCCTCTCAATATCCCTATGAGGCAGCTATTAGTTCCACATTTTACTTTTAGTTAAACGGAGGCTCGGAGAAGTTAATTTGCCCAGGGTCCTACAGTGAGTAAACTACAGAGAGCTGGGATTCTAACCGAGGTCTGACTGGTGCCACACTATTACTCAAGCAGCTAGTCCCACTCCAGAGTGAAGTCTTACCAGCCCTGAAGTGTTCTAATGAGAACACTGTCAAAAGTACTTACTGCTGCAGCTCTGAGTTCTGCTTTTATTCCCTCCCAAAGCCATTCCAGAAGTAACTGGGAGATCCCAATCTCAGGCAATTCAGAAGATCCAAAGCAAGGAACAAGCAATTGGGGGCCAGGAGAATGGCTTCTTGTTTAGGTCCACCACTTACTAGCTGAGGATGGGACAGGCTAAATTACAGAAGAGATAATTGGGAATAATAATTAGTGATGCAGGCCTGGGCACATTACCTGGCCCCTTCAGTTTCAGTTGCTTTGTCTCAATGGACATAACTGAAATAATCTGTCATATTGCTTAGAATATAATAAGTGATAGCAGATGTTTCATGTTTTTTTTTTTTTTAACAGTTATGTGACATTGAGCAAATCCTTTAATCTCTAGCCATCAATTTCCCATCTTTAAAACAACGAAGTTTGACTAGATCAGAGTGCCACCAGTCCTCATTCTTGCTCTATGACGAATATTGCTAACTGATTGTGATATTTTTTGCACTGCATTCACCCATGGCCTCCCAGTCTTTCTCAGCACAGGGCTCAAGCAGCCTCTATGGATAGGCCAGAATTGAAATGGAAGAAGAAGCCTATACTTATTTTTGGACTAGATGGTCACTATGGTTTCTTTCAGTTTCAAATTGGATGTTACATAAATGATCTCTTCTTTAGGTTTAGGTAACCTAGCCTCAAAAAGTTCTATGAGTCAGAATCGACTTGATGGCAGCACGTTTGGTTTGGTTTGAACTTCCTTAGGGCTGAAACTCCACCTTAGGTCGAGGAACCCCACTGCCCTCAATCAGTTGTTTAACTAGTAAAGTATCTCACTGTTCAGAAGGGCATCCCTATGTGTAGTTAATTGAGATATTGCTGTTCGATCTGGTGCACTGCCCTTCTTCATCCTGATTTGCATCATGAAGTACATGAACATAGCTTTTTCTACAAAGAAGTCCAACCCTGGGTTCATCATTATTGACTGGACTGAGTCCAGTGTACATGTTCTTGCTGCTGTTCTCTAGGGTGGTTATGACAGACCTGCCCATTACCTTGCACCTGCCAACTACTTTCCATACAAAGGACAGAGTGTATTCTTCAGAGCCCGATTCTCTTTGCTACCATTATAACTCATGTTATAACTATTATTGAAAAGCCATTGCTGTATTCTAGCCTCCTTAGTTCTATTCTGCACATCTTGACTATTGTGACTGAGAAAATTATCAGACATGTTTGCAAGTATCACTTAAACAACCACTTAAGTGCCCATTAGGAGGCCAACACCATGCTCGGCAATGAGAGGGAGCTTTTAGTGTTCTCATACTTTGAAGTCAGGATCTGAGAGTGAGGTCATTGTCTCTCAAATTTCACAACAGGGCCTCCTGGGATTGTATCAAGAACTCAGAAATCAATACTTGTCTTCCTGCCTTTCTGCTGTTATCCCATTCTACCTTCTCACCCAAGCCTCCAGGGAGGCCATGGTCTTGGTATTAGAGGGAACCAGATTAAAAAAAACAAAAAACAGTTCCCTTAGTAATGAACATGTGCCAGCATTTAGAATTTGAGATTATTTTAGACAAATAAATGTGAAAAAGAACCCTTCTCTCATAGCTTGTAGACTATCCTTTCTTTAAGGAAGCTGAATTTCCCTTGTTCTGTTTGAACCATTGTAGAGTTAATATGCCTGAGTTTCAGTTTATAGGGATGTACCTCTGACTAAATTATGTAGGTCAATTGCTGGTCTTGGATAGCATAGTTTCCAAACCACTCTCTTTTTAAATCGGGCCTCCTGCAGAAACCTCATTTGGTTTTTAGTTCTGTAACTACTCTTCTCATATTTCTGATGGCCCTGATTGATAGCCCTGCACCTATTTTATCAATTGGCAGATTGGATGGGTGAGGTAGAGTTCACTGAAATGGGGAGAACAGGGAGAAGGACATGTTTGTAGACAAAGATGAGCTTATCTGGGGGACATATGAGTCTGGAACAACAGAGTGATTCATCCAAACAGGAAGTGATGGCCTACACTACGGCAAATATAGTGGAAATGGAAATAAGAGGACTTGTCTAAGAATTTTTAAAGTAATATTGGTAGGATTTGGTGATTAATTGAATGTAGAGGTGAGGTAAAGGGAGAAGTTTGAGGGTAATAATTGGGTTTGGATTAGAATATATCAGTCCTACTCCTGGGTTTAGCTAAAAATCTGCATATCCTTTAATGGTTTGGATTCATTTTAAGTTGGTCTGGGGACATGAATTCTTTTCTGATTGATCGTGTCATACAGAGGCCCGTCTAGAACCACAACAGCTAATTATTAGAACTTCTAATAGGAAATAAACAGAGGTATTGGCGGTTCAGTGGTAGAATTCTTGCCTTCCATGCAGGAGACCTGGGTTTGATTCCCAGCCAATGCACCTCATGCGCAGCTACCACCCATCTGTCTGGAGGCTTACTTGTTACTATGATATTGAACAGGTTTCAGCGGAGCTTCCACACTAGGACAGGCTAGAAAGAAAGGCCTAGTGATCTACTTCTGAAAATCAGCCGATGAAAACCTCTGGATCACAAGGGTTCGATCTGCAACCAATCATGGGGATGTCTGACTGGGCAACATTTCATTCAGTTGTGCATGGGGTCGCCATGAGTCAGGGATTGACTCAACAGCAGCTGACAATAGGGAATGATGTAGTACATCTTCAGTGAAATACCAAAGCTTTATTCTTTCGTAGAGTTGCAGAAAGACTCCAGATTTTAAGAATGAGAACAGCATTTCTCATTTAGGTTTTCATAAGAAGTCATTTTGGTAGCCTTATAAGATGAGAGGAGCCCTGGTGGTGCAGTGGTTAAGAACTACAGTGAGTTACAGCTGCTAATCAAGAGGTCAGCAGTTCAAATCCACCAGTCACTCCTTGGAAACCCTATGGGGCAGTTCTACTCTGTCCTATAGGGTCGCTATAACTTGGAATCAACTCGATGGCAACTTTTTTTTTTTTTTTTTCCTTTATAAGATGAGAGGGCTTTTTGAACTTAATTTTGGGAACTTATCTGGAGATATAAACTCAGAAGTAAAGATGGCACAGTTGTGGTGTTGACTAATAAAGGATTTAGGGAATATTAAACCTATATGATTCCCTGTGAGGACAGTGCTCTGAAAATAATTCTCTATATCAAGTATCTGTACCAAATATATTTCCCCAAGGAGTTCTGTTTTTCCAATTACTTCTAATATTTGTAACATGTTTTCATCAGGTAAATTATTTGTTTATGCTATTTCTTTAATTTGATATAATAGCTAAATACAATTGAGTCAATGCATGCTTGGTTTTTGTGCAGTCAATAATTAAAATTATATGGAAAAAACAACTGTAAAATTAATTATAAAATAATTCAGATGTCTGCCACAATTGAAAAAAAGAAGAAAAGATCTAAGTAGAGGAGGAAAAGCTATTATTTATAGGAAGATAGTTTAAATCAGTGGTCCCCAAACTTTTTTGATTATGTACCAAATCAAAAATGTTTGGGAAATCCTCACCCTCTCCAAAATAATTCAGATTCATCATTAGTATTGTCTTCCCTTTTTTGGAGCCCTAGTGGCACAGTGGTTAAGAGCTCAGCTGCTAACCAAAAGGTCAGCAGTTCGAATCCATCAGCTGCTCCTTGGAAAGCCTATGGGGTAGTTGTACTCTGGCCTATAGAGTCACTATGAGTCAGAATCCACTTGATGGCAACAGGTTTTTTTTGTTTTTTTTTTCCCTTTTTTGTGTTATAATCAGATGGTTTGATTTCTGATGGAATTGGGGGGAAGTGGGATACCCTTGCTTGTATAGCATTCAGTGGCAGCCTATCTGAAGAATGATAATTTTTGCATTTATTCCCAAATTTGTATGAGCCGTTCTGAGTCTAACAGAAGGACGAGAGTAGGGAGCAAGACACAGTACCTGTAAGAGGACCACAGGGACTGGAACTGCCAAGTGATAAGTAATTGGTGGGTGGAATTGGTAGTAAACCAGACTATACAAAATCTCACTTTTCATTGTATCTGTTTCTCCCTACTTTCTGATTTCCTCAACTAAGATGTATTGTAACAGTTGGCTTTTTTTCCCCCTGTGGAGAGTACACGTGCACATCTCAGGGTCATGGGTACTCTGGAGGAGCACAAGGTCAGATAATACAAGAATGATTCACCTAAGCTAATTATACATAAGCAATGATTATGCCCTCTTTTATAGCTTAGTAAGACTACTTTTAAGGATATTATAGACAGGATTTGAATTAAGATAGAAGATGAATTCAGAGAATCTCAGTGATCTGAAAACCATATTCTGTTATCTTCTTAGGCACAGAAGATACATTTTACATCAGGGCTAAGAACAAGTCAGGAAATAACATATTCCTCTTTAAGTCTCTTCCCTGTCCCCCAATTCTGCTATCAGAAAACCATTAATAAAATTCCCTTACAATTCTGACATTACAAAGAAATGATTTGAATCAGAAAACTGTTACCAAGTACCATTAGCTGACCCTTAGCAACAGTTCCTCTTCCAGATTAGCACTGTCTGTCCAATAGTGCTGTCCAGCATTACGGGAGCCACACGTTACTTAAAATGTTCTGGTAGCCACATGAAAAAAGCAGGTGAAATTCATTCGAATAATATTTTTTATTTAACCCAATATATTAAAAATATTATTGTTATAATATGTAATCAATATATAAAAGTTATTAATGAGATATTTTACATTCTTTTTTCTTTGTACTAAGTTTTAAAAATCCTGAACATATTTACACTTATAGCACATCTCAATTCACACTAGCCTAATTCAGACTAAATTCCACAATTTCAATTGCTCAGTAGTCACATATAGCCAGTGGGTTCCATACTTAACAGCACAGTTCTAGATGAGATTTTAAATATGTTATGAACAGATTCACTCTGTTCATGTAATAGTCATTCTGTAAGAAAGAGTGCTCTTACATTATATTTATTTTTATTAAGTTGAACTATATGAAATTGTTGTTTTTGTATTTCAAAATGGTTAAATATCAGCAATTTCATGTGGTTCAACCTAATATAGCTGAACATACTTCCTTTCCTTATTATCAAGAAACAATTACTTTTCAAATCTTATTTTGAATTCCTACCCTAGATATCACAAAGTAGCTTTATAAAATCTATCATCCATTGTAACCTGACTTCATGTACCATCTGGAAGCTGGAAAGATAAAGTGGGCATTACACATCTCCTTCCTTTCCTTGGTTATTGAGCTTCCTGCTGTGTGTTAATTCACAGCCAAGAGACTGGTTATTTGCTTTATTTCATCTCCTTATCTTCTACACTGGGGTTATTCTCTCCCTGTCTGGGAGAATGCATTATGAGGTTAGTTGTAAATGATTTGGACTGGTACTTGCAGAAAAGGAAGGAAGTGCTGATACTGACATTGATGAAAGAGGAATCAGGTTTCATTAGAGCCAGGGAGCTGTAAAAGGAATTCACTGTGAATGAAGTTGGAAGTAATGGAAGTAGACGCCAGTGAGACAGTTTGCCTTTCTGCCTTCATATCTGGGGGAGGCAGAGATTAGCCAGCATATGTGCCTCAGAGATGCGACTCAGTGCATTTTCATGTTCATCAATCGAATCATAATTTTATTTCTGAATAACATGTAATTAAGACTGAGTTATCAAAATGAATGTATTAGTAACATTTGTGTTTAATAATATTTTTTAAAGTTAAATGTAAATAGTAGAAAATATACTAAGAAAAATTTTTTGAAGTTATATGTGTTATTTGTAGGAGAGAAGTATGGCTACCTTTCACTTCCAAAGCCAATGGTAAGTAAAAGAGTTTTATACATTTCAGAATTCAAATTATGCTATTACCTGCCTATTGCTAGTCCCCCTTCCCCCCTCAAAAAAATTGACGTTATGGAACAAAGTTAGGATATTAAATATTGACTAATGAGAATCTAGTTATTTGCAGTAGCAATCTAGATATAGCCCATACTCTGGTTGTTTGTGTTGGGTTTAGGGGATACAGGAAGTAGGACAGACTTTGTGATTAATAAGAAGCCATAACCTGAGGTCAGAGTCTTTTTGTACTTCCTCTCTTGGGTCTAATTCATAAGGTCATGCTGGAACTATGTTCTCAAACTAAAAACTTTCCTAATGCTTTATACATAAGATGAAAGTATGCCATATATTTGGAGAAGAGATACAATGTGATATATTAGCTGGGCACTGGTCCTAGGATCCCTCTTGAGAATAAAAATTCCTACCTTCTGGATCATAGCATTATGACATCAGTCATGTTACCCAGATGACATTTTGATGACCTTAGTAATTCGTTTGTAGAGATCATTTTATAGTTTTGACTACAGTGCAGGATATGGAAATCAGAGATTATAGTTAAAAAAAAAAAAAAAAAGTCTATTATCAAGAAGGACCATTCTTCTAAAACCACTAAGTATCCCAACAACTACTTTCAGAAGTCGAGGGAAAACAACCGACTGTGTATAAACAGCTTCTGAGCAGGAAGTAATCTTGACAACATGAGAAAATTAAAGACTTGTAAATTATATCAAGTATAAAATTATACCTGTTTCCCCAACCACAAAGAAAGGGGTGCTTTGATGGCTCACAGTATTTATAACAGGTCAGACTTTTTGGGTGAGAAGGATAAAAATCATTCATTTATTCATCAAATATTTATTGAGCACCGACTATTTACCAGGCACAATGCTAGGCAGAAGAGCCCTGGTGACGCAGTGGTTAAGCACTTGGCTGCAAACTGAAAGATCGGCACTTCGAACCTACCAGTCACTCTGTGAGAGAAAGATGTGGCAGTCTTTTCCGTAAAGATTTACAGCCATGGAAACCCTATGGAGCAGTTTTACTCTGTCTTATCGGGTAGCTATGAGTTGGAATTGACTCGACAGGTTTAGTTTTTGGTTTTTGGTATGCTAGGCACAAGCAGCCCTGATGGCACACTAGTTAAGTGCTCGGTTGCTAACCAAAAGGTTGGTGGTTCAATCTCACCACCCACTCCACAGGCAAAAAGATTTGGCAGTCTGCTTCCATAAAGATTACAGCCTTGGAAACCCTGTGGAGAAATTCTACTCTGTCCTATATGATCACTATAAGTTGGAATCAACTCAGTGGCAGTAGGTATGCTAGGTACTGGTGAAATATGAAAAAGACACTAAAATGTAAATTGCACAGGTAGGGATTTTTTTGATGTTTATTCACAGTGGTATTCCTATCACCTTGAACTGTACTGGCATAGTTTGGCACTCAGAAAACAATTTGCTGAATGAGTGAAAAAGATAAGCATGTTTCTTGCCACTATGAAGCTTACAGTTTAATCCAGCACTGTCAAATAGAAATATAATGCAAGCCACATAAGTAATTTAAAAATTTCTAGTAGCCGTATTAAAAAAATAAAAACAGGTGAAATTAATTTCAATAATATATTTTATTCAATTCAATATATTATCATTTCAACATGTAATCAACATAAAATTATTGAGATATTTTACATTCTTTTTTCCATACTAAATATTCAAAATCTGGTGAGTATTTTACATTTATAGCACAACTCAGTTGAGACTAGCCACATTTCAAGTGCTCAATAGCCATGTGTGCCTAATGGCTACCATATAGTACAGGTTTAAACTCTTAAAAAATAAAAGTGAAGACAGAGGGGAGAAAAATTATTGAAGATTACTAATGGTAACAGAGCAGATGGTGAGTATCAAAAGAAAGAACTGGCAATGAAGAGATAGAAAATAAAATGGTGAAGTCTGGCAATGTAGAAATCACAGGCAGAATGACTGATGGTGGAGGGGAAGAACAAATTATTACAAAAGGGCATATACACCTACTCCTCACTTATTGGCTGTCTTATTATCCGACATTTCACATTCACGACAATAGTAAAAATCTATTGACTATTTTGCACATTAATGACTATGTATTACAGTAATGAATGCTGAGGCGCCAGGCAAGAGTAACGCTGGCTGTGAGGGTTATGCGTCAACTTGGTTGGGCCATGATTCTCAGTGGTTTGGCAGTTATATCATGACGTAATTTGGCAGTTATGTAATGATGTAGTCATCCTCCATTTTGTGATGTGATGTAGTCATCCTTCATTTTTGCATAATGCCGATTGTTACATAAAAACTTAGTCTTTGGAACCTAAGTATGTCGATAAATGAGGAGTAGGTGTAATTAGCTATTTAGTGCTTACTTTTTGAAGAGCGAATGACATGTCATACTGAATTACAGCATTAGAAAATTGGATGTAGCTGGTGAAAAAGCAATGATAACACTGCAAAATAATTTCATAGCTTTTTTAGAAAATAATTTCTATGCCTTAAGCTATCCTCTGAACAATTTGACAGTATAGATAAAAATTTGTCAATTTTTGGCATTTTAGGCCAACTTAACCCTACCAGATGGTATTATAGCTAGTATTCCACTGGGGCTAATCAAATAAGCATAGATTGACTGTTCTTGCAAGTGCTATAACTTTAGGCTACCGCAAAATACATTTTTTTGGAGAAAAGACATCACCATAGAGCTTTTACTAGGTTGAATGGAGCAAAGATTTTAGTAAAAAAATCATTTCAGAATCATGAATCATTTCCTTAGCTGAAGATAGCATAGCTGATTATATTATTTGAAAATTGTATCTCTCCTTCTTAGGAAGTAAAGCTGGAGTCTGGTGCTATTTATATTTAGAGGCTTGAAATGTTTTGCTTTACATCACAACTGATGCATCTGACTGTACTGTAAAATAGTGTCCACTAGATGGCAAGCTTGGTTACATTATTAAGGTGGCTTATTTACCTTTTCAGGCGATCTTTTAGGTTCCAAATTGGAATCGACTCGACGGCAATGGGTTTTTTTACACACTTTAATAATAATAATTTGTAAAAGAATATAAATAATGAAAACACAACTAAATTGAAAAGAATAAAGTGAAGTATAAAATTCTAAATAAAATAAAACACTAAAAACCCTGAGGGTAGTCTTAACTTTCTTAAATGCTTTATTGTCTTTTAGTCTACTAGGCCAAGGAAGAAGATAAAGATGAGGTGATTATAGGGGAGGAGTCAGTCAGAGATCACTGATCATTTCATTTATTTTCTAATGAACACAGAGGCAGCTTATACTGAGGAGGTGTATGTGTGTGCGTTCTAGTTTTGCTATGTTTATTTTCTGTCCTTAACGTCTTCTATTTCTTCTATAGTTAATATTGTTAGAAGATCTCAAAAGGGTTATGTTAAATGAGCCAATCTAAGCTCTGTGGGATAGGAAAAGAAGGGAGAAGTTGAGGGTATTGTGTTCTGCAGTGAAACTGGAACAGACTAGCTAGTCAGAAAAAAAGAAGTCCTGGTAATAATAAGGGAAACAAAAAACTGAGATATACAAAAGTATTGGTGATGATCTGTTTCTAAGCTAAATGGGCACGTGAGTGTTTTATTATAATTTATACTTTGTGTGGAGGAGCCCTGGCAGTGCACTGGTTAAGCATTTGGCTGCTAACTGAAAGGTCGGTGGTTCAAATCCACCAGCTGCTCCATAGGAGAAAGATGTGGCAGTTTGCTTCCTTAAAGATTCCAAAAACCTATTTCCATAAAATCGATTCTGACTCATAGTGACCCTATAGGACAGAGCAGAACTGCCCCACAGGGTTTCCAAAGCTGTAATCGTTAAACAAGGGGGCACTACTACAGAAGACATTGGCCTGTTTTTCCTGGCCCTGGGTTTCAAAGCAACTACCTGTTCAAAGCTAAACTTGCATATTAGCAGAGAGTATTTATAATTGGTTATTTAATTTAAACTGCTTAATAGAGTTTAACTATACTAAATATGTTTAAAGTTTTATTACAGATACTTCCTATTACTATTATATTTCCTCATAATTAAATGTACTGCTTTTTAAGGTATCTTAATCTTTTTTATTATCACAGAAGAATAATGCTAATCTGAAATCATTAAAGCCAGACAAACCTGACTCTGAGGTAAGGCTTTTTCCTTTGTAATAATCTTATATCTAATATTCCTTTTAAATCAATAATGACAAAGTTATTATAATTAAAATGTATGCTTTATAGGAGCAAGCCAAGATAGCAAAGCTTGGACTTAAACTGGGTTTGCTCACCTCCGATGCAGACTGTGAAATTGAGAAGTGGGAAGATCAGGAGAATGAGATTGTTCGGTATGGACGGAACATGTCCACTATGGCCTATTCTCTATATGTATTTACTAGGTAAATATAGTTACATCTTGATCTTTTTTTAGTCAGTATAATATCGAGTGTAAAGAAAAAGTGCCACGTTAAATGACTGATAGGTTAAAGTATCAAATACATGGTAAAAAGACTAAAAGTGGTTTTTATGACAATGATTTGTGTTAGATTACTAACTTAAGGTTGGTGGTTCAAATGACAATTATGTAATGAATGAAACACGAAGACATTTAATTAGGATTTAGATTTAGAAGGGATTCTCTTCTAGGTTTGTGCCTATTCTTCCCATCAGTTTGAAATAATTTTGAATTCTGCTTTTTGCCATCCTGTATTTCAGTTGTCTCTCCCAGCCAGCATCAGTAAATTTAGAAAACATGCCTTTTACATCTTTATACAAGTGACTGATTAAACACAGATAAAAGAATAGAGCTATGGGGCCTACCACTGGAGACCTCAGTAGGGTGCCAAGTCTCCATGAATCAGCATTCATTATGTAGCAGAGAATTTTCCTAACTTTATTATTACCTGACCTACATTCTCCATCTTGTCCATATTACAAGACTCTTGATGACATGCCTTGTCAATGCTGATCACATGCCAGTCTTCCATTACAGTAGTCTATACATATGGTATAATAATTCCACTTGGCTAAACATTTGTTATCTGCTCAATAATCTAAAGTTTTCTCAAGGAGTGACTTCAAACTATTTACTCATTTTCTGAAATCTAACTTTTTCAATCTTGGAAACCTGGAAAATATTTCATATCCTCAGTTTTCTGCCCCTTCTCCTACTCATTGTGGTTTTGAAAAGATTATCAGCAGCATGTCACGCCTGCAAGTTGTTTCAGTGTTCTGCAGTGTAATCCATTTTGGTCTAGAGATTTAAACACACTTAAAGTAGTTGGGATCTCTACAAATGTCGTGGGCTTTGGGGCTCACTAAACAGCACCCCTTTTCTACCTAAGTTCTGAACAAATTGAAAAATAAGCAAAAGAACAAGGGGTATGGGGGTCAGGAACATTTGTAATTGATAAAGCTGATACTGGAGAATGTAGATTGTATCCACGGACAAATACCTAGAAGTTTTATGTTACCCATTGGGGTGGAATCTGTCTCTATAAAATATCTGGAAGAGCAAGTATCTCCCAAAGGCAGCTTTATCTCCCAGAGAAAAAGGAGAAAAGAAAGGGCTACCATGTCCAGTTTATTTTTACAAAGTCACCAAAAAGTCTGAAAAGGTAAGTGTCAACCTTCTCTGGGGTGGAGTAAGTGAGGAGAAAAGAGAAGCAAGGGTGTTTTGCTAGTGGAGATTCTTTCAAATGGAAGGAAGATGAGGAGTGGGGGAGAAGCATTCCCCAACTAAAAGCCTTCATTTCTCTCTTGATTATGTCTTCTACCTTTTCTAGATAGACAATTCTTAAGGGAAAAGGCAGAAATTATGTTCAAGTCTCATAGTTATTAAGAGGCAGAGTTTGTTGCTACCAGATTCCAGATCTTCTGATTCATGCCTATTCTATTGCTTTTTTTCCTTTTTAAAAATTTGCTCTTCTTAATGCATCTGTTGCTGTTTGTTGTAATTTACTTTTCATTTGTAGAGTTCTTAATTCTTCTTGGTCATTTTCAATGTGACAGTACTCAGTCTTCTGTTGAGAGTAGTAGCACAAGTAGTATTATGATTGTTTAAAGATTCAGAATTGAAGCTTAAATGACATGCCCCATCAAAGTTAGACAACTGAGTTCTCACCAGAGTTGAAATTAGAATTGCGTTGTTGCGTGCTGTCATGTCAGTGCCAACTCATAGCAACCTATAGGATAGAGTATAACTGCCCCATAGATTTCCAAGGCTGTAAATCTTTACAGGAGACTGCAACATCTTTCTCCCACGGAGCAGCTGGTGGGTTCAAACTGCTGACCTTTCTGTTAGCAGCCAAGTGCTTAACCACTGTGCCATCAGGGCTGCTTTTGAAATTAGAACTAGAAATGAGCATTTCCTGACTTTTGGTTGATCCTCTTTCCATTATATAACAAAGTCCTTTTGATTAAGGAATATTATAAAATCTTATGTATTTAATTTATGAAGCATAATGAAAAGGTTAAAAAGGACAAGTAAAACTTAAGTATAACTCATCAGTTTAAAAATTTCTGTGTATTATAAAATTAACATGTTTACTTGAACTAAAAAAGGTACCCTAAGAGTAATAAATATTAAAGTCGCTTTAAAAATAAAATCCCTATTCAATATTATTAGTCTATTCAATATGATTGTTGTTGTTGTGAGGTACCGTCGAGTCGGTTCCAACTCATAGCGACCCTATAGGACAGACTGGAACTGCCCCGTAGGGTTTCCAAGGAGCAGCTAGTGGATTTGAACTGCCAACCTTTTGGTTAGCAGCCGAACTCTTAACCACTGTGCCACCAGGGCACCATTCAATATGATTAGTCTATTTGATATTATCCCTCAAAATTTTGGATCTTTTAATACAGCAAGTGCCCTAAAACTTTAATATTATAAAACCAATTTCCAGTCAATAACTTTCTTATCTTTTTAATTATTCATTTTATTTCAGAGGAGAGGGGTCACTGAAAACTTCCCAGGATTTAATTCATCAATTAGAGGTAGGAAAGTATAAAAGATATGTTATCTGTTAATAGGATATTTTCATCTATTTGGGAAAACTTTTGAACTACTGATTGTCAAAAAATCATGTTCACAGTACTGGGGGTTAGATCTTCAACATATCTTTTTGGGGAACACAATTCAATCCATAACACCTGGTATCTCTCATGCCAAAATATTCTGCATACCATGTTAAAATAATCTTTTTAAAGATTCCTGTCTTACCTGTCCAACCTTATTTTTCACTGTTCTTCCCCATCATACTGTTCTCCTCCTAAGTAAATTATAAAATGTATGGCACATTGTGAATAATAAGAAAACCAATTTGAGTTGGCCCTCTCAAATGGCTAGTTAAGAAATGAGGATAGGTGACAAAATTTATCTTCTTAGTTGGGAGCAGGAAAGTTCTCACCCTTTTGACCTCATGCTCCAAGATTCAGCACCCCTTTATAATTGGGGGTATAAGGAGATGAGCCATCTGGAATCCCAGACATAATTTGTATGGCTCAGTATCGTAAGTCTGTGTGATCCTCCAGAATGACTGGAGGCATCCAGGCCAGAGCAGCCTCTCCAGGGGTTCATTCTGCATCAGGTCTGGGAAATCTTATGAATACAGTTAAATTCTTGCATTTTCCTGGATACAGCAAAAAGTTTGGGACTTCCACGACAGGCTTTTTTACATTTAGGTTTCATTTTTTTAACTCTATATTAAAATTATTAATATTTCTTACCAACTATCCATACGCCATACATCTAAACTAGTGATGTTTTTCCTTTCCACCAGGCTTTTGCCACAGAGGGCTTAAAGCTTGCTTCAAGTGTTCAAGCTTTCTCAAAACAGGTAACACATACCTATCTGTGTGGTACTGGTGATGATGCCATGTATATCCACTTCGGGGGTATATTAGTAAGTATTTAAGGTCTGAAAGATGGAATTTTGTTGAGGTTGTTATAAGTTCTTAAATTACATTTCAGCTGAAAGATGATGACAAGCTTTTGCTTCTCCTGGAAGTGAACAAGCTAATTCCTCTATGTCACCAACTGCAAACAATAACTAAGACACCAATGCCGAATAAAGTGTTTCTAAAGGTAAAAGAGAGGGTGGGTTATTCAGGTAGACACTTTCTCACTACTGTTTTCATCAGTTAGCTGCCAGCCGATTTTTTTTCAAGTAAAGTATTAATATCCGCAGAAGGACAGTATATTTCTATTTCTCATCCCTGCCTCAGCTGGAAGAATCATTTATTATGCTGCTATTATAACTGACCCGAGAGCAGCAGGTTCATCAAATAAATGAGCTTTTTTGGCCATGATTAATGTTACAGCAGTGAGCAGCTACCCTTAACTCCTGAAGTCATCACATGTCCAGTGAGGGCACAAACTCCTCAAAGTCTGGGCCGCCATCATTTTTTTGGGCAATCTGGGCTTGTGCCCACAAAACAGAGTGCGAAGAATTGCAAAGTAGGGGATTCAGTGCCACTATTTGGAAAGCTTTTGAGAAGCCCCTAAAGCTTAAAGTAGAACAGTTGGTTTTCCACCCATTCTTCCTGGGGTTCCGTAAAACAGGCTGAGAGCTGGGCAGCCCTGCATCTGTGTCAGCTGTGTGACCTAATCTGTATAGCTTTCGAGACCTCATAGTTTTCTACAGTGGAGAAATTTTATCATTTTAAAACTAAATAAATGATAAACTTTTTTGAAGTACTATTAGAACTTGATTTGTACACTTTGACACTATAGGTTGACAAATGTATTATAAAGGCAAGATCCATGATGGCTATCTTGATCCAGCTTCTCTCACTTTGCTATAAATTGCTGAAGAAGGTGAGACTGTTTTTCTATTTTAAACTCACATTTTTTTTTAAATTAGTTTAAAGGAAAATGCATAATAATGGTCACTAATTTTACAAAATCTTTTTTTTTTGGAGTAAAGCAGAAACTAATTGTTTTAACTCTTTCTAACTTCAGGTGGAAAGCAGATGGGTCTCTGTTACAAATAAAGACACCATGGATGGTAAAACTTGAGCAGCTTTTGGGGTCAGGTCTGTGGAACATCATGTGGCAAACCTGACATTTTTAGAAAACAAATGATCCTTTATATTTTAAGAATTTCAACAACTTTATTAAGAAAACAATATTGAAATCTTGCTTTATTATCATGAAACTGATTGTGAAGCTTTTTGACAACTGACACATGCCATGGTAGTTGCCCGAATAGTAACTGCAGTGATTTTAAAATGAGAACTTGCCACTAATAATGTTCTTTAAAAGTCAAACCAAATATCACAACTGTCTTAATGACACTTTAATCCAAAGAAGTTTTTTTGAATATACTTACCTTTGGCATATTTTACCTTAACTGTTTCCTTTCTGTTTATCATCTAGAACACTAATTTTCAGCAGACATGCAATAATCTGGGTGAATGCAGGGTTTTCCTTAAACCTGTGGACTTTTCCTTAATCCCTTTGTCCAACCCAGTGTGATGAGGGTTCTTCTGCTGCCCTGTAGTAGTCACCATGTTCCCTAACAAGTGTCTCATGTACCGTGGTTTGTCTGTTGTGCTGCTTGTGTCCCTCCTCATGCTCCAAAGTAGGGTCATGGCACTCACTTCACGGACTCCTGGAGGAACTCACTAGAAGATGGCTATCTTTTAGCTCTAGTTCTAGCATAGCTGGCTTGTCTGCCCAGAATATTAGCTGGAATCCTAAGCCTATCTTACTGGCTTAAAAACTAGTTTTTGAACTTTCCCTGTCAGTAGTGAGTGATGGAGTGGAAGATGCAAAAGATTGAGAACTATGGAACTAAGAAGCTGTTTAAAATAAATTCTGAATAATCATACATTTTACATAAGTGTCTTTGTTTTAGAATGTTCACTATAAAATAAACATGTTCCTTTAGTCTTTTTAATTTTAGGATTTATAGCTTTTCTTATTATGGGGTGGCGGTTTGATTGAAGGATTTGGTTCACATATTCTTTCCTTATGATATAGTATGGTTAACTTTGTTTCGGACTCCAGTTTCATGGTGTTTATATTCTAATGCTCTGAAGTTCATTTTGAAATCTAATGGGACGTATCAGTTGCTAAACGGCAGTAGTTAACGTAAGTTTGTCTGATGATGATCCCTAGCTGGGTCAGCCATCACAATCAACATTCATAAAACATCCTGAAGAATCACAGTACCACCAATTCACTAGCTGAAGTTTACTGAAGGAAACTTTAAAGGTAAACTTTTACTATGTTTCTTTTCCATTTGAACTCTGTGAAAAAGTGTCTCTAGCTGGCTTTAGCTAGTGAATTTGCCTTAGAGGCACAGTAGGAAGTACTTGTAAGCCTTAAGTCCCATGGCTCAGTGATACTGCATCTGTGTGAACTTTGATATCAATTTCAAACTTACCAAGCACTCAGCCCGGTTAATGACCTTTATAAAATGCTTCCTTAGGCAGTTAGAATCATCAAGAATGATTTTTAGTCCGTGAAATAAAAACATTTTTAAATTATCAGAGAAATAGGGAAATGTGAGATAATGTAAAATAAAGTAGCTATATAATTCTTTTAGCATCTTTGGTGTCTTCGTCCTATGAACAGTCTTCAATATTCACTGTGCTACTAGAAGTGGGGATATGCTGGTTTGTGCTTACACTTTCAGCTCAATACCATCAGTATAGGTAAGAGTTACTCCCTGTGTCATGTCTTGTGGATGTGTTGTAGGGATAGTCACACTGGAACTCAAGTTACAAGAAGTTTTTCTTGTGAATCAAAAATAATTTATGGTTTTATTTACAAAATACTTTTACATATTTGAAAAGAGAATATTCTCTTACGTAAAAGGCAAATCGTGGTGGGGTAGGGATAACTTATGACTTCAACAGCATAAGAAGACAGAGAACCAAAAAGAATTTACACATCAAGTGATTTCTTCTGTATTAAATAATAATTGTGTTTTATTAAAAAACAGATATATTTAAATGTATGTAAGTGTTGTAGCCCTTTAGAAAAAATAACAATTTTAAAAGTCCTTTTATTTGAAAATCAGTGTCAATAAGTACCCAACCTCAAACCATAAATGTGTTTAAGTTTTTTTTGTTTTGTTTTGTTTTTAGTTAAATGATGTGAAAGCCTTTGTTCTGTTCAGAGGCATCTGTGCCTCTAAATTACATGTTCTCAGTAACTTCTCTGCTGGTTACCCCATCACTTGAGTGTGAGGCTGAATGACTACAGAGCTTGTATTGCAATAACCAGCTTAACACTGCATTATGATAATTCTATACATTAGGAAAGCCCTTTGTGTTTGTCAAAGCCTTTTCATGTGTCCCTCTTTAAGAAGTCACAGCACTACTGTGCTACTCTGAGAGAGGAAGGCCATTCCAGCAGCATGAGCAGGAGAGGAGGTATACTCTACGCTTTGCTTCTCCTCTGCAGCTTAAAGGGAGAAGAGCTGAGGAGGCAAAAGGCACTGTCCCTGGGGGGATGGGTTAGACTTTTTGGTAGTGGCATGCTGAAGCAGGTTGGGTAAGAAAGGCCAGTAGGTTTTTTTTTTTTTTTTTTAAACTTCAAACTGATGGAAAGTGAGGCAAAAACAATAGCCATGCTATAACATTCCAACAGAAAAATGTCAAAATGTAGTATTTACTTCTGAGCTTCAGGATGATAGGTAAATTATTTTTACTTTGCTACTTAAAACTTTTGTGTTTTCCAAATTTTCCTCAAAGTGCGTTAAAAAAAAGACAAATGAGAAAAACACCCCTTGCTGGCCACTTGTTAGTAAAAAAGAAGCAGGATAGTAACAGAGTACATGGGCAGATCTGGGAGGCAGAAAATAAAAGGGGAACCAAGGCTTGTTACAAATGGGAGAGAGGGAAAACGAGGGTAAGTGAAGGCTCAGGCCTCTCCTGCAGATAGCTGGGTGTGAAGACATATGCTTCACATCAGGGACGGATTACTCAATGAGCAAGGTACACATGGGCTTACTTACTAATCTGCAGTGCATAATTTTACCTGTTTTGTGCACCCATGTGAAACTGTGCACTACAGATTAGTTACGTAAACACAAGTAAGCCCATGCATACCTTGCTTACTGGTTAATCTGCTCCTACTTCACATATATACTGGTTCTTTTCCTTTAGTGCTCTGATTGTTTAGGCCACATAAGGAAGGATAAGACTCTGTGCTGCTTTTAACTCCAATTCAATCCTCACAGTGTAGCTGTTGTGACGTTAATGCGTTTCCCCACAACCTCTTCATATTGTTCTTGGGTCAGTAACCCTTCTGTTATGTTTTTACTTTCTTCAAATTTGGGTAACACAACTGCAATGTAGCCTTCAGTGGATGGCTGGAAAGGAAATAGAATAGTCAACACTATCAAATGAGAAAAAATCCCATAAAAGACATGGATGGGATCATACTTCTTTGCTCTTTCTTACCTTCTCTTGAAGAATAGATGGTTTATGGAGAATGTTTTCATTCACTTCCATCAACCGTCCTCTAACACAGCTATTTAAAAAAAAAAAAGAAATTTTCTGAGAAAAATATTGCCTCCTCCCCCTAAACTGTGTTTAGAAACTAACTCACCTAGATATGGTGTATTCTTCTCCATCTGAGCAGTAAATCTTACACAGAGGTGCAAGTTCTGTTAGAAACTGTGCCCCCTGTGTAATAAAAGGAAGGGGGGAATTAACTGAAGTACATTTTTAGTCTCCTTTGAGAGGTGGTTCTCAGAGTTGTAATAGGTTACAGTCCTGGAAATGGAGTTTTAAATAAAAATGATGTAAGTATATAAAAACCATTCAGTTATTCAAACATTTATATAATGGGTGCCTGCTATGTGCCTGGCAACATCATAGGCTCCAGGGAAAACAGTAGACTTATGACACGTAGTTCCTGTTCCCACAGGGTGACAGTCTAGTAAGAGTCAATGTTTTAATAGGTAGTTTAGTAACAGGCTAAGAACATATTTTATCAACTATAAATGAAAAGCTACATATAGCCAGGTGTAAAGACTTTAAAAGCCAGGAAAATTCATCAGTAAGCAATAATATATAATTCAATGTGACACAGTATGACGGCAATATTGTACAAAGTTAGTTTCATTAACATTCTTGCCTTATTTTTTATATCTGAACTTAACAGCTAAAGGAACATTATCAGTGTCAATCACTAAGAGTTTTTTAATGTTCTGATTTAAAACAAAATGCACTTTGAGGAAAATTTGGAAAACATAGAAAAGTTTAAAAGTAGCAAAATAAAAATAATTTACCCATCATCCTAGAACCTAGAAGTAAATCTACATTTTCACATATTTCTGTTTGAACGTTATGGTATGGTTACTGTTTCATGTACTCCACTACATGGGTCTATTTGGGGAAGTTCTGACAAATACCTACAAGGAAGCTCATGGGAAACCGATACAGGTATGTCACATTTGTTGCCCATTTTTCCCCCCAGGAATTTGTCCTGTAGTGAACAGAGGCATTTGAAGTCAAGATGCTTTTCTTTATAACCATGGAGCCTGGGTGCTTCTTTATTTACCACTCAAAATAATATTAGACAGCATTCAGACAGTACCAGCTTGGCTTCACTCCTCTGCCAGCTAGAGTAAGTGCCACTCCCCTCTTTTGGGAGGAGGTAGGGGATTCATCTCAGAGGGCTCTTGCACAACTGGTCTGTGTCAAAGCAGCAGATGCCTTTTGACCCCTTTTTATGACCTCTTTGGGAGAATAAATGATTGCCAGTGCTGAGGTCTAATAAAAAACTAACTTATCTGTAGTGAGTTCAATATGCAGGTTCCTCTCTCTTTGTTAGTAGTAAAAGAGTGTTACTATTTTAGACAGCGATTTTTCACAGGAACTTTACAAGAACTAACTTTTTTATTGTAATTTGTAGAATTTATATTTTAAGAAAGGTACATGCTTTTCTAAGTTCATTTGTTTCCTGATGGAGAAAAATCAATAATTATAAGACAATTACATATTATGGGACTTCAGGCCTACAAAGGGGAATAAGAACAAGGGTCTCCAAAAACAGTGCTTTATTCCTGACCTAAGTGAGGGTAATTAGCAGAAATTCTTAGTATGAACTCAGTAAAGGAAGGACCTAGATCATCCATAGAAACTTTCCCAACCAGTGGGTTGAAGACTCTTCTGCATGTTACCAAATTTTCCTTGATGCAATACCCTCTTTGAATAAAATGTGTCAATTATGCCTAGAATTGTAGAGGGCAGAGATAATATTTTGCACACTGAGCACTGTGGGGAGGTGGAGTATGGGTAGAATGTATTAGACTGGCAATTACTTACAAATGGAAAAATGGCAAGCAGCAAATATTGTATATTTTCTCAGACTGATTTTATTATTGTTTTTTACTACTTTAGTACTTTTTACTATAATACCAGGATATATATGTATACGTATTTGGGTGTGTGTGTGTATGAGTTTTTTAAATTTACATGTGGAAATAAAGAGTAAAGAAAAGTTGGTCACCTAAATTTTATAGAACTTGAGATACTGGTTTAATAATCAAATCAACAGACTGAAAAACTAGAAAGGACAAAATATGTCCTTATATTGGTATTAGAGTTGTCCTTTCAAATGCCCACCATCCCCCTCCCTCCTCACGGGGATAACAGAGATGTTGGTACACTCCCTAATAGGACAGACACTGTATCTCATTTTTTGGGTGTAAGGATTTTTTTAGGGTTAAAGTCTACTTAAAATTAGCACCTCAAACTGCCAGGGAAGGACACCGAGTATACATTACCAGATTCCAAGACTGTCTGCATCTATAATCACCATGAATATAGAGGATTTAAGTAGATAATCACAGAATTACAGGAACATACCCGCTTAAATTTCCCAGAGACCTTGTTCTGAAGTCTGCTACAGTTGGTACTGATCTGATAGGAAATGCTTTTAATCGTTTTTCCACTTTGAAGAACTGGATGAGATCCTGCCAGTGTGATGACACATATTCTACAAGGAGCAAAAATTGATCCTATGTTATTGCTTGGCATGGTTCTTCCTCCTGTAACACAGTATTCCTACTTGCACAAGAATATCTGAACTGGTATTCATTTAGTCACACTGTTATTTTCCCTCATTCTCCTTTAGCTACTCTAGGGGCATAGCTGTAAAATGGGGAATGCACTAACAAAAGAGGAGAGAACAGGATTGAATTTCTTCCCAGGATACCATACCAGAGGCCTTTAGGTGGCACTGGCATACAGGAGAGAAAACTCAGGCACGTCTGTATGTACGGCATACAACATATGCTCCTACCCCAGCCCTCTCAGTGATTAGGCACAGGGTGGCTAGTAGTAGCTGAGAGTGTGGTCCTCCACTTGGACATTTGGGTAATTGGGTTTATTTGTTCAGAGTCATTAGGCAGTGAAAAACTAGTTTTTTCCAACCAAACTCCTATAATAAATAATACCATTTCAACACAGTGGAAGATAATCATTTAATGGACACTTGTTCAATCCAAGACATACCAGGCAAACAAATGTAAGGTTTTGGTCATTTTAAATTCCCAACTCGCTTACCGGTTAGAGTGCTGCAGGATACAGTGGTCCTCACACGGTTTTCCTTTGACATCTAGAAGAATAGATGAGTCTGTTGGTTGCTGAATCAATATTTACTATTCTCTTTCTAAGGCTGTCATATATATGTGTATATACGCACACACTCAAGATCAGTAAGTAGTTTTCAATTAAAATGGCAAATTTTCTAGACCTTTTGCAGATGCATGTGGCCAGTATGAGGCTTCTTTGGTTCATACAGCAACAGTAATTATGAGGATTGAACATATACTGATCACTGGTATTCCTTCATTACTCAAAAATGATACACCTAAAATGATAAATACACTCAAAAATGATAAACTACCTAAAGGGACCTGGCCCATATTAGATCGTTCATTCGAAGTTAAGGTGATTAATTTCCTTGCTCCAGCTTGCTTTATCCTCACTTAAATGAGCACACCTATTATCCCTGAATGAAAGAAAGGAGGGGTAGGAGGAGGGTCCCTAGCGATGCCAACGCCACTAGTACATAAAACAGTACAACAAGATACCTAGAAGTGGCAAATGGGTAACACTGGGGGCTTCTTAAGTAAAATTAGATTCTGCTCACTAAATGCCTTATTCCATCCTCTTCTTTCCATCCCTAGTGGCCCCACCTTAATTACTACGATGTGATCATTAAAATCCTTTACTGTGTTGCCACTGCCTATAGGATTAAGGAATAGGACAAGGATAGAATTGTTAGGTGCCGTCGAGTCGGTTCCAACTCATAGCGACCCTATAGGACAGAGCAGAACTGCCCCCATAGGGTTTCCAAGGAGTAGCCGGTGGATTTGAACTGCCGACCTTTCGGTTAGCAGCCGAGCTCTTAATCACCACGCCACCAGGACTCCAAGGATAGAAGTGACACCCTAAATTCCGCCAGGCACTGAAGCACCTTTGCAATCTTGCCCCTGCCTAGCTCACGGGCGTCATCTTAGACTACTCATCTTCCCGCAAGCAACCCACCCTTGAACTTGTACTGCACACGCCAGCCCCAGAATGTTCCTTGCAATATTTCTCGTCTTTGCAAATGCCATTCTCTCCGGGAACCGAGAGGTCCAGGTCTTTCTGACATGGGAGGAAACACGGGGATAGGGCGTGTAGGAGTCCACACAGCATCAGGCCCATGTGGCCGAGCAGAGAATGACATCAGGCAGGAACGCCTCTTCACTTACCCGCCTTGTACCACCGAGTGAAGTAACGATCCACAAGAGAAGGTATCGACGGCGCTGAGACCCCGGGTTCGGTAGCCATGGCGACCTCCAGCGTGGCTACCCCCGCCCTCCAAGACCCAAGCGCTTCCTCCCTACAAACCCTGCGCAGATGTCCTTCCGGCGCGCGGCCCGCGGGGAGCGCAAGCGTGCTGCTCTCCCGGCCCGTAGGCTCCTCCCACCGCCGTGAATCGCTGTGATTTCAAGTCCGAGGTCAAAGGGAGGATGAAATACAATAGGGTGGGAAAGACGGAGGGGGCGGGGGTCTGCGACCAGAGCAGCTCCTCTGCCTTTAGCTTCTCAGTGCTACAGAGGGCGACCACTGAGAGCAGCCTATGGGGCTCCTCTTTCCCGGCCACGCCCCTCCCGCCTTGCAGACGTCAGCGCCCGCGGAAACCTACGCGTGTCCGGCCTGCCTGGGTCGCACGTCCGTGTCGCAGCGGCCGTCCCTCCGCCTTGTTTCAGCGATAGACCTTGGGATCGGACTCCCGGGCGCAGTGGCCTGGCGGCTGGAAAGTCCAGTGTGCGCCTTGAGGGGTCGGGGGCCTCTCTCTGAGCGAGGCGCGTGCGCAATCCCCGCGGACTCCGGGAGGCCGGCTGCGCGTGGCAAGGGAGGCTAGATCCGTAGAGCGCGGCGCAGGTGAGCGTCCGAACGACCCAACCAGATTTGGGGGCCGGGGACCCGGGCCCTATCCGACGGAGGGTGTCCTGATGAAGGTGACTCCTGAGCGCCCAGCTTCTGCCTGCTGCGGGCCCGGGAGTGGAATGCGGCGTTGATACGGCGTGGACAGCCTTCCTGGAGCCTGAGGTTATCTTTCTGCAGTCTTGTCCAGGGCTCTACCCGCGGCCATCCGGGGGCTCAGGCTGGGGACTTCGCGCGCTCCTCCAGCTGCGCACTTACCCAGCCTCCGGACTACTTGCAGGGGATGGACATTACCGCTGAAAACGAAGCGAATGAATTAGTCCATGGTGGAAGATGATAGTTATAGAGGTTTGGGTGCTGGGCTACAGGTCCCTCCTCGCGTTTGGGACCTTTTCGTGGAAGTGGTTTCGCCTGTGCTGCCCCATTTGTTCCCCCAGACGCTGTAAACTCCGTGGAGGCAGCAACTCTCAGAGGCATCTCTTATCTTCAGATCCTTGCACTTACCAAGTGCTCAGTCTGTGTTTAATGACCACACACCGAGTCGTAGGATTAGGTACTGTGTCATAGATCCGAACTGTATATTGAGAACCGCAAAGGTAACCAGTGAGTAGTTCAATATGGTTGGTTCAAATTTTAAGTATGGAGAAAGGAGGCTGGCGAACGTAGAGCGAAGGCACGTATCCCCGTATTTATCTTTTGCAGTAACCATATTGAACAACTCATTGGTTACATCTGTGGTTTTCGAAGGGCCAGTTCATGAAGGACCTTGTGTGTTTGGAAACTCAGAGTTTTATCCAGTTGGATGAGAATGAAAGAGTGAGGAAAAAGATGACAAAGACAATTCTCAGCTCGGGGCATAGAGAGAGTAGAAATGCCATGCTATTTCATATCCCTGAATAGGCGGAACTCGTTTGGTAAAGGAGCCCTGGTGTCACAATGGTTAAGCACTCGGCTTCTAACCAAAAGGTCGGCAATTAAAACCACCAGCAGCTCCGCGGGAGAAAGATGTGGTAGGCTGCATCTGTAAAGATTACAGCCTTGGAAACCGTATGGGGCAGTTCTACTCTGTCCTACAGGGTCGCTATGAGTCGAAATCGACTCGACTTGGCAGCAACCAGTTTGGTTTTAGGGGTCATTTGGTAGGAGGATAGCAAATTCTTCCCTTTCCAGGTTGCATTTGATGTGCTTGTGAGACATCCTTGTGATAACATCAGAAGGTTGAAAACGTCGGTTTAGTGTTTAGTTTGGGGGTCCAGGGCTAGACATTTAGATCTAATTGGCATATTATGATTTCTTAGTGCTTGTTGCAGAGCCCTGGTGGCGCAGTGGTTAAGAGCTCGGCTGCTAACCAAAAGTTCAGCAGTTCGAATCCAGCAGCCATTCCTTGGAAACCCTATGGAGCAGTTCTGCTCTGTCCTGTGGGTCTGTATGAGTCGGAATCAACTCAACAGCAACAGGATTGGTTTTCTGGGGGGTGTAGTACTTGTAGTCACGGGCACGATGATTAGCTAAGAGGTGGATGGATGAATGGGCAAAGGAAGAAAATGGAGTTGTCAGAAAGTTAGGAGAGGATCTAAGGTTTACCTAGTTTTGAGGGGATCTTTAGTATGTATATTTGAGAGCAGAGAGAAGTTGAATCAATGGGTCTTGGGTGGAGGGAGGTTGGAGATTGCAAGTGTAAAAGAAAGGGCACTAATTTAAGTCCAAAGTCCTGGCAGAGTTTGGAAGATTCTCCTTTTTTAGTCCAGGAAAGGAATGGGGTCACTTCTCCCTCTGAGAAGTTAAAAACAAAGAAAAAACTGCCGTGGAGTCGATTCTGACTGAAAGCGACCCTGTAGGACAGGGTAGAACAGCCCTACAGGGTTTCCAAGGCTGTAAATCTGTATGGAAGCAGACTGCCACATCTTTCTCCCTCAGAGCGGCTGATGGGTTCGAACTGTCGATCTTTTGGTTAGCAGCCAAGCACCAACAGGGATAACGAAGTTAAAAAAGATGATGGGTGAAAAAATTCAAAGAAGTCAATTTTGAGGCTCAAGGTGAGGAAGAGGAAGGAGCTCACCTTGGTCACTATGCACTCAGTAATTTGAGAGCTCAGGTTGTTTGTTGAGTTTGTCAGTTAGAGTCCACTCAGGAAAGCAGGAATCACACAGTATTTCAACAGAGAGGATTAAATATAAGGGATCAGTTATATAGCTGTTAGAAGACCAAGAAATAAAAAGGGAGCAGTGAGGTAACGCAGATACAGTAACTGAAAGAAGCAACTACCACACCTAGCTAGGGATGGGAGAACAAACCAAAGGGAAGAAGTTGGGGTTATCAGGACCTAGACCTTGGAGGAAGGGCACTATGAGGCCGGGACCAAGACTTCTGGTGTTGATACCTCAGGAACTCAGAAGAGAAGCCCTCAGAGCAGGATTTCAGACCTCTGGAGGGGGTACTTCCTGATTGGTGCTGGTACCTCTGGGAGTGGGGGTGATGAGGCTGGTCCTCACACTGCTAGAAACTGGGGCCAAGGGCCACTGTAAGAGTGAAGGCCCATTGTAGGGGCAACATTGACAGGAACAGCTAGACAACAGGAAAAAGTTCTACTCTCCTGCTTTCACCCTCCCAGGTTCTTAATCTAGGGCTCCACAGGTTGTTAGTGAATAGAATCCAAGTTCACGGGGAGGGATATGAAAACATGATAATGATATGAACATGATAATGTCTTTCTCCCAAGGCACAGCTAGTGGGTTCGAACTGCTGGCCTTTCAGTTGGCAGCTGAGCACTTTAACCACTGCACCACCAGAGCTATAAATTTACCGAGTGGCTATTAAATGGAGCCTTGATGGTGCAATGATAAAGTGTTTGGCTGGTAACTGAAAGGTTGGCAGTTTGAACCCACCCAGTGCCTCTGCAGGAGAAAGACCTGGCAATCTGCTTCTGTAAAGATTACAGCCCAGAAAACTCTGGGGAGTTCTACTCTGTCACACGAGGTCACCATGAGTCGTAATCAACTTGATGGCACCCAACAACCATAGTGGATATTACAGTTATTTTATTCCAGATCCTATTCAACTGCCAGTATATAGACATACTGATTTTTATACAGTTCTAATCTTTTTGTTTTTCCATGTGATGATTTTATAAATTTGTCAGGTTATAGAGATTATGTTAATATGCAAAAATAAAATATTTTCCCATTAATTTTGTTCTTTTCAACTTACCTGAGGAATAACTGATCGCTAAATCTTTTTTGAAGACACTGAAGTTGAGAATCTTGCCTCTCTTCAAGAATTAGAATGTAAAATGGATGTATAAACCCTCAATTTGTAGACCATAGCGATTAATAGTGGGTCAGGTTGTGGCCTCACGTCCCTGTGTGGGTATGTGTAGGTGTGTGTTCAGATAGGTAGTTTTTTTTCCCTTAGTTATTCTTAGTACCACTTCCCTACCTCTCCTGAATCATTTTATTTATGAGTGTGGTCATTTATCATTATTAAGCTCTTCCTTTCTCTCCTAGGAGTTAGTGGTTCATTAAGAAATAGTTGTACTTTTGGGAGTTGCTTCATCATGCGAAATCTAAAATTACTTCGGACCCTGGAGTTCAGGGATATTCCAGCTCCAGGGAAACCCCAGTGCTTCTCTCTTCGGACTGAACAGGGAACAGTGCTCATTGGCTCAGAACATGGCCTGATCGAAGTAGATCCCGTCACAAGAGAAGTAAGTTATTGGTGGAGAATGCTAGGACTTGGCATGGTCATTGTTAAATATGGTAAGGGTTGTGATATTTCTCAAATTGAAGTTTGGATTTTAATTTAGAAAAAGGCATTTTTGAAACCTTTTATATTGTAAAAGAAGCATTATAAAGTTATTTCTGGAAATGTTATGAATTGTTCTGGAAAGTAGACTAGGTTAATTTGGTTTTGTGTTTTGATGGAAGGTGAAGAATGAAATTCCTCTGGCGGCGGAAGGCTTTCTCCCAGAGGACGGAAGTGGCTGCATCGTTGGTATTCAGGACTTGCTGGATCAGGAGTCCGTGTGTGTGGCCACGGCTTCTGGGGACGTTGTGCTCTGCAATCTCAGCACACACCAGGTGAGCAGGGAGTTCACTGAGAAGGAAATATCAGCATCCTCAAGCAAGTCACCTGTTTTGTGTTGACGTTTTCCAGTCAGTAGCCATATTTAAACATTTACCAAACTAAGAGTCTTTGCATTGGGTTATGTTTCTTCATAAAAAGTTGTTGGCATGGCATTAGCTATATTTCACAATTCTTCTAGAGCTTAGTTTTTGTCTACTACATCTGTTAATCAGAACATTTTAAATTAGAACTTTATTTATTTATTTTAAATAACTAGAAACTGGCCATTTTTGTGTAGTGTAGCTCACCTCTGACTAGAATCTGAACTTGAGTTGTAACCTTTGTTTGTCAATTTAGGAAGTCTTTGAAATGTTTATATGACTGATGTTTTCTGTTATGGATACTGATTAAACCTCTCATTGATGGCTAACTTTAGAGTCCCTGAACTACAGATACTAAAGTAATATACCATCATTACGTGCCTGTTTTAAAACTACCAGGGGAGATAGATTTTGGCCATATGCCTCTTTTTTCTCTACTTTGGTGTAAGCTCTCAGATTGAGTTGCTGGATTTCCACCTTCAACTTCTTAACAGCAAGGGCTTCAAATTTCAGTTGCCTGATTCATTTTAATCTGCTTTGATTACTCATTAGTTGTAATCACTTTAACATCAGTTGTGTCATAGTAGTTATAGTATTACTTATAGTAGCATAATAATAGCAAAAACAAAAACAAAAAACCCATTGCTGCCAAGTTGATTCTGACTGATAGCAAACCGTATAGGACAGAGTGGGACTACCCAATAGGGTTTCCAAGGAATGGCTGGTGGATTCTGCTGACTTTTTGGTTAGCAGCCGAGCTCTTAACCACTGCGCCACCACAGCTGTAGCATAATAGTAGTAGCTTACATTTATTAAATGTTTACAGTGTACTAGAAACTCTTCTAAGGGCTTTTCATGCAAAATTTTATTTAATCTTCTCTACAACCTTATGAGGTAGATTGTTGTTTCCCCATTCTTTAGAGGAAGAAATTAAGGCACAGAGAGCTTAAGTAACTAGGCCAAGGTTACACACTTTTCAGATGGGCTTTGAACCCTGTTGGTCTAAATCTGACACCTTCACTTGTAACCATTTTGTTATAGTGCAATAGTTAAAAAAAAAAAAAAAAAAAAATTACCTCAGTTCATGGTCAGAAGTATTAAAGTCATCAAGTACAAGTGAATTGAATTCCTTGTATTTAAAAAGGCAGTCTTTTACTTAAAACATTTTGTAGAATTTTTTTCCTGATTACTGAACTCCTTTAGTCCAATTGTCTCCATTCAGTGGTGTTGACTCTGTCCGTTTGTGGCTTCCCAATGTCGGCAAGACAATGTCCGCGCTCCTTATAGTATCAGAGAAGACCTTTCGCTGTCTCGTCTCCAAATTCCTTTTTAGCCTCACCGCCCCCTGACATTGCTGCTTATATATATACCTTATGCTCTAGTTGTATCTAGTTTTTAGCTGCTTTTTTCATGCCTTTGTTCCTCCACACCATTTTTCCTCCTAATCTCTTTCTCCTCACCCTGTTCTCACTCTTCGAGGCACCTCCTCAGAAAAACTGTCCTGGACTCCCTGGCCGTTTGTCATTCTCTGCTCTGAGCTTCCACTTTGTTTTCCCAGAGAACCGGTTATAGTCCTAATCCTGCTGCAGAGTCTCTTTTTATCTCTCACGTGAGACAGCTCTGGAAGAGGAGGGGTGGCCATGTCATTTCCAGTCCCTGTGCCTAGCACCATGCCTAGGCTCTTAATACCTGTTCTGAAAAAATGTTTGTGAGTAAATTCATGTTTGAGTGTTTTGCTTTTAATTGTTTTGGTTTAGGTCATTGTAAGTATTTACTGAGGTGCTGGTGCTGAAATCTCCCTGTGTTTCTTTGTCTGTCTAGCTGGAATGTGTTGGGAGTGTAGCCAGTGGTATCTCTGTCATGAGTTGGAGTCCTGACCAAGAGCTGGTGCTTCTCGCCACAGGTAAGCTCGTCACTAGTGCCTGACTCTGACTTTTATACAGCATTGTTCCTGTACCCACAGGTACAGGCTTAAGTTTGTGGTGTTTGGCTTTGAACAGTGACAGCAACATTATAATCTGGAGGGAATGTGTTCGTTTTAACTTAAGTTTTACCTCTTTGTATGTTGTTAGACAAAGTTGTCTCACATAACTTTTTCAGTCTTTGGAAATGGGAAACAAAATCATAAAATCTAGAGAGGCTGCTAAATCCACAGTTGCAGTTAAAAATCTCGGCAATATTTATTTTTAACCTACTCTAAGAAGTCCAATTGCTATATAAACAGGTTCCAGAAACCTCTCTTGTGGTCTTCCTTTTTTCTTTTAAGTCCAAAAGAGTTTCAATAAACTAGCACTGCTGATGGGGTATATGTTTGAAGAGGCATTTTGGTAACTAGGAGTTTTGAAGTTAGTGGAGGGAGGGCTCTGTGGACTTGTCTGTTCAGGTTTACATATGTAAAGAGTTGTAAAGAGTTGAGAATAAGCACTAGATTACTTATCCAGTCAAAGCTTTTTTTTTTTTCTTTTTTTTTTTAAAGCATTGTGAATGAGCTCTGTCCTCTTCTGACTATAAACTACTCTTCCCCAGCTCTGTAGGTTACAGTACTGTGGATACTTACAAAGTGGCAGATTTGTTATATGAAAACGAAATCATTCTTGTTTATGCTCCTCCAAGGTCAACAGACTCTGATTTTAATGACAAAAGACTTTGAACCAATCCTGGAGCAGCAAATCCACCAGGACGACTTTGGCGAAAGTGAGTATAACTTGTTTGAAACATTTTATGGCCTGAAGTTCCTCCTTAGTTTTGATCATTTTCTTGCACACTGATAACCACGTCATAAGCCCAAAGAACTATGAAGCTTAAACCCACATTTATTATTAAATGTCCGTTAGTTCCTTTGGCCCATCCCAGACCTTAAAAGACATACCTCTGCTGCCTCTCCAGGTCTCAGGGGTGGCTTTCTTTGTTAAGGAGATACCTGTGGTTAAGGTCATCTAGATCATTGCTGTGTGAGCCCTAGGAAAGGCTTAGCCTCAGGCTTCCATGAAAGGGATTGTGCAAGGTAGAATAAGACAAGCATTTCTAGGAGACGGTTTTGGGGAGAGGAAAACAAGGGAGGTAAGATAAAAGGCCCTTTCACAGGAGTAATCAGATTGCTTTCTTGGTGAGATCTAGCCGAGGTCATTTAGGATTGAGGCTATGGAAATACTGAAGTGGGAGGAGAGAGGAGATGCTTATTGAGTGTAAGAATCTCTGGCCAAATTGAAGGCACCAGGTAGCTGGCCTGATTGAGGAGATAGGTAGGGGGAGAAAATATTTAAACCTCTGCTGAGGTCCAGCCTCATGCCTTCTTGCTCCACCAACTTTGAGAAATCATTTAGAAAACTAGTATTATTCATTCAAAAATAATTTATTTGTTCAGAAACCATTTATTGAGACGGTACTGTGAGGCAAACTATGGGTTTGATGCTGTAGATAATTTAAAAAACGGTTAAGTAGTCAGCTCTTCCCTTATGGAGACCCACATGTACAATATTGCAATGATGTACCAGGTATTTGGGTAACGCAAGAGGAGGAAAGAAGTAACTGGAAAGGGAAGACTTCCCAGAAGAGGCGGCCCTGGAGCTGAGTCTGGGCTGAGTTGGTGTTGGGTAGATGAGAGTTGAGGGTGGAGAAGTAGCCCAAGCAAGTGAATGAGTCCATTCCAAGGAAGGGATGTTTTCTAGAAGCTTTTGACACATCATGACTTATTCAGGGTACTGTGAGTAACTGCGTGATGCTAGAACAGCAGTGAGTGTGGAATGAAATAAACGGGACCAATTTTGATTAAGTTTGTGTGTTTTGGTAGGGAATTTGGACCTTGAGTTATAGATGATCAGCTGTTAAAGAATTTTTTTTTTTTTAATTTTATTGTGCTTTAGGTGAAAGTTACAGCTCAAGTTAGTTTCTCATTCAAAAATTAATACACATATCGTTTTGTAACATTGGTTGCAATCCCCACAATGTGACAGCACTCTCCTGCTGTCCACCCCAGGTTCCCTGTGCCCCTTCATCCAGTTTTCCTGTCCCTTCCCACCATCTCATCTTGCTTTCGGGCAGGAGTTGCCCATTTGTTTTTGTATATTTGATTGAACTAAGAAGCACATTCCACACGTGTGTTATTGTTTGTTTTATAGGCCTGTCTAATCTTTATCTGAAAAGTGGGCTTTGGAAGTGGTTTCAGTTCTGAGTTAGCAGAGTGTCTGGGGGCCATAGTCTCGGGGGTTCCTCCAGTCTCTGTCAGAGCAGTAAGTCTGGTCCTTTTTTCATGAATTTGAATTTTGTTGTACATTTTTCTCCCACTCTGTCTGGGACTTTCTGTTGCGATCCCTGTCAGAACGGTTGGTGGTGGTAGCCGGGCACCATCTAGTTCTTCTGGGTTCAGGCTGGTGGAGGCTGTAGTTCATGAGGTTCGTTAGTCGTTTGGCCTCATATATTCCTCGTGTCTTTGGTTTTCTTCATTCTCCTTTGCTCCATGCTCCATGCGGGATGGGACCAATAGATGTCTCTTAGGTGGCTGCTCACAAGCTTTTAATACACCAGATGCTACTCACCAAAGTAGGATATAGAACATTTTCTTTATGAACTATGTTATGCCAATTGACCTAGATGTGCCATTAAAAGTTTTGATGATAAGACATGTAAAAAGATTTTTCTACTAGAAAGATCACTCTTGATGGCACATTTTTTTGTGAAGAGGGAAGAGACTAGAGGCAGGGTGTCAGGTAGCAGATCGCTGCAGGCATCCAGATTAGAGATGAGGAGGGTAAGGGTGGGGCTGGAAGAGGGAATGAATTCAGGAAAAATCTGATTCTCAATGACAATGGGGAGCACTGTTTTTGGAATTATTTGACAAACGTTTTTGGAATATATATGTGTGGGTCTCCTGCCTTAGTCAATTTGAAAAATACCAGTTTAAAAAGTGAAATAAATAGGCTTTGGGTATGTAAGGTGAGAAAGAGTTCAGTGTGACACCAGCCAGAGGCTCAGGTGATGGGAATAAAGATGCTGGTAACAGAGAGGGAGGGTGGGGGAAGGTGCTGGTTTGTGATGGGTTGCTGGTGAGTTCTGTTTAGGATTTGCTTAAGGGCCATGGAATCACCGTGTAGAGTAGGCACATATAAGGGGCTGAAGCCCAGGAGAAGTCAGAGCTATGGCCTCGGAGTCATTGCTATGTAGAGATTTCTTACAATCTGGGGAGTAGGTGAACTCGCCAGGGAGCAGATGTAGTGCTGGAAGAGTCTAGGATCCAGGATGGAACTCGGGGGCATCCGGCTTTGAGGATAGTCAGAGTAGCCAGCTCACCTTCGGATGGGAAAGTGCCCTGGGCCTGGCAGTTCCCACCCAACTTCTTCATAAAAAGCCTAATTTGGTAAATCAAGAGAGAGGGAGTCCAAGTTTGGATCCTAGGTCTTAGAAATGTTTGTCAATACCAAAAATTACTCTGTGGATTGGTGAGTAAATATTCTTTCTCTAACCCAGGAATCAGCAAACATTTTCTGTAAAGGGCTTGATAGTCAATATTTTCTGCTTTGCAGGTTATATGATCTCTGTTGCAGCTACTCTAACTCTGCTGTTGTAGTGTGAAAGCAGTTACACCCAATACATAAAGGAATGGCCGTGGCTGTGTTGCAGTAAAGTTTATTTGTAAAAACGGATGCAGGCCATAGTTTGCCAATCGCTGCTCTAACCCTATCACATATTGCCTTATCCTGTTGGAAAAGTTCTCTTGCTCCACTACTTGTTTCTTTATGTCTCTGTGGAAACTTGCAGGTAGAAGCCTGGGGGTTGTGTACCAGTATAGGCACTGCTGTTTGTATGCAGCAGCAAAGTCTGCTTTGAGGTACTATAGTACTTAGATTTGCCTGTGCAAACAAGACAGGTAATGCTTATACTGGGCTCATAAATTACAGAAATTATAAGTAGTTCTCCCTCATCAGAATCAATGGTAGGAGGGAATTATTGGGCCCTGGATCTGGCTGATGCTTTCAGGGCCATCTCTATAGTACCTTTTGCATGTGGATGCCAGGTACTACTTCCAGGAACAGAAGGGCTGCATTGTTTTGACAACTCTGACTGTATTTTATATAAGGGAGGCATTATTGGTTAGAAAGCCCAGAAGGCAGAAGTCTGGTGTTCTAATTTGGGCTCTACCACGGGGTGGTTTCAGCCTCCAAGTCTATGTAAGAGGCTGGATTCGATGATGTACAGTCCCCTACACCACCAACAGGGAATTGAAATATCTAGTTGATTGAGAGCTTACAGTTAGGATCTTATTCTCACCTCTCGTCTTGAGTTTTATATTTTGTTATCCATGGACATACTGTGTGAATTCTTCATGTTTCATTCTTCCTACTTTTAAAATGAGGGTGAGATTGCTGACCTGGGTCATTGGGGGAATTTAGAATATGTAAGATGGCAGTGTGTAAAAAGTGAGGGCATTTCACATTCTTCAGAATCACTGCTGCATGTGATACGGAAAATAGGGTTGTCAAATACTGACTTCTACTCAGGGTACTGAGAGGTCTTAGAGGACCCTCATAATTTTCAGTGACTGCTTCATGAACAATAACAATGAAACTGCCTTTATTTCATTTCATTTACCTTATTGGTTGTTTTGCATGTTCCCAAATTGTTCTTTAGGCAAATTTATCACTGTTGGATGGGGCAAAAAGGAGACACAGTTCCATGGATCGGAAGGCAGGCAAGCAGCTTTTCAGATGCAGATGGTAAGGTTGGTCTGATGGATAAAGATCCTTAATCAGGAAAAATGAAAATTTCCACCAGGAAATCTAAGGTGTCCAGTTAGAGGTGGTAATGGGTGATTCTCTCCTGCTTTAGAGCCCTCAGGGAATGAGTGAGTCTCCCTAGAAAGGAATAATTATGACCAATGTGCATCATACACTTAAAAAAATGAAGCATAGTAGATAGAAATGGAGTGCCCTGTGCCCCATTCCAGGATCCTTCTCTCCCTCTCCAGAGCACTGCTGTCCTACATTCACAGATATATTATTTATACTTTCCCTATATGTGTAATGTTAGATGTTTTTCTGATTTTCCTTTTGGATGAAGCTCTTTGTTTTCATTCCTATGGATTAGAAAATTCTAAAGATCACTTAGCAATATCTTGATGGCCAAATCTTATAATGTACAGTACCCCTGGGGGCAGAGCAGTGTGAACACAAGCATACTCTTGTGGCATCTGGGGAAGTGGCCTTAGGTGTCTACTATCACGTTAAATTTCTTTAAATAGTTACTTTTATCTTAATTTAAACATTATGAACATTGTAAAAAATATTAATTTAAAAACATTATCCCTGAGTAAAATTAAGGCCCCAGGAAGATGTGGTGTGTTTATTTTCTGGCATACTGCCAGGTACCCCCAGGGGTAGCATATCTCTGTTAGGAAACTGCAGATTACATTATCATCATGACACTTAGTAGTCATGAGACCATGGCACATTTTCTAAACTGTTTTGAACCTCAGTATTCTTATCATAGACATAATATAGACATAGACATAATAATGTCTCACTTACAAGGGTCATGATGAGATTTGGAGGTAATAATATGTATGTAACACTGCCACAGCACCAGCACATGGTACTCACTCAGGTGGTAGGAGCTGCCCTAATTTTAGTGGACAAATCATTTTTGAAACTTAAAAAACAAACATAGTTCTTATTTCAGAATAACTGTGTTTTGAGTAAAATGTGCGTGCTGGGTCTTTTTTAATATTCTGAATGCTGTCCTGGCGTATTTGAGTCAGTAAAGGATGGGCAGAAAAATGGAGTACGTATTCCCAGACACAACCTTGCTTCCTTAGGATGAACTCAGCAGTTGTCTAGCTTAGGATAACTTTTATACCCTTCTGGTTTTTAAGTGATTTTTTGCACCCTGAACAAGTAAATAGTTCCTACACATTTGTATATTCTTTTATCCTCTATAACCAATTGCTGTCAAGTCAGTCCAACTCATGGTGATCCATTGTGTGTTATCCTCTAAGCAACAAGTAAATGCACTATAACTTTCCAAGACCAAATTGTTAAAAAAATAGTACTTTACTGATACATGTTGCAACCTGAATGAACCTCAAAAACATTATATGCTAAGTGAAAGAAGCTGGTCACAAAAGATTGCATATATTATATGATTCCATTGATATGAAATGTCCAGAATAAGCAAATCTGTAGAGACAGAAAGTAGATTAGTGATTGCCTAGGACTGGGGCTGTGGATGGGAGTGGATAATGACTACTAATGTGTGTAGGGTTTCTTTTTAGGGTGATGAAAATGTTTAAAATTTAGATTATGGTGATAGTTCCACAACTCAAAACAATTTGGATGGATTAATAAGATGCAGGTATTCATATGAGTGTTTTGATTTTTAAATTGTATTGAGCTAGCCCTTCTCTTATTCCCTGCCTGGGCTCTCCTAGTACCTTGTGACATTGACTCCAGTGGCTGCAGTGTATACTGTTTTCCAACTGTCTTGAGGAAAAACAAGTCTATCGCTGTTGGATGGGGCAAAAAGGAATTGTTTGGATTGAAGTTCTTTTCTTGATGATTTCTGGGTTTAAGAGGCCTTCTAGAAGGTTTCCTGAGGATTCTGTGAAACTGATTTTCTAGAGAGCTTAATCCTCACATGAAAGATTTGTTATTTAATAGCCTGTGGCATGTTTGACTCTGGACCATTTAAGGCCCCTCGGTAACATTTGTGGAGCCCTGTTGGCGCAGTGGTTAAGTGTTAAGTCTGCTAACCAAAAGGTCAGCAGTTCAAATCCACCAGCCACTCCTTGGAAACTGTGTAGGACAGTTCTACTCTGTCCTACCGGGTCGCTATGAGTCAGAATCAACTTGATGGCAATGAGTTTGGTTGTTTTTTGGTTTTAGTAACATTTGTCCTTCTTTCTCCCTTCAGCATGAGTCTGCTTTGTCCTGGGATGACCATAGACCACAGATTACCTGGCGTGGTGATGGACAGTTTTTTGCTGTGAGTGTTGTTTGCCCAGAGACAGGTATGGAAATAAATTGCAGTTAAACAAAAAAAAAATTTTTTTTAATCCTACTAAGTTCAGGAAAGTTTTCTTCTTTTTGCTTTGGGTGGGGTTTTCTTTAATTATACCTATAAGAGAAGGATATGCTGCTTTCGATGTTAAATGAGTTTGTAGTTCAGAACTAGAAGAGTCCTTTAAGCTCTCTGGCCAGCCTGCCGCCTGGTGAATACATTCTTTTTAACACATCCTGGGTCATCCGGTCTCTCAGTAGTGCTTGAGATAAAGAGTCTGGGCTGTTTTTATAAATGTTTCCTTTACAGAATTTTGTTCCCAGTTACTGCCACCTCTATTACCTGGAGCCTGTAAGAATAAAAGCCTCTTTCCTCCATGACAGCTCCTCAAGTGTTTAAACTCTTCTCTAAGTCATCTTTCTTCTCTGCCATCCATCCATCCATGTGCCCACCCACCCTTCCCTTTATCATTACAATAAATATTTAGTACATTCCTGTTATTTTGCATAACACTGACTAGGTTTCCAACACGTGGGCAGTCTCATATATTATTTCCTGACAATGTTCCATTTGCAAATGCCCCATTCCACGTGAGGATTGATTTTAAATTTTTAAGAAGATTAATAGGCTTTGAAAAACCACAACAGTTTTTATTTATAAGGAAAGTGTTTGAAAAGTCTCTGACTTGACAAAACTTACCATAATGTTTTAACTTTTTGTTTTCTAACTTCACCTGCTGCCTAGGGTCTCGGAAGGTCAGAGTGTGGAACCGAGAGCTGGCTTTGCAGTCAACCAGTGAGCCTGTGGCAGGACTGGGACCCGCCCTGGCATGGAGGTGAGTGGGAGAGGAACCCTGGAGCTTCCTCCTCAGAGAATTTCTTGGAACCTTGGGTAGTTGTGAAGATACCAGCTGAATACAGATCTTTGCATAACTCAAAACGATACGTTCTTTTCCTCATCTGGCTGTAAGCCTCTATCTTTCATATTTTTTTAGCTTTCTGAAATCTGGATTTAACTGGGATAGTTGATGCTGAACTTTTTCACAGATGTCATTATTCCAAGGCGTACTCATTTTACATTCCTAATTCTTAATAGAGTACGGCTATAGATGGGCCTATGTGAAGCCATTGTGTAAAACAGAAAATAGTGCTTGGAAGGAAAGTTGCACTCCATAAATCTGGATGAGATAAATGGAGCCTTTGTGAAACTTAGAAAAAGAGGTTCCTTCTTCTACACAAACACCCATGCTAGGGGGATCTGCTTGCTGAGGGACATGCAGGCTTGGATTCGGGCCCCACTCGCCCCGCTGGCCTGATAATACCCTGTGCAGTCCACACCTGCCTATCACATGCAGCTTCCCTGGTTATAGGTAAAGGAAATAGCTCCTCTCTCTCAGTAGCATCTGTTAACATGCAAAACCATTAGGTCTCTAGGTTTCAGACATCTTGTTTGCCTCTATCATTTGAAGACAACTGGCTGATAGAGCAAAGAGAGAAACGAGTGTGAATTAAAACTGTAGAGATGATATGAACAAGATAAGGCAGCTGAGATGTTTTCAGTGGATTGAGAGGTCTTAAAAAATACCTGCTGGAGCATGGAATATTTGCTAACATCATACAGTTGAGGAGAAGCAGGTTACAGTTTATAGGAGATTGTACTTGCAATGGTTTAAATAATTATTGTTTTTTTTAAAAAGCCACGCAAATGGAGTCTGAACCTGCAAGGCTCTGGGCAAATGGAGCCTTTGTGCAAATTAGAAAAAGGCATACTTTTTCCTTTGGGCAGACACAGTCCTACATGGAGGTGAAATGTTTACCAAGGGTCACGTAGTTATTTAAAACTTCTTTCCTTGGATAAAAGTTCATTTTTGGTAAAAAAAAAAAAAAATAATAATTTCTCTGAACTCATCTTAGTGTTAAGCCAGCCAGATGAGCTTATGGATGTTCTGACACCCTCTGGGTTTGCTTTAAGGCCCTCTGGCAGTTTGATTGCATCTACACAAGGCAAACCCAACCAGCAGGATGTTGTGTTTTTTGAGAAAAATGGACTCCTTCATGGACACTTTATACTTCCTTTCCTCAAAGATGAGGTTAAGGTAGGTACCTGAATTGTTCAGTCATCAGATTTACGGGACTTCCACAGCTATTGGGGAGGTTTATTTTTGATCTGTTTGCAAATAGAAGCTCCAAAGTAGATAGTAGTAAAAGTGGTGGCTTCTCGTAACACGAATTTTTTTAATAAAAGAGAAGTTGTTTTTACAAAAGAGATTTTGCAGAGAAAAAATGGCATTTCTTTTGCAATCCTAGGTACAGCACTGCATTATAAGCTTTTAGTACTACTAAAAGGTAACAGATACTAGCAAAATTACAATCTCATTTACACATTCAAAACTGTATTATTAGACTGTATATGATAACAATGACTAGATTTATTATTAGTTACTTTTACTATGGAGCCCTACTGGTGCAGTGATTAAGAGCTCGGCTGCTAACCTAAAGGTCAGCAGTTCAGATCCACTTCGTTGGAAACTCTATGGGGCAGTTCTTCTCTGTACTGTAGGGTCGGTATGAGTCAAAATCAACTGAAAAGAAACAGGTTTGGTTTGGTTTGGACTGTTACTAATTGGAGTCCCTCGGTGGGGCATTCAGTAACGCACTCGGCTGCTAACTGAAAGGTTGGCAGTTCAAGTCCACACAGAGATGTCTTGGAGAAAAAGCCTGGCTATTTTTCAAAATATCAGCCATTGAAAACCCTATGGAGCACAGTTCTCTGACACCACATGGGGTTGCCATGAGTCAGAATCAGTTTGATGGCAGCTGGCAGCTATATATAAACTGTATCATTATACCTAGATTTGTACTAGACTACTAACCTAAAGACTGGCAGTTTGAACACACCCAGTGATGCCATGGAAGAAAAGCCTGGCAATCTGCTTTTGTAAAAATAACAGCCAAGAAAACCCTATGGAGCAGTTACTGTGTAACACATAAGGTAACCAAGATTCGGAATCAACTCAAGGGCAACGGGTTTTTAGTTGCCTTTAGTTATAACTGAGACTGCGTGTTCTCACCTTTTCCCTATTAGGCTCATTTCACAAGTATTTGTCCTAGAAATCATCCCCAGCTGTGTGTTAGTCTGTTGCTACTTTAGACACCTTAGACCTGATCACGTGCTCAATTTGTAGGTTTCTCGGTGCCTTCTAGAGCCTGTTTCTACATACTGTGTTTATATTATTTTATCTTTTCCTTCCTTTCTGCAGCCACCCTGGTTAAGGAAAGTTATTATTATTTTCAACTGAAGTCCATAGTTTATTCAGATTTTAAATTTAAAAGACCTAATGTCTTTTTCTATTCCAGGATCCCGTGATACCACATTACATTTAGTTTTCATGTCTCTTTAGGTGCCTCTTGGCTGTGACAGTTTCTGAGACTTTCTTTGTTTTTGATGACTCTGACAGTTTTGAGGAGTACTGGTCAAGTATTTTGTAGGATACCCCTCTATTAGAATTTGTCTGTTTTTCTCACGATTAGGTTTGTTCAGTGACTCTAGGTTAGTAATTTACAGCTAGGGATCAGCTCAGGTAGTGGGATAATTTGGTTTGTGAGAGCAAGAAATTCAGCTGTTCTCAAATTTGAGGTAAATACATAGCCACAGGCCACTAACAGATCTTTTTCCCCCACTAGGTAAATGGCCTGCTCTGGAATGCCGATTCCTCTGTGCTTGCAGTTTGGCTGGAAGACCTTCAGACAGAAGAAAATTCCACTCTGAAAACCTATGGTAAGACAGCTGTGTTATCTTAGCCGATGCTCCATAAAATGTAGTTGAAGGTAGTAGGGCATGGAGTTGCATTCATCCTTCCTACTTAGCCCCACGGTGGAATCAATGATAGCTGAAGGGAGAAGGTGGAGATGTGGGAGTGCTTTGGTTTTATTGTGAATTTCAGTCATTGGTGCTTTCTCTCTCTGAATGGTATTACTGCAGAGAGTCAAACTGCTAATCAGAGGAACACTGTGCAGGTGAAAGAGGAATTGGATTAGCTATAAGTAGGAATCTTCTTTATAGCTTTATAAATGTGTAAATATATTTTTTTAAGTATATAAAGACGTGAAAATATTAGAAAATAATGGTGAGAAAAAAGAAAAAGAATTATCCTACAATTCTACCACTCAGTAATAATCACTGTTAAAATTTTATTGTCTTCCAAATCTTTTTCTTATAAACATATATATGTCTTGGTATAGCCATGATCTTTTTTTTTTTTTTTTTTTTTTGTTAAAAATATGGGTATGATACATGCAGTTTTGTAACTTGCTTTTTACTGTATCACAAACATATTTCCATTCCGGGTATACATGTGCATTATTTTTAATGACTGTTTAATACTCATTTGTGTTACAGTTATTAAATCCCTGATGTTAGACATTTAAGATTTTGTAATTTTTCTCAATCATTAACAGCAATGCACTGAACATTTTTGTTCATAAGTCTTTTTACTTGCTTGATTCTTGTCTAAGTGGCTTTCAAACTTTTTAATCAGTAGAACATTTTCTTTAATTGGAACATTATTAAGAAGCTCAATATGTAAAGTGATTTAACAAGTCAAGTTCTGTTTGAAGCTGGATTGGTCAGCCCCAAGGGACTGTATGAGTTTTGGGTTCAGTCTTGCCAATACTGGGTATTGTAGTTTCTTTTTAAAATTTTCCCGTAGGGGAAATGAAAAATGGAACTTGTGAAAGGTTAAATGTACATTTTTTTGTTTGATGGTAAAATCAAGATTTTAAAATAGGTATTTATTGGCCACTTATAATCTTTCGTGAGTTACTTTTTCCTTCTTTTGGCCATTTCTTATTATAAGAGTTTTTATATATGAATTCTTGTCAGATACTTTCCAGATATTTTTCCTAGTTTGCCAGCTGTTTTTAAATCTAACTATTTTTCCCTTACATACTTGTGAAATTTTTCTGTAGTCCAGTCTGTATATCTTTTTCATGTGTTTGTTGTTTGGAAAGCTCTTTCCCGATCTAAGATTACGTAATGGTTTCAGTTGTTTCACCTGTGTTTTCTTAAAGTTTGTTGAGTAGTTTATAGGTTTTTATTTGCTTGTGCATGCCTATTTTACATTACGAACTTTATCTATAGACTTTATTTTTCATTCATTTATTCATTCATTCATGCATTCGTTCAACACAGTAGTTCTCAACCCTGGCTGCACCTTTAGAAAAATATATCCAGGCCTCTTCTCAGAGTTGGAGTCATTGTGTTGGAATAGGGACTGTGTATCAGTGTTCAATTTAAAAAAAAAAAAAACCCAGGTGATTTTTAACGTGCAGCCAGAGTTGGGAACCTCTGATAAACCAGTGTGTCAAGGGCTGGACACTGTAATATGCTCAGGATAAAAATGGTACACAAGAATAGCCACAGGCTCTGCCCTCACAGAGTGTGGGCGTGTGTGGTCTAACTTACCAACTCACAGCTCAGTAAAAGTATTGTAGTAGTGTAGGTAGAGAACAGGTTAGATTTGCTGTGATTGCTAAGTTAAGAATTAGAGAACAGGGAGATGTTTAAAAATATATGTTCCCTAATATAATTAAGATCTTAATTTGTATGCTTCATCTGTTTAATAAAATTTGGTTTTGACATGATTAGTTCTTGTTCTTTTAATAGATTTCTGATATTAGAAAGGTTAATTGAATACTAATCTCCCTTGGAAGGAGCCCTGGTGGCACAACAGTTAAATGCTTGGCTTCTAACCAAAAGGTTGGTGGTTCAAACCCACCCAGCGACTCTCTGGGAGAAAGATGTGGCAGCCTGCTCCTGTAAAAATTACAGCCTAAGAAACCCTATGAGGCAGGTCTTCTATGTCACATGGAGTGGCTATAAGTCGGAATCGACTTGATGGCACCTAACCAGAACAGCAACAATCTCCCTTGGACACTGAGTCATAGTTAACACCAGATAGCCTTGGACACAATTTCGTGTAAAGCACCTGGAAGAAAATAAGCATCTTAATGTAAAACAACATGGTGATGCTAATCCAACTACTCTTGGATTGAGTATTTTAATACTTTCAGTCTAATTGCCTAATTGTTTTCTCCCCACATCTTTATGAAAACGGCTCACTAGAATACTGTCCTGTTCTAGTAGGCTTCCAGCCTTATCATAAAGTGTGAAGATAGAGGCGGAAATAAATGTGTGCTTCTGACTTTATTGATGCTTGACATTTTTCCTCTGTGGAAAACTGTCTTTTAACAATCATTATTGTTATTATTTTAGTAAAGAGGCCGAGTGGGAAGGGTCATTTAAAAAAAAAAGAATGCCCCATTGCCCTCTAGCATGCGGTATGAAATCCTCCCAGCCTCTGACGGCCTTCCTTTTGTTTTCCCTTGCAGTTCAGCTCTGGACTGTTGGAAACTATCACTGGTATCTCAAGCAAAATCTTCACTTTAGCAGCTGTGGAAAAAGCAAGCCTGTGTCTCTGATGTGGGACCCGGTGACCCCGTACCAGCTGCATGTTCTCTGTCAAGGCTGGCATTACCTCTGCTATGAGTGGCACTGGACAACCGACCGGAGCTCAGGAGACAATGCGAGTGACTTGGCAAATGTGGCTGTCATCGATGGATGTAAGCTGCTGGAAAGTGCGGGCTCTGGTCCATGAGCCTGGGAGGGGTCTGGGCCCAGGCTTGCCGATGGGGTGGTTTGACCTGAACAGTGAGGAGGCTTTTGATTGTTTGTTTTGTGTGTTTTTATTTATTGTTGTTTTGCTTCCAGTTGAATGAGAATGCCCTTACATGGTACGTGCAGTCTCCTGAAAACCACATTCTCCCCACTCTACCCAGCGCCCTGGCACACACTGCCCAGTTCTCTGTTGTACTGTGTCCATGGCCTTCACACTTACTTGTCTGGCCTTTGAAGGCATTTAGAATTTTGACCCCTGGCATAGAAGAGGTGAACAGTAGTCTGGGGGGAGTCATGTGTTAGCCTTGTCTTTTTGCCCTGACATACATATTGGCCCCTGCACCACTTGTGTTGCTTTGTTTTCTGATACAGTACTTGATAATTATTATACCTCCCTGCTATGTTCAGTTCAAGTTACATATGTCTGTCTAGTGTGAGGAGGGTTTTTAATTTTTTTAGCAGGGGAGGGGGAAGTAATTGGGCAGAGAAATAGTCACTGAAACAAACAGTTTACATACTCCTAACATAAAGGAACACTTTTTATAAGATTGTAATGTGAGTTGGTATTCTAATTCATGCTCTGTGTAACCGTCATAACACTGGTTTTATAATCATTCTCTGCTCAGGTGACTTAATCAGATCTGCCTTGTTACCAAATCCAGGCATAGGGATGTGCTTTAAGGAATTTGAAGGTACTGATCCTCTTGGTTTAGTGTGGCTTGGTTTACAAGCCCAGGTTTAAAGCTAGAACTCTGACCTCGTTGCCTTCTTGTCTGAGTCCCTGGCACCTGAGACCACCAAGCCCAAAGATGGACTAGCCTCGCCCTGGAGGTGACACTAGTCAGATGTATCAATTAGAGCCCATGACATTTACTCCCACCCTGCCCCCCAAAAAAGCACTATTTTAAAGGTCATTTATGAGAAAAATACTGAAAATTATTTTTAAGGATTGCTGTATATTTTCTACCACCATTATTACTTGGTGGTACGGTGCTGTTCAGATGCCTTATTTTACAAATGGAATATGAACGTCTAGTGCTTCTTGTGTCTCTTTCTCACATGCAGACAGGGTATTGGTGACAGTCTTCCGGCAGACCGTGGTTCCACCTCCCCTGTGCACCTACCAACTGCTGCTCCCACAGCCTGTGAATCAAGTCGTGTTCTCTACACACCCTCAAAAGAGTAACGACCTCGCTGTCCTGGATGCCATTAACCAGATTTCTGTTTATAAATGTGGTATGTTCCAAAAGTGTTGTAGATGTTCTGAGTCAAGTCCCTCCTACTCCTAGACAAAAGCAAGTTATAGTTTGGTGTTGCTTAGCTCTAGTGTTTCTAATAATTTTGGAGTTTATAATTGACTTCATTATCATGATGATGTTTAATTGGCTTGAGAGCTTTGTTTTTTTTACCGTACTCTTTCTTATAAAAATAATTTGTTTTACTTTATTGAACTTGAAGAGTCAGTTATTTAAGAATACAATTCAACTCTGGAAATAGGATAATATCTTACTATCCTTTAACATGTTTTACAATGTTCATTGCCTTTGCACATACTTTCAGTTGATCTTCCCAGCCCTCATAGGAGCTATGCCAGAGATGGAGTTTTTGTGTTTTATAGATGAGGGAACAAAATGCCAGAGGACTTGTGATTTCCTTAAGGTCTTAGTGGTAGAGCAAGAATGGAAAGGACCTGAACACAGTGTGCTAGTTCCTAATCCAACCGTTCTTCCACAGCCTCATTGCTGCCAGTTCCTGGTTGCTTTCGATTTACTAGAAAACCAACCAAAACCAAACCCATTGCCATCGAGTTGATTCCGACTCACAGCGACCCTATAGAACTGAGCGGAACTGCCCCACAGGATTTCCAAGACTGTAATCTTTACGGAAGGAGACTGCCACATCTTTTTCCCGCAGAACGGCTGGTGGATTTAAACCACCAACCTTTTGGTTAGCGGCCTAGCATTAACCACTGCGCCACCAGGGCTCCTCTGATGTACTAGACTAATTTGAAATTTGTTTTTTATTTGTGAGTTCTATTGTCATGTCATAAATTATGCTGGCGTGTGGCATTAGTAGCCTTGTTTCAAATATCTTTTGAATTCTTAGTTAGAAAAAGCATAGATAGCTGCTGAGAGAGAATGATCAAAATTAATACATACTAAAGGTCCCTACTTTCATATCAGGTTTTCTGTTAAAATGATAGGCTACTTTTTATATGGATCCTGCTTGGATATATCATTGGTTTCTCTGGTTTATAGTTTCATTCTCTAAAAATATTGTTGCCCTTCTTAAACTTCTGTTTTTTAGTAGCTTTTTTATTTTGGATAATAGTAATGTATTCATTGCGAAGGCAAATCAGAAAAAGCAAAAATTAGCTGCTTTTCAAACAGGTTTTTCATCAGCCAGTACTACCAAAAATAAACAAATGATTGTCCCTATTACTCTATTATTATTTGGATATCTTACTGTCAGTTTTATGAGATTAAAAAGAATCAGATGTAGAGTAAGCTTTTGTGGTGCTGGCTTTATGCTACTAACTTAAGTTTATATATTATTTTACACAATGAGTATTTTGTCCTACATTTACTTTAAAAAAAAAAAGACTTTATTGAATTTTATATCATTTATCTATTTAAAATATACACTTCAGTGGTTTTTAGTATATTCACAGAATCATGCAACCATCACCACAAGTTTAGAACATTTTCATCACCCCGAAAGCAACACCATACTACCCTACATTTATTTTAGTTGATACTTACAAGTCTCTGATCAGGTAGGGCAGGTTGAGAGCTCTGCTTTTGGAAGACTTGTTCAGGCATCAGCGTGTGGTGAGGGTCACAAGTGGGGATGGAGCCAGAGTTACCAGTTAGGAGAAGGCTGTAGCAGAGTGTCTAGGCAGGAGATGGTGAGGGCTTGAATCAGGGGAGTGGCTGTAGAAATGAAATGAAGAGAGAAATTGTATGAATTCAGGAACTTGAAGCTTTTGAGTTAAGGAGCAGACTGGAGAGTTTGGTTATAAGAGTCAGGAAAAAGTTGTGGGAGACCTTGTTAGGATTTAGAGATTGGCATTTCACCATGGATCAGTGGCAGGCGGTGGTCCTAGTGAGGGCAGCTCAAGCGGAGTTGAAGTTGATGAATGCCAACACTGGGTGCTGACAGGATGAGCAAAGTAGGAGGGCAAGTTGGTGAGATTGAAGAGTGCTAGTGGAGAAGCAGCTGACATTAGCTTCTAGTTGTGCAGGGAGTCAGGTGAGTGTTGAAAAGTAATGAGTTTCATTGAGGTTAAAAGAAATCAGAGGAGAAGAGTTTGGAGGTTGAAGTCAAAGACAGAATCTTCTAGTTTGAGGTCTCAGAGTAGAGCAGGTCAGCATTCCACTCAGTACTGAAACTGAAGAGGAAAGAGCACTAATTACAATTGAGGAACTTTGTGGCAAGTGGTGGACATTTTGGAGGGGTGGAGACAAATTAGATGCCAAAGTTTTCAAATTTTGAGGCCTTTTTTCTTCCTCAGTGTTTATGGGTCTTCTTAATGTGCCAGACTTTTTTCTGGTCCTTGCCTTTGTGGAGTTTATATTCTAGTTGGAGAGAAAAATAGTAAATAAAAATATAATATGTCAGATGGCAAGAGCCATGGAGAGAAATAGAGCAGGACGGGTGTAGGGAGAGCTGGAGGGTGGGGGCTGCAGGGGGTGCGTGGGTTTTGTATTGAGGGTAGTCAGAGAAGGTCTCTCTGGGAAGGTGACATTTAAGGAGAGGTCTGGTAGGAATCAGAGAGGGAGCCATACATTCATCTGAGGAAAGAATGTTCTAAGCAGGATGAAAAAGCAACCTCAAAGGTACCAGTGGTGTTTAGGAAATAGCAAGAGGCCAGGGCAGATACAGCAAAGCAAGTGAGGGGAGAGTAATGGGAGTTGAGATGGTAGAGTTGACGAGAGAAAGCATGTAGGGCTGTAAAGGCCCTGTAAGACCTTGGCTTTTATTCTGAGACAGGTTGCCATTAGAGGGTTTTGATTAGAGGAGTTCTGTGTTCTGACTTACTTTTTTAAAGGATTTCTTTGGCTGCTGTGCAGTAAATTGAGTTAAGAATGGAAAGAACGTCTTAGAAGGGAATGCTTAGGACTTCGGAGGATGCGAGATGTTGAGATGGTTGTGGGACAGTGGGAGGAAACAGCTCTGGGGTGAGAGGCAGCCCCTCCACCTGGTTATCAGTGAGGATGGTGATCGATGTCATATCGGGGAAAAAAGCAGGTTTGGGTAAGACTGAAACGTAGACGGAGATCTTAAGAAAGAGATGTGGTTGTTTTTTTGATTGCTTTATTTGCCGTCTACCAAAAAAGAAACCAAAAACCAAACCTGTGGCTGTCAAGTCAATTCCTATTCATACTGGACAAGGCGTTCTGCAATTAATAGATTAGAGCTCTATGATTTGCCTTCTAGAACCTATTAATTGCAAAACCTGTTGTCCAATATAAACTAAATGTTTATAGGTTACCCTAATAATATTTACATTTTTTGTTTTCTAGGTGACAGTCCATGTGCAGACCCTACGGTGAAACTGGGAGCTGTGGGTGGAAATGGATTTAAGGTTTCCCTTAGCATACCTCACCTGGAAAAGAGATACAAGTAGGTTATACTTGGTAATCTTGGACCTCTGGGAGCAGAAGAAGCCAGCGTTTAGTCCTAAATTCAGTCAACTGTTACTATTCTGTGCTTGTTGCTGAGTGGAACGAGAAGGAGACACAACACTTGGGCCCTGATTTTCAGCGTGGTTAAGGAAGCCAGTTGCCTTGCACATCTGAATGCCATATATCCTGATGGCTGGGCAGGGAGGCCAAGTCCTCAGCTAGCTTAGAACCCACTCCCCACAACAGCCCTTGGTTCTCCAGGGAAAATCATGTGCGAATGATGGAGCTGAAGATGGTAGGGCAGAGTTGTATTGTCTTACATAAATGAGGATGTATAGGTGTTAGCATATGGATAATCTAATGCAGCCTGTGTCTTTATCTCTTTATCTCATACCAAACTCCTGGACTTCTGAGTGCTGTGGTTTGAGGGTCCCAGGTTAGAAATCAGAATGCATTTTCCCACTGGAACAATGTAAATGATTGGGTATAATTGAATACCTCAGGTACACTATATACTAACTAGAAAGTGTGAGGTAGTTTAGAATATAGTTTCATTTTTTAAAAATTGAGAGAAGGGTGACTGCAAGTCATTTAGCGAAGGTTTCATTTCATGTTGATCCTTAAAGAAGGGATAGATTGGGGATTGGCAAAGAATTGGAAATGTTGGGTGTAGTGGGGAGGAAAGCGTTAGTGACAAACAGAGGTGGGGTGATCCAGGGTGGTAAGAAGACTCTGGGCTGAGTGGAGTTGGAGAAACTGAGTCTGGGGAGAGCTAGCTGAGTAGGAGGATCAGGCTAGTGATAGAGCTTCTTCAGCACGAGCTGAGGATTTGACACTTCATCTAAAAGGTAGAAGTAGCCATTTGGGTTCCTAAGTGTGGTGGCAAAAACTGTGCCCTGGTCAGGTGTACAAATGCTACAGAAGATAGGCGTTAGATGCAGGGAAACCCTCTCGCAACCTAATTAGTCATTTTGATGAGAGGTACTTAGAAAAAGACCCATGCTTTTCAGACACAAATATCTACGGGAGTCTCATTTGAATGTTGGTAAGTGGGGTGGGTAACCCCTTCTTGTGTAGTCAGTTTCCTGAAGTGTTCGATTTGAATCTAGACATCTCAGAATAAAAGAAGCTCAATTTCAAATAAATATAAAGCATTCTTAAGCCAAGTGTTTGGAATTTCTGTCTTTGGCATTATCTCTCCTGATAATTGGGAGTTGACTATCTACAAAGTGGTTCATTTTCTTTTCCTTCCGGAATATCTCAGTGCTTTTAATGTTTTGCTCATGTCTTGGATATTCTTCAATGTTTCAAACAGAATTCAGTTTGAGAATAATGAAGATCAAGAAGTAAACCCACTGAAGCTTGGCCTTCTTACCTGGATTCAAGAAGATATTTTCCTGGCCATAAGCCACAGTCCGTCCAGCCGGCAGTCTTTCATTCATCGTATGACTATGGCCCTTTCTGAGACGGATGAGGAGCAAGGACAGCTCAATGTCAGGTACTACAGTGCTTCCCTGTATTCCACATGTTAATAAACAAATGAAATTGTGCTTTTGTCTTTTTTTTGGTTTCTAGTGAGCAAAGTTGAGGAGCAACTTTCTTGTTAGACACACTTGGTACAGGGTTAAGTCTAGTTTGGAGTCGTGTCGATACAACTAAAAATGCACCAAAGAGTGGTGAAAAATAGGACAAATACCAAGAGATGTGGTAAAACATTTTTAAGATTTGTTACATGTTTTAATTCAGTATATACACACATTCTGGCAGGGTTATTTTTAGATCTTAGAATTGATTTTAATAATACCAGGGGTAATAAGAGCGACTAATTCTCATGAGCTAATGCAATGGAAAGAGATTCAATATATATGTTTTATTTTGATGTGGTGACTTCTTCTGGCCTTCTGTCTTCTACATCATCCTGTTTGGCCCTTCACTGCTTCTGCTACTAGAAAGTCTCCTCTGTTTTTCTTGCTGAAATTTCACTGCATCTTGGACATGAGTTTTTGTTTGGATTCCGACTTCATGCAGATTTTTGTTTAATGAATGCTTTTCTGTGTAATGCAATCCTTGTTGTATAGTAGGTAGTGTTTTCTTTGGCCAGCTTCAGAACTCCACAGGTTTCCACTGTCAAGACTTGGCACCTTCGGTATACACTGATATTAATCCCTAGGCTCATTCAAAATTAAAACCTTATTGGTTAAATTTATATTCTGTAAATCCTTTTTGCAAAATGAGGAACCTTCCCTTATTGTATACATAAAACATATTAAAATGTAGTCATTCATGCCTAATCTGTGACTTATAATACTTCATGATATTTTGAAAAAGCTTTTTATAAATGTATCTGTGTATAAGTAATATATGTATATGTATATATTGTATTGGAATAGGCAGTCCAGCACCAAAGGGAAACTGCTTGCTTCTTTTTCTGTTTTGCAAAATCAGTGAAATGTCACTTCTGAGAAAAATGGTTTATTCACACCTGTCTCCCCTGCTTTTTGTTACTGTTGTCAGCTCATCTGTAGTGGTGGACGGGATCATAATCAGTCTATGTTGCAATTCCAAGACCAAGTCAATAGCATTGCAGCTGGCTGATGGCCAGATATTTAAGTACCTTTGGGGTGAGTATCAAAGTGTTAGAGAAGCATGTTTATGACTTACGCGAGTGTTCAGTTCTCGAGAACATGGACTTGTGAGCATCTTGTCAGTGCAGCACTGGCTGTTAGGTCTTTAACTGCCCTGGCAAATCCTGCTGTAGAGTGGAATTGGCAGGTGTACCCTACCCCTGTCTTCTGTTGTAATGAACTGAAATAGCCTAGTGAGTTTCCATGTTACATTCGGAAAGTGATCTAAATTGCACATAAGTGTTTTAGCAAGTGTTGATGTTGACAGTTGTTTACAAAGAGCAGAGCAGCTCTTTGGAAGCCAGATCTGTCAATCCTGCAGAGTCACCTTCTCTGGCTGTGGAACCATGGAAGAACCCTGGGGGAGTTGCTGTCCGGTTTCCTCACCCGTGCATGCAGACTGAATTGGCCATCATTGCAGGAGAGGTAAGTGAACACAGGGCAGGAAAATTCACCACTTAAAGCAGTTACCCAGGGGCTGGTGGTGTTAGGTAGAAAGAGTGTGGGTTTTGGAGGAGGATCCAAGTCAGGACCCTGGCTGTCTTGTAAATCCAAGCCATCTCCCTTTTCTGAGCTTCATCTTCTTCATTTGTAAAATGGGATCAATACCTATGTCTCAGGATTTGGAGGAAAACTAAATGAGATCATATATGTGATTGAGACATTGCCTGGAATGTAGTAGCTAGTTTATTCCTTTCCTTGGAGGTGTAAGTTCAAAAATAAGAAACCGCAATTGATAAACTTTTGTCTTCAGTTGTACAGAAAATTCAAAGTTGGTTTTATTGAATCCCTTTTGAGGACAACAGAAATAAAATCTCAAAAATGATACCCAGTTGATTATCATCCAACAAATGCTAGAATGCCTGTAGTTGTGGTGGGTGGTAGGATATAGTGATTTTAAAACAAAACATCTGGCATCACTGCTCTTCTGGAACTTAGAATCTATCAATGTAGATATAATTACCCCCTGTGATGGGAGAAGGAAATGAACAGGGTATAATGGTAGAGAATTGTGAGGTGTTTAGGGGGTAATTAGAGGATGGTAGCTATGGGGAGGTTAATTATGGTGGTCTCTAAAGTGGTGGTGTATGCTGAGATGTGAGCAAAGAGAAGGATCTATTCCTGAGAAAGGAAAAGTGTTCCAGGAAGAAGGAACTGTGAACACCTTGAGCTTGGGAAGAGCTCAGTTTATTCAAGGAATGAAGGGAGGTAGTGTGGCTAGAGTGATAGGCCATAGAAGGGAGTTTGGATTATTATTATTTTTTAAAAGATTGAAAAGTTAATGATTTTTAATCAGTGGAGTGACTGTTTGCTTCATGGTTGGAAAGGTGATTCTGTCTGGCCAGTGGAAAGTTAGAGCGGGGCAGAGGTGGAAGGAGGAACCAACAAAGAGACTGTTGGAGTGGAGATGATGAGGGTGGGAAAGGGCATGTATTTGAAATAGACATCTGAAAAATCAATCCACTGTCATCGAGTTGATTCTGACCCACAGCAACCCTGTAAGACAGAGTAGAACTGCCCCATAGGGTTCCTAAGGCTGTAATCTTTACAGAAGCAGACTGCCACATCTTTCTCCCACGGAAACCACTGACCTTTCAGTTAGCCGCTGAGTGCTTTAACCATGTGCCACCAGGGCTCCTTGAGATATACATAAACCACTGTTGTCACTGAGTTCATTCCAGCTCACAGCAGCCCTACAGGACAAAGTAGAACTGCCCCATAGGGTTTCCAAGGAGCGGCTGGTGGATTCGAACTGCCAACCTTTTGGGTAGTAGCCGAGCTGTTAACCCCACTGCACCACCAGGGCTGCTTGAGATATACATAGGATATAGAGATGGGCTTGCTGGTGGATTAGATGTCATCGTAATCCATTCTGCACTGGACCAGCCACATCTTAGGTGTCTATATCCAGTCCTGACTACAAGGACCTAGATGTGAAATCATAGGGCAGTGGAACTAATTAATAGAAACATTCAGTGTAACTAGTTTGAATTAGAATTGTTTGTAATTCCAGTTTTGTTTCTTTGTAGGAATGTGTCCTTGGTCTAACTGATAGGTGTCGCTTTTTCATCAATGACACTGAGGTATAAAAACTTGGTTTCGCACTGTATCCTTTTCACAGTGTTTTCTCCAAGTAATATTGCTAAATTCTCCCTTACCTCCCTTGTCTTGTTGCAGGTTGCATCAAATATCACATCATTTGCAGTGTATGATGAATTTTTATTGTTGACTACTCATTCCCACACCTGCCAATGTTTTTGCCTGAGAGATGCCTCATTTAAGAGTAAGTTTTCAGTGTATAAAATAGGAACAATCCCTCTTCTGATATCTTTTGTTCTTTGACTTGTAAGTTTTTTACCTACTTTGGCTTATTATCATGAAGTCCTAGAACTGGAGAATATCTTTAAATTTTACTTACTTCCCCAGTTAAATTGGTCTACAGCAGTTAGCAAAGACTTCTAGAGAAAGAGTTTGTTTCTTAAACAGCACATTCTAAAGTTAAACAAATTTTCAGGAAATTTTACTGTATAACTAATTTAGTATTTTATGTTGATGTTTTATGTAGATGTCAAACTGGCAGTATGCTCTGACTTCTATGTAATCTCCCTTTTCTCACTGTGGCCACACTCTGTGGCCAGCATCTGAAGAAATCCATGTCTTGGTTTGTAGGAAATTGGCTCCATTTTTCTTCTCTTCCACGCCCCCTTTTGTGTATGTTGTATATATGTATTTCTTCCTTATTGTAAAGGACCCACCTATTTTCTTTGCTCCTGTCTTAGAAATTGGGAATCTGTCTTTCACTGATGTGATTATAGTGTACCGATATGCTAAGAAATGGAGAATCTACCCCAAACCTCCCTGTGTTTTTCCGAATCGTTTGAGAAGTTGTGTATGTGAGCTTGCATGAGGACTCACAGAGAGGGCAAGTCCCAGGGACAAAGTTGTTTAACAGAAAGTCTAGCTGTCCTGAGGTCGAGTCTGAGAGCAAAGGGACCTGACTGTTAATGGCTCTGTTCTATTTTGGATAATATGTGCAGTTTCATCAGCGGTTAATGGAGAGTGGCTTGTCATGATAGTGATTCTTAAGGCTTAGTCAGTGTGCTGTCTTTAGCGTTACAGGCAGGTCTGAGCAGCAGTAATGTGTCTAACGAAGAGACGCTGCGGAAGGTGGAGAGGGGTTCACGCGTTGTCACTGTTGTGCCTCAGGACACAAAGCTCATATTACAGGTAAGCTGATTTTTAAGGCTATCCTTCTAATTGTCATTAGGCAGTCAATATCAAATAGAATTCTTGCAGAACGTATTTTACAGTCTCTGATCATTCATAATCATTTATTATAAGCCTTTCCTTGGTAGATTCTCTGTTAGCTTTGTACAGAGGAATGCTAGTCAAGTAAAATGTTTTAGTTATTGTTTTTTAATTATTTATTTTAAGATGCCAAGAGGAAATTTGGAAGTTGTTCACCATCGAGCCTTGGTTTTAGCCCAGATTCGGAAGTGGTTGGACAAGTAAGTGCCTACTTATATGACTAGTTAGCTTGTTGTTGCGACTTACATGTGAAGACAGTGATTTCATTACAATTTTTAAAACTTAAAAATCTGAGAAACCTTCATTACGTATGTCTTCAGTCAGATTCTCAGATTTTTTTTCCTTCACGTTTTGATTTTATAACTATATGTCGTAGTAGATATTATAAGCAGAAGGAATCTTGAAGCTTGTCATATAAAACAGGGCTTCATGAAGAGACCCGTCAGGGGATCCATATAGGCTTTAGATGGCTCGTGAACCCAGGGATATTGTACACCAGACAGTGTCTATGTGTATTTTCCAGGCAGAAGGCCCAAGGCCCTCAGGAGATTTGCAGAGGAGTCAATCAAAAAACCCGAGCCACTGTTGCAAAGAAAATGAGCCGTTGTTTGAATCTGTTTGGGGGAAACTTGGTATTAGAAAGATCTTTATTAACATTTTCTTGAAAAACTAAATGAGTTTCTGTTTTGCGTAGATGGGGATATAGTCATCAGACTGCCATGATAACTGAATCACAACTTTTAAGAAGTTAAATGAACTTGATACCTAATTTTTTCAGTCTGTGACTTAAGCAGAAACCCAGTAGTAGTTTTTTTGGCATTTCAGCTGTAATCTAATTATACCTGCTTTATATAATGAAGAAAACATTCTCTTTCTTCTCACAGACTTATGTTTAAAGAAGCATTTGAATGCATGAGAAAATTAAGAATAAATCTGAATCTGCTTCATGATCATAACCCTAAGGTAACTTTCTAAATCTGACATTTGCTCGAGCTCACTTTAGACTTCAACTAAGGTGATCTGAACTAAAATGTTTTTTCCTCTTTTTTTGGGTAGGTGTTTCTTGAGAATGTGGAAACCTTCATAAAACAGATAGACTCTGTAAATCATATTAATTTGTTTTTCACAGAATTGAAGTAAGTATTTTGAATTGCTCATGAGTATAATAATATCCCTAGTTTTCTTCCTTCTGGTTAAGGAAGTCAAACAGATAAATAGAGAAGAAAAATTACTTATGCTTTTCAGTATATTTTTTCTTACTACAATTTTTAGATGCCAGATATACTAGTTTTTCCTTTTCTCCCCTTTTTTAAAAACAGCCTATTTAAAAACTGAATTTAAAACATGTCATTCGGAAGTATTATTTGATGTTATTTGATTACTTAATTTTAGGTATACATATGAAACTATTTGCCTTAAAAAAAAACCACTTTGTTTTTCTTGGGAGATTGAAATCAAATGATGTCTTTAACATGATTATTTTCCAACTTATTAATGAAAATTTTTAGAAATACAGAAAAGTTGAGACCGTTGTACAGTGAGCATCATACCCACCAGCTAGATTCTACAATTCGTATTCTGCTCTATTTGCTTTATTACTGTCTACCATCTGTCCTTCCATCCATTCATCTTGTTTTTAGGTGCCTTTCAGACTAAGCTGTGAGCATGAATCCACTTTACCCCTCACTACCTCATCTTGCATAGCATGAACTAGATTGCATTCTTGGTATATGGAGTTTTTTGGGTTTTGTTTTTGAGGTAAAGTTAATCTAAAATAAAATACACAAATCATAAGTGTACCATTCATTGAGTTTTGAAAAATACATAATTCCATGTGGCCCAAAAACCGCTCAAGATAAAGAACATTTCCTTCACCTCAGAATGCTTCCTCATATCCTTTCTCAGTTAGTCCCCGTCCCCACCCCAGGCAACTACTATTCTGAGTTTTTCATCATAGATCAGTTTTGCCTGTTCTAGAACTTCATATAAATGGAGTCATACAGTGTTTATTCTTATGTATAAAGCTTCTTTCACTGAGCATTATGCTTTGAGAATCATCATGCTGGTGCATATATCACTAGTTCATTCTGTTTTATTGCTCAGTGGTATGCGGTTGTGTAGATACATCATAGTTTGTTTATTCAGTCCCCTGTTGATGGACACCTGGACTATACCCACTTTGGGGTTAATATGAATAAAACTTCTGTGGACATTATTGTACAAGTCTTTGGTGAACATGCTTTCATTTCTCTTGGATGAATACCTAGGAGTGGAATTGCTTGGTCATAAGTTACTGTAGGTTTAGTTTTATAAGAAACTCCCAGACTTTTTCTAAACTGTAGAGGTAAGATAGCAGAATTTGACAACTGATTCCTAAAGTTTTTATCACTTAGAATGCAGTTCGATTTTCCTGAGTCACTTTTTTGTGTGATGAACTGCTAAGCATTCAGACTGGGAATTAAAAGTTAGTCATAAACTTTTCACGTTTCCAGCATGTATGAATATTTTTATAACTGAATGGTGTTTTCCAACAGCCAGTTGTATTGTCTCATTGGTACTCCTAGGTATACGTTAGTAGTTTGATAACTGAGTCATATGTTCAGTTAGTAACATTTTAATACACACTCATTCTTAGGGAAGAAGATGTTACAAAGACCATGTACCCTCCACCTGTTTCTGGCAATGTCCAGCTGCCCAGAGATCTTCATGGGAAAAGTGTAGACCTTATCTGTGACACTCTGAGAGCAGCCATGGAGAACATAAATCCTCACAAGTATGCATGCTATTGTTAGTTGGCATCTTATGAATAACAGACATGTATAGATGTCCTTATTCAGCTTGTTCATCTTTCTCATGCTGGTGTTTTTCACTTATTACCTCAGGTACTGCCTGTCAATACTCACCTCTCATGTGAAGAAAACAACCCCAGAACTGGAAGTTGTACTGCAGAAGGTACACGAGCTACAAGGTAGATACCTCTTCACAGTGAGTATTTCAAAGTGACCTCAACTCTCACCATTCTTCCAGTCGTTTGGAGATCGTGTTGACCAGGACCGTTCCCATTGCCATGTCATTGCCACATCATATATTTAACACGTGGCCTTTTGGCTGCCATTTTAACATGAGACCTTTTTTGAGTGCTACCCTACAAAACATGTACAAAAGAATGAAAGATATATATTCATTTGGTGTCCCTTTCTGTCAAGGAAATTTACTATTTTGTTTTTTTGGTTGTGTTGCTAGGTATGTGGGGTTTTTTCTCATATGTTTTGTTTTTTTTCTTAAACACTGACAGGAAATGCTCCATCTGTTCCTGATGCTGTGAGTGCAGAAGAGGCCCTGAAATATTTGCTGCTTCTGGTAGATGTTAATGAATTATATGATCATTCTCTTGGGACCTATGACTTTGATTTGGTCCTCATGGTAGCTGAGAAGTCACAGAAGGTATGTGGAGTTATTACTTTTACATCTTTTTGGTTTTTGTTTATATGTCATGGTAGTATGAAACCTGCTCCTAAGAGGTTAGTAGCTTGCCAGACATTGTACTCCAGGGCCCTTGTTTTCCTAAGCCTCATTCTGCCAGACTGTTTTGATTGCTGGGTTGCATAAGTAAACTAAAATTTCTTGGTGATTTTTTAAGATTATAGGTGTGTGTGTGAATTGATTCTTCTTGTATAATGGAAATATATCAAAGGATTCGAATGTTTGGCTTCAGCTCTTTATCATCAAGGTCTTTTTTTCCAGTAGAAAGTGGAAAACCTGGAGGATAGAAAGGTTCAGAGTCTCTTGTCCTACCTTAGCATGCTGCAGTCAAATAGTTTGAGCACCGTTGGTCTACTCTTTTTATCTGGGTTTCTGCAGCCCGGTCTTGTCTCCTATCTGTCCTTTCTTTACCATTGCCAGAGTTTTTTTTCCAAAAAGGAAAATCTAATTCTTCATTCCTCTGCTTAAAATCCGTCTTCAGCTCCCCATTGTCCCTAGCATAAAGTTCAGAAACCATAATATTACTTAAAAACCCTTTTATGATCCAACTGCTGTGTATCTCTACATTCTCATCTCTTCACATTATCCTTTTTCTGCCCACAGAGAAAAGCCTTTTATTTCCTCCCCCGCTCACCACCACCACATGCCTTTGCAGCTAGCAGTACTTTTGCCTTTCCTGGGCCTCCACCACTCTTGCCCTCCCCATTCACCTGGCTACTCATCTGCATCTTGGCTGAGATGGCATCTTCCCAGTAGGCCACAGTTGCCTCCCGCCCACCACTCAGGCACTAGTCTACATGGACCTCGTATGTGCTTCCATCGCACCCAGCGCCTACCCTGCGTACCACATTGTCTCCTCTACTAGATTGCAAGTTTCCTAAAGGTTAAGGGTTGTGTTTCACTCTTTGTACACATCAAATTCTTACTAAATATTTGTTGATTGAATATTTTGGCCCACGTTTTTCTCCCATATCACATCCATAAGCATTTAATTATTTACTATCTTAGGGTTTTTATCCAGTATTATTCTTACATATATTCACTTGTATGCCCAGTGAAATTGCATTAAAAACAGGAAACATGTTTCTTTGGGTAGAAAAAGAATTTTCTTCTAGGGCATGGCACAGAGCTGAAGATGATCAACTCCAATTAATACTTGGTTGGCGGTGCCTCAGAGTTTTGTGTCCAGCTCAGTATAATTTTACCTGTTTTAACACTTTTGGCCTTTGCCAGTGGTGGGCATGGAAAGTCATGAGAACAGCACCAAGCACAATGCCTTGCACTTTAGGAAAAACCAGGATGCATTTGTTGAATATCTTCTAGATTGGAACCTTTTTTCCTTATTAGCCTATGAAATAAGTGGCTATTGTGAGACTTAAAGAATTAGTCGTTATTCTAAATGAAAACTAATAATACTCATATCTTGAAGCATTTTTGCCAGAAAACTTCTTTTATGTAGTTTGGTTTTATACACTACCTAATATATAATTACTATATTATTGTAAGTTTAAAGTTGTATAGTTTTGGGTCTATTGCTGTAAATTAACTATTTTATTTTTATATGTAAACATAATTACACACAATAAGTTCAGCTTATTGTTTTATCTTCCTAGGATCCCAAAGAATATCTTCCATTTCTTAATACACTTAAGAAAATGGAAACTAATTATCAGCGGTTCACTATAGACAAACACTTGAAACGGTATGAAAAAGCCATTGGCCACCTCAGCAAATGTGGTAAGTGTGATGAGGGTTAGTATGTTCATATCTGATTCATATCTTCTTTGGAACTAGGCAGGGCATAAATAAAATGTTAGTTTAGACATAAACTGTTTTCAGTTTCCACTCCCAAAAATTGTGACAAGTGTGTATGTGCACCTTATTTTATCATGTATTCTGAAAAGCGTAAAGCAAACCACTTTTAAAGAACTGGAGGAGCTCCCTGACTAAGAAAATAAAGCACTTCTTTTTGGATTAAAAATGATCACCCCCTAAATTAACTTAATTGTCTCAATCAAAATTAGTTGATAATGTAGCTCTTCTTGTGGTGTTTGCAAACCCGTGAGGGAAACCACGGCTTGTCTGGAGTGAGTGGCGCCGTCCACCGCCCAGTGCCCTGAAGACACAGTTTCATTGTCATTGATGGAGTAGAACAAGTACAGTGGCTGTGATTTTGCTTCCCTCCTGTTTTATCTGTCCCATGCTGGAACCTGTGGCTTCAGCTGTTGTGATTGTTTCCTAAGATGAAACAGGGACATGGAAGAACCCCTAGGGGTGCTTGGTAAGCACTTGGCTTCCAGCTTCCCTGGAGAATCATTTGTCAGGGGTACTATAGAAAGAATTCCTTTTAAGTAGAACGCTGCTCCCAATTAGTGCTTCTCATACATCAGAATCTCGACTGGTGCTTGTTAAAAATTCAAATTCCTGGATTCCCTTCTCCAGAGATGCTGATTCTATAGGTCTTAAAAAGATTCCTTGCTGATTTTCTTTGGGGACTGTTGGAATAAATAAAATCCATTATGCTTCCAAAATCTAAACCTATGTTATATGACTCTTATTCCCACAGGACCGGAGTACTTCCCAGAATGCTTAAACTTAATAAAAGATAAAAACTTGTATAACGAAGCTCTGAAGCTATACCCGCCAGACTCGCAGCAGTACAAGGTGTGTGGTGTGTGAGATGAGGCTCTCCTGGCTTTGCTTTGTGCATTAGTTGGAAAGGGGTGAGAAGTCATTTAAGTCCATAACACTGTCCTTGGTTTCAGGGTTTGTGTTAAAATTAATTAGCCTCATCTTGAGTTTCTTATTTGGGAGAATGATCCTGTCCTGTTCTAAAGAAATTGCCCCTGCCCGAAACCTAGGAGTTGTCCTTGATTCCTCATCTGGAATACTATAGCAGCTTCCACGTGGGGTTTCCTGCTTCCATTCTGCTGCCTCCTCCCATCCAGCCTCACTGCTGTGTAACTGAGTGTCTAAAAAATGCAGAGCTTTCCATATATTTCAAGATAAAGGGATAAAGTGTTCTTATTTGTTTATCAGACATTTACTGAGCTCTTCTCATATGCCAGATACCTTGCTTGTAAGTTAAGTGTATTATATAGTCCTCATAACAACAACCTGAGAGGGTGTTGTGCACACTTTACAGATGAGGAAACTGCATGCTGGAGCTCTGAAGTGGCAGACCGGGGACATGAGCCTGGCTCTCTAACCACAGAGCCCATGCCGATCGGATCGCCAGTCCTCTTTTGTGCCATTACCACACCATTTTCAATTCATTTGTAAATGGCACACATGTTTTTCTATGAGCTAGCCCCCCTGCCTGCTTCTTTAGCATCAGTGTCTGCCACTGCCACTCTCCCACACTCCTGGCCCCTTGTAGTTAGTTCCACGAATGCACTGAACTGTGTGGGGCCTCTGCCCTTTCTGCCTTCCCCTTTCTTTAGCCTCACGTGAACTCTCGGGTCTCCTCCAGAAAGCCATTCCTGGACTAGCCATTCCCAGAGGACCCTGTTCTTACCTTGGTGATCACATCTATGTAACAGATGAGCACACTGCCAACTTACTGATTTGTCTCCCCCACCAGGCTGAGGATTCCCTGAGGGCAGGTGCTCCACATTGTATTCTGCCCTGTATCCCTGGCTCACACTGAGTCTGCGAAGTGGCAGTGTTTGACCAGCAGCTGCCTCTCTGCTCTCCTTCTTTACTCCTCTCTTCCTTGCTTTCTGTGATCCAACCACATCAGCCTTGTTATACCTCAGCTCTACTGTATACACTCTTGTCTTATAGCCTCAGTGCCAGCCTTACTCTGCCTAGAGTATACTCTAACCCCTCACATGGCTTGTTCTGCTCCTCTTCTACTCAGAGATCAGTTTCCTGACAGCCCTCTGATATAGCTCTCCCACTGCTCCCTGTCCAATTACCACTAGCTACCATTGTATCATAAACCGTATTGTAGTTGTAAGTCCATTCTCTGTCACTACAAGAGTAGGAACTTCATGATTGTTCTTGTTGGTTGATTGGTTTTGTTGTTGTTTTGCATTGCTGTAAATATGCTCAGACTAGCGCATATGTAAGTATTGAGTAATTATTTGTTTAGTGAATGAATGACACATCCTCAGTAAGGCTTTGAATGAAAAAATGATTGGACTGACTGATCAACCACAGGATTTTCCTGAGTTATCCAACAGAGTTTCAAGTGTAATCGCTAGGCACAGCCTACATTGGATCTTCACTGACGTGATTCTCAGATTTCTTCACTAACCCTAAGTTTCCTCTTATCACAGGATATCAGTGTTGCCTATGGGGAGCACCTGATGCAGGAGCATCTCCATGAACCAGCAGGGCTTGTGTTTGCCCGCTGTGGCGCTCACGAGAAAGCTCTAGAGGCTTTTCTGGCCTGTGGCAGCTGGCAGCAAGCCCTCTGCATGGCAGCCCAGCTTAACTTTACCAAAGACCAGCTGGCTGGCCTTGGCAGGACTCTGGCAGGTAAACACTGTTGTTTATTTGTTTACTTCTACAGAAAGCTTTGTTCTTTCTTTTTGTTTTGTTTGTCAACTTTGCAAATAAATTTAGGGCAGCATAGCTTGAGATAGTCTCATACTCACTGATAAAAATTAATTTAGAATAGCATTAATGAGGGTAAAGGTTAAGCTCCTACAATAAAGAAGCCCAGAAATGCAGTGGCGTAATAAAGAAAGTTTATTTTTTCCTCATGTAAAGACTGACAGATCTAAGCTGCCTGGGCATTGCTGCTTTGAGGTCATTCAGAGACTGTCCATTGTGTGGCTCTGCCAGCTCATAGCATTGTGCTTGTCTGCATGGCTGTAACTGGGTTATCTTCACATCCACACTCCAGCCCTTGGGAAGAGGGGAAAAGCCAGAGTCCTGGGAGAACACTTAACCTTTAAGTTGGAAATGACCTAGACATTACACTCTCACTTCCACTCTCATCTTATTCGCCGAAATGTATCATTTTACTACACCTAGTAAAGTATAGATGGGTGGCCATGTGCCCTGCAAGAATTTGAGGGTGGGCCATTTGGGAAACGAAACAACAATAGCAATTGTCAGAAATGAGGTGGAAGAAAAGGCCAAATGTTTGAACACTCAGAAAGCAAAGGCAGTTTAGCTGCTTCAGGATTTAGGGATTGCCTGAACCACCAGGAAGTCTAGTATCAGGGTCTGATTCCTTGGAGTAGAGGAAAGGTTCAGGACTACCTGTAAGAAGAGATGAGTAGGGGCTCTGACTCTCTCGGCAGGGCCTAAGGTGCAAGAAGAAGCTGCAGGGAAAGAGGCTCGCTTTGTCACAGCAGCTGGAGAAAGGTCCGTGACACTGTGCACTCTGAACATCCTCAGTGAGAAGGAAATGCTATTACCAACACCTAGAAGTCAGAGCTGTGATTAAGTCACGCTCAGCTGTTACTCTGTAATTCATCCTTTTCTACCTGTTAACACATCTGGCTTTGTAATTACTCAAGTATTTTAAACTACCTTATAATCTTGCACTTTAAAAAAAAATTTTAGATAAAAGCTTTCTATCCTTCAACCTTTTATTTTACGTCATTTCAAATCTACAGAAAAGCCGAGAAATACAATGAACACCCATATATGATTACCAATTAACATTTTACCCCATTTGCTTTATATTTTTCTTCTCTCCCTCTTTTTCTTCATGTACACACACATGCACTTTTTCTTTTTTGGCTGAACTGTTTGAAAGTAAGTTGCAAACATAATGATATTTCATCCCTAACTACTTAAGCATACATTTCCTCAGGTTAAGGATATTCTCTTACATAACCACAAAACTACTAATCAAACCTGAGAAAATTAACAGTAGTTCCATAATATTATCTAATGTCCAAATTAAGATTTCCCCAATTGACCAGAAATGTCTTTTATGGGTAGTCTCTACCTCTCCCTAAGAGTCATCAAGGTTCATGTTCGCATTTGGTTGTTGTACCTGTTTTAATCTAGAACAATCCCCCATCCTTGCCTTTGTTGTTCCATGACAAGACTTATTAAAGAGTTCAGAACAGTTGTCTTGTAGAAAATGTTGAACCTAAAAAATTCAAACACCCTTATCTGACTTAATGTTTAGTGGTTAAGAGCATGGTCTGTAAGGGCAGATTGCCTGGGTTTGAATTCAGCCTCGTGTGTTAGCTATGGACTGTTAAGCAAGTTACTTTTCTGTATCTCAGTAGCCACATCTTTAAAATGGGAATGATAACAGCAATAGGATTATTGTTGTTGATAGCTGCCATCGAGTCCATTCCAACTCATAGTGACCCTGTGTACAGCAGAACAAAGCACTGCCTGGTCTTGCACCATTCTCACAGTCATTACTGTGCTTGAGCCCATCCTTGCAGGCACTGTGTCAGTCCATCTCCTTGAGGGTCTTTTTCTTTTTCACTGACACTTTGCTTTACCAAGCATGATGTCCTTCTCCAGGAACTTGTCTCTCTTGATGACATGTCCAAAGTACGTGAGACGAAGTCTTGCTGTCCTCGCTTCTAAGGAGCATTCTGGCTGTACTTTTTCCAAGATAGATTTGTTCATTTTTCTTACAGTCCATGGTATATTCAGTATTCTTCACCAACACCATAATTCAAAGGCATCAATTCTTTGGTCTTCCTTATTCATTGCCCAGCTTTCACCTGCATATGAGGTGATTGAAAATACTGTGGCTTGGGTTAGGCGCATCTTAGTCCTCAAAGTGACATTTTTTAACACTCGAAAGAGGTCTTTTGCCACAGATTTGCCCAATGCAGTAGGGTTGTAGGAAGTATTAAAGAGTTAAATACACATAAAGCTCTTAAAATAGTGCCTGGAACAGAGTTAATACTTAATAAATGTTAGCTGCTATTATAATTTTTTATAATTATTTTCCATGGTTTCTTTCTTTAGTCATTTATGTATTATGTATTTTATATATGTATGCATATATAAAAGAGCCCTGGTGGTACACTGGTTAAGTGCTTGGCTACTAACCGCAAGGTGAGCGATTGGAACCCACCAGCTGCTCTGTAGGAGAAAAATGTGGCTGTCTGCTTCTGTAAAGATTACAGCCTTGGAAGCCCTGTGGGGCAGTTCTGCTGTGTCTTGTAGGGTCTCTGTAAAAATGAAGTGAGGGTAGCCTGTGAGCTCCTCTGTCTTCACAAGGGAGAAGGGGAATCAAGATCAACAGCCCAAGGCTAATTCCCATGAGGCAGAGGTCGGACATGCCACCTCTTTCCATCCTTTTTACCAGTTCTCATACAAACCATCCCTCCCACAGCATTCTCAACTTCTCTGCTGGCTGCGATAATTCATTGCAATGGCCACACAGAAGTCACAGACAATATTCACGATTATGGGGTTTATTAGGAAAGTAACAAGATACAGTTGAGGCTCAGGTATACTCAGGATACAGTTCTTCAGTCAAGAAAGCCTGTTTTCAGCTGTGCTCATAGGCATACCTCTCTGTCCTAGGCCTCTGCCCTGCTCGGGCAAATGTTACAAAGCTCTGTTAGCCCATGCCAGTAAGTGCCCAAAGGAACTCAGCTTTCTCACTCTGTGGGCCAGGAAGCTCACTGTGTGGTCTCCTGCTGGTTTCTCCTGCTGCCATTTCTCTGCCACCGCTTCTCACCATCCTCAGGGTTACAGTTTGCTCACTGTCTCCTGGGTCCAGGAGCTTCTCAGTGCAAGGATCCCGAGTCCAAAGGATGCTGTCTCTGCTCCTGGCTGTTCTTCCTTGGTGGTGGTAGGATCCTCTCTCTACTCTGGAATTGGCTCTCTTTTAAGGCAAAACTGACCAGTTCCCTTGGTCAGCCACAATTGCCTTATTTGCACAGTCCCACCCAGTCACTTGAGTGGGAGTTACAAGACTGTGGCTAGAAGGCTACACAAAAACGATCCATAGCACCACAGTCTGTATGAGTTGGAATCAACTCGACAGCAATGGGTTTGTTTTTTTTTTTAGTTTTGTTCTTAGGATTTATTATCTATATCCTTTCGACTTTTAGCTTGTTGTTTGCTTTGCCTTACTATGGATTACACCTAGTTCTCCCAGATGCTTAGCCAAAAACAAACGAACAAAAAAGATGGAGGAGCAGTGGTCAAAGATGTCTGAGAATTGTACAGTAGAGGCACACTTCATGTGCGTATTTACCTTAGGCAGTTACCACAAGCTGAGCAAACAAAAGATAACGGTTTAAATACAGGTAGTCCCTGGATTGTGAATTAATTCCATTCCTAAATCTGCCTTTAAGTTGAATTTGTATGTAAGTCGGAACAGTTCCTGTGTTTTATGCAAATAACACACGCCTTCTGCATTTGTTTGCCAGCCTATCTTATCCCTGTGAGGCACCCTCACAAGGGCCACCATGCCAGTCCTCTTCCACATGTTACTGAGGAAAACATTAGCATAGTACGGTTAGGAACATAACTCACAGGAGGAAGGCGCAGCCAGCAAATAAGCACAGAAGGTGTGCGTTATTTGCGTAAAAAAAGGTTGATATGGTTCATATCTAACATCGGTTAGTCAAATGTTTGTCTTAGTATATAGTATATCTTTCTATGCATAAAAAACATTAAAGAAACACTGCCAGATACCTTAAAACATCTTTAACATAATACAGTAATAATAATAATGTTTAATGCACATTGCGAAGTAGCGCCTGTATGTTATTACAAACCATTGTATGTACAGGCTGTCCCTGGATTACGAACTAGATCTGTTTTGAGGTGTCTTTAAGAATTTTTAAGTAAGTCAGAAAAGGTGCATACGATTCTTACTTAGTCTTACTTTAGTGCAAGAAAAGGCTCAAAGCCTTTTCAATGATTTAAAAGCTGCATGTGCAGCAAGTGAAAGTAATAGTGAAGAAAAATTTGTGGCAAGTAGGGGCTAGTTCAGTCATTTCAGAGTGAGAGCAAATTTACATAACATTGAAGGGCAAGTACGAGTCATCCCTAAACGCCCTAAACCGAGTTGTCCTTAAGTCAAATTGACCCTAAGTCAGACATTCATAACCTGGGGACTGCTTGTGCTTCGATTTTTTTTTTTTTTTTTTAATTGTACTGTAGATGAAGCTTTACAGAACAAACTAGCTTCTCATTAAACAGTTGGTACACATATTGTTTTGTGACATTGGTTACCAACCCCACAACATGTCAACACTTTTCCCTTCTCAACCTTCAGTTCCCTTTTACCAGCTTTTCTGTCCCCTCCTGCCTTCTCGTCCTTGCCCCTGGGCTGCTGTGCCCCTTTAATCTCGTTTTGTTTTATGGGCCTGTCTAAACTGGCTGAAGGGTGACCCTCAGGAGTGACTTCATTACTGAGCTAAAAGGTGTCTGGGGGGCCATACTCTCAGGGTTTCTCCAGTCTCTGTCACGCCAGTAAGTCGGGTCTTTTTTTTTTTT